CTGGGGGAGCGGGAGGTGGTAAGGTTGGGTAGGGTGGCTAGGGCATGGAATGGCTGAGGTTAGGCAGGCTGCGGCGGCTGCGGAAGTGGGGTGGGAGGGGATATGATACGACATGGTGATTAGGGCAGGGCGAGTAAGGGCAGGGCAGGGGGACGCAGGTGGCGGGGGGGTGAGGGGGAGGCTGAGGGCAGGGGAATATGCTGCGACATGCACGGCAAGCATGGTAGCAATCCCGGGTCCCAGGTGACAAAAATCTGACAAGCTGGCGTGGCGGAGATATGTGAGTGGCGGAGCTGCGCGCGTGGCGGAGCTGCGGATGGCGGAGATATGCGCGTGGCGGAGTTGCGCGTGTCGGAGCTGCGCGCATGGCGGCGCGCGGTTCTCGCTGTTGTCCCTCTGCCGCCATCGCCGAGCTTCAGTAACACCGATTTCGCATGCAGCGAGAGACGTTGGAACACGAGCTAGCGGCGGAATACCAACTTCCTCTACCCCCCCCTCCTCCTCCCCCACTCCCCCCCCCCCCCCGTCCCCCCCTCCCCGCAATGAATTCGGCGCGGCGGAATACACGCGCCCCGCGCGATGATGACTGCGCGGGGGAATTTCCTCGCGCAACGAATGATACTGCGCGGGGGAATACCCTCGCGCGACGAATACCCTCGGGCGACGAATACGGCGAGGCGGAGTGGAACGACCCCTCCGTTCACGCCTTGTTTCTCGAAAGACACCCCTGCCCTGCCGTCGATCGAACTCTGCATTTCGCCACGTCGACTTGATCGAGCTTGAAGCGGATCGCGATATGTCTCGCAAGGACCCTCTGGTGAGCTGTGATTAATGGCAGTCACTCCAACCGACACTTGCCTGGCAGTCGTCGATTTAGGCAAGTTTATCCGCGATTGTGGTGTGGATGAATGACTGCCCAGAACATTTATTTTGGCTGTGAAGGAAAACTCACGCAAAGGCTTTCTCAAGGTGTAGAGTAACAACAGTATAAGTGCAGCGCGGCACGTCATTCGATTATCGGGTCAGATCCAAACAGGGAAACCAGTTTCCCTGGATTTCGTTGGTGGGGGGGAGGACGAATTGAGAAAGTCGGCTGTTGACAGAGGTTACAGTGGTCAACATTTTTTCCCAACCCGTTGACTGGAATTTCGTGGGTTTGACTCAAAATGTTGAGTTTTTGCAAGATTGAGTCATCGCGTCGCGTAAACTACAGCATTGCCATTGCGATGTGTGCAACATTCGTGTCGCGGCGCGACGAGACTACAAAAAGGCTGGGTGGGTCACATTGGCAACTCATCTACTCTTCTTCACCCTTCCTCAACAATAGACTTTTCCAATTCTAAGCTGCTTCCGATTCTATACTTCCTACCTCCTAGGCAGCTAAGAACAATTCTACGCGGAAATTTCAGCAGCATCGTAGGCAGAACAAGCACAATGACGCGGAGAGTCTCAATTTCGTCGAGCCATCGTCGTCGCCGTGACCTGAGCACGGCACTTCTCCTCCTCTCGCTCCTGTTCTCGTCTCTCCACGTGGCGTTGGCCTTCCGCTTCTCCGCGGGGCTCCGCGCGGACAAGCTGCGCGGAATGATGCGCGGATGGGCGCAAGGCGGACGCTCTACCGGTCAGCAGCAGCAGCAGCAGAGCGGCGGAATCGGTGGAACCAGTATGGGCGGCAGCGGAATGGGAGGCAGCGGAATGGGCGGCGGCGGAATGGGCGGCGGCGGCATGGGTGGCGGCGGAATGGGCGGCGGCGGCATGGGTGGCGGCGGAATGGGCGGCGGCGGAATGGGCGGCGGCGGAATTGGAGGCGGCGGAATGGGCGGCGGCGGAATGGGCGGCGGCGGAATGGGCGGCGGCGGAATGCGTCACAAAAAAATTTGCGAGAAAAGAATGTTTAAGGTATGTTCAAACATTGCTCCAAGTACAACGAGGGAACATACTTTTAACATTATTATGCGGAATGTTTTGGGAAGGGGTGGGAATGTTTTAGGACAGCTCGGGTATTCCTCGCAAGCAATCTCCAGGGTTTGTTTTGGGACTCTTCAAACAATCCCTAGACTCTTTATTGTGTGCTCCGTTTCTGTTGGAAGCTCTTCAGAGTACACTACTGGTGTAATTGTGAAAATCGTAAACCTTGATACTTTTGTTGGTAACAACGTAACCTGGCTGAAACAAAAGGGACACCACAAATGACAGGGTTGTAACCGTTACGTGTAAACCGGGTAACCACCGCATTCAATTAATTGAAATTTAGGGCGTCGGGACAGTGTATATTAGACCAACTGTTTACATTGAGTAAACATTACAACGAATCGGTATTACAACGTGAGACATTTCTTAGGTTAGAAAATGCACGATTTGGAAACATTGGCGATTTTTGAGCTCTAAACTAAACATAAGCATGCAAGAGCGGTAATCGAAAACAGAGGGAAGTTCAACCTGTCGCACAGCAATGTGCGCCAGGTGCGCAGTCAAGGCAGGGATGCGACAGTTATCCTACAGGGCAGCCAAGCGCGCAATCCTCTCGCGTAGTGTAACCAGCGGAATGGGAACCGCAACGACCGCAGGCAGAGTGGGCGACATGCCCTTCGCCCCGTCAGGAGAGATGCAATCTGGCTGACGCGGCGGAAACTGCATACGCGCTTCTCGAAATCCCAGTATGGGCCATGCTTAGATGAAGATCGGAAATTAGACCTGCGCAAACTGCATAACAAACATTGGTGAAAGAGTGCTGACACGCATCACTCAGGCTCAAACAAGCTACCCGACGAGCAACTTCACTGTGCAGAAATACTTACAAGTTCAGTTGAAGGAACACACCTGGCCTTGACGAAACGCGAAACGCTGTTTGTGTGCCGCCTCGAGCGCCAAAAGCGGACGGACAGAAGCATCTGCAAGAGGGGGCGAAGTGGAAAAGGGAATAGAGGAATGGGAGGGGACGTGAGTTAGTATCGTGGCTCAAAGAAATTCGAAGACGCAGTAGGATACGAAGGTAGTTTGGAAAGGGAGGGAACAATTGAAAGTGATGCTTGAATGGGCACCTTTGAAGCTCGAGGTCACCACCTCCCTTCCCTTCCCAGGCTAGCAGGTCTCGATGATGTTGCCAGCTGTGCCAGCACAGCACGGATGGGGCTATCACAGAGGCTCGCGAATTGACGAGTAGTGATAGAAGTGGTTACTGCTGCTCAGGGTTGCTAGTCGCAAAGTTGCAACACACGTGCTTCATATGATGCGCTGGAAAAAGGCATCGGGTCTGAGGGTGGGTTCGCAATGACGTGTCAAATTCCTTTTGAAAGGTTACCCGCTACTGAGTGGCTGCATACAGTTTCAAGTTCGGTACACGCTAACTGCGGTGTAAACGTTAGTCGAGGTTACAAATTTGGCAGGACATTTACAGCTGCGACGAAAAATTGTAACACGAGGTCACTTTCGCACTGTAACTGGTGCATTCGGTAGTCGCTTTATCGCGGTTTGGGGAAGGGGTTGCAATCACGTACAATCCTTACAGTGTGCCAGATGTACTCGTTGTGTTCTAGGGTTTGCTCGAGCATTCCTTTCGGCAACTTTGTACATACCTTTTTTTAGCATACCTAGGCATAGTCGCCCTTCCGGCGTTTTTGGGAGCTCGAATTATTTGCTTCGTGGGAGGCGGCGGAATGGGCGGCGGTGGAATGGGCGGAGGCGGAATGGGAGGCGGCGGAATGGACGGCGGCGGCATGGGCGGACCTGGTTCCTCTGCTCCCGAATCGCAATCAGCCATGGGTCCTGGGGGGAACATGTGTGGCAGCGGAATGGGCAGCGGCGGAATGGGCGGCGGCGGAATGGGCGGCGGCGAAATGGGTGCCGGCGGCATGGGCGGCGGCGGCATGGGTGGCGGCGGCATGGGTGGAGGCATGGGCGGACCTGGGTCCTCTGCTCCCGGATCACAATCAGGCATGGGTCCTGGGGGAGGCATGGGTGGTGGCGGAATGGGCGGCGGAGGAATGGGAGGCGGCAGAATGGGCGGAGGAGGCATGGGTGGCGGCGGAATGGGCGGCGGCGGAATGGGCGGCGGCGGCATGGGTGGCGGCGGAATGGGCGGCGGCGGAATGGGCGGCGGCGGCATGGGAGGGGGCATGGGCGGACCTGGTTCCTCTGCTCCCGGATCTCAGTCAGCCGTGGGTCCTGGGGGAGGCATGCGCGGCGGAGGCATGGGCGGCGGAGGGATGGGCGGCGGAGGCATGGGCGGCGGAGGAATGGGCGGGTCAGGGTGGTTTGCTCCAGGGTCGCAGGCAGCACCCGGCCAGGGTGGACCTGGGATGGGCGGAGGGATGGGCGGAGGGATGGGCGGAGGGATGGGGGGACCACAGTAGTCTCTCCTGCTCTGAGCAGGGGCAGTTATGAGCCTGACCGCACCCCAGATGTCATTCTCAGAGGCGCATGGCCGCAGCAGCACTTCCAACAGAGTGCCGCCAGCAGTGCTGCTTCGTCCAAGCTCCTCTTTACCATCAGACTCATGAAGCCAGCACAATGCTGCTCGTCCCAAGCACTAGACTCATCAGGGGTATAGTATCGTTTGAATTGAGCAGCATGGATCGTTGTATGGATGTTGCTCCTGTACCGTCTGTAGTATGGTGGAAAGAAAGCTATTGTCACCAGAGTTATTATACAGTATCTCTACACTATTGTCACCGTATACTACCATTGTACAAGAACCCACTTGCCTTCCTTGCACTGCTGGAGAGCATGTTCATCATCTCATTGCCATGATTCGCATGCATTTCCATCCATATCCTTCCAAGAAAAAAAGACAACTGTCTTCCATCTGTAGCTGGGACGGCCAAGCCAAGCTGCAACCACTTGTTCTTCACTAAACTCCTAGCCATCACACTTGCCTGTCACCCGCCATTTCATTTCACCATCTCCTCTCCCCTCTCCTCTCCCCTCTCCTCTCCCTCTCCTCACCCTCCCCGGACCATCTTCTCTTCTAGCCACCTCCTCCTCCCTCCTCACCTCCCATACCTCCTCTCTTTCTATCCCTCTTTTTCTTCTCCCTCCTTTTTGCCTTCCTCTTTGCCTCCCTCCTCCTCATCGCCCTCCTTTCTCTCCTCCTAATCTCCCTCTTCTCCTCCCTCCCTTCCTCCTCCATCCTCTCCTCCCTTACTTCCTCCTCCTCTCCTTCCCTCTCGTCTCCTTCAATCTCCTCTACTACCACCTCCCCTACCCCTCGCCCCCCTCGTCCGGTCCCCTCTCCCTCCCCCTCCCTCTCTTCCTCTCCCTCCCCTTGTCCCTCCCTCACCCTCACCCTCTCCCTCTCCCTCTCCTCCTCCTCCTGCCCCGCCCCTTCCACCGCATTCAACCCTACCCTGAACTCATGCCTCTCCCCCTGTCCCCTGGGTGCAACTGTTGTGTGGCCTGCCCTAATCTCATCCTTCTCCTGCTGCACCTCACCCACCTCTCTGCTACTTGCACCGTTCCGCATTCCCCCACTCTCCCTGACTACTTCTCCTCTCCTTCTCCCCTCCAATGCACCACCACCCATAGCTTCTGCCAATCGCTCCCTCAACTCAGCCACCTCCCTCTTCATCCTCACCCCCTCCTCCCTCTCTCTGACCACCGCAGCAGACACTGCTCGCTCTCTCGCACTTATTTCCTCCACTCGCCTTCGCAGCTCATTCCACTCCACGGCTCTCTCCCTCTCAGCCTCCTGCGTTTCACTCCTTGCCGCTGCAATCTGCATCCCAAGAGCGTTCAATCTCCTCTCCATCTCTTGCTTCAGCGGCTCTGCTCCCTCCCTTCGCCTGGAAACCATCCCAAGAGCACTACTCACGCCACGCAATCCGGGAATGCCCAGCCCACTGCACGCGGCAGCATAGAGGAAAATAACACTTGCGATGACAAGGCATGGCATGATAACACATATGGAAAGTGCGATAGGGGAAGGCAGACAAGGGCACGCATATGCAAGCGTATATCACGAGCGATAATTTGGTACAAGGGAGAACACAGAGTAAGCAACAGGAACCCCGAGAGGCCCAGCTGACGATACATGCAGAAACGTAGTTGGTAGAATTTACATGCAGTTGGTAAGACCAGGACATTCTCACATGGCACAGTGGAGACGAGGGAAGATCCCAAGTGTCTGTAGCACGATGAGGAGGGGAGAGACGACAGGGGAGCAGGCATGAGGGAGAGGGGTTGAGAGGAGTGGCGACATAAGCGTGGAGTGAGCAACGGGTGGGGCCTTGCAGGGACATTTGTAGTGCTGTGCTGAATTCTACAAAGTGATGATGGCCCTTCTTGGGAGATGATTATTCAAGATTAGCCGCACTCGAATCATGGCGAGAGGCTGAAACTAGGGACTGACTGAGGGTGCAATCAGAGACAACCACTCGTAACGTAAGCTAAGAAACACAGCAATCTATGCAAACCACGAGGGCCGCGACTCACGGCATACCATGGAAGAAACAGATGCTCTTCTCAGGTTCGTCAGCTTCGCCCTCACAGCAGAGCCCTGTCGCTGCAACCACTCCCTCATTGCTGACTGATGTCGCTGCACCCACGCCCTCACTTGTGCTTGAGAAATGTCCATCCACCAGAGCAGTCCCAAGAGGGGACACAATGCTGTGTAGAGCACGTAGAGCTGTGGTGGGATACCCACACATGCATGCACACACAGACGCATGCGCGCAACCACACACGCACACGAAAATGCAACCACACACACACACACACACACACACACACACACACACACACACGCACACGCTCACGCTCACGCACACGCACACGCACGCACGCATGCACACATACACACATGCACATGCACACACTCGTACACACATGCACACACATGCACACGCACGAACACACAAATACACACACAACCACATGCACACCACACACAGCAACCGCACAGCGCGGCAACACATGCAACACGCATGGTGGAAGTTAAGAGCACAACAAGAGGAGTAAAACCGTCTGAAGAAACAGTTGGATGCCAAGAGTAGGATCGTTGCCACTCATGGTTGGAAGGACAGCGGTACAATAAAAAACGCAAGTATAGGGTGCCAGAATGAATAAACCGGAGGATGCCAACGGTCATGCAACAAGCAGACCTTCACTCCTCAACCATGCACGAGAGAATGTCACGAGTGAGTGCGTGCACGCACCAGGGTTAGGAGGAGGTGAAGTGCCAGAGCGCGTAAAGAGAGAGGTTGAACCGAAGAGTCTGCGCTTTCCTCCGCCTGAAGAGCAACCAGACTTGTGGCATTGTGACACGTGGCTGTGGCGCTGGGCTGGGAGGAGGAACAAAACAAGAGTGATTGGATCCAGTGGGATAGGCACAGCGACAAAGAGACATCAATACACTGATACACCGACATGGTGAATATGCCAAAGTGGGATAAACAGAGTCACACGGAGGCTCACATCACATGCATCAATGCACTGATTGATGGAGAAAATGCGGTTGCAAGAACCTGTGACTTGTAAACTAATCGGTTAACACAACAATGCAGGCGTGCATGGGAGCTTAACTTCCGGGAGTCAGAACAAAGGTCAACCACCTGACTTGTGATATTTAATTGTGTAGGTATATAGGTGTGCATGTGCATGTGCAGTAGATTGTGAAAGTGGGCGTGTCTGTGAGGCTGATTGCATGCCTCACAGCATGAGCTTGTTGGGATGCATGTGAGCTGCCAGTGCACCGCATGAACCCAATTCATGTGCTCGTGTGCTCGTGTTGTGTGCGCACCTCAGGGGGAGTGGGAGGCTGATGCACCAAAGAGTGGTTCGCTTGCAGTTGATGCTCGAAAGAGAGGTTTGCAGGGAGGCCGCTAATGACACGTGGAAGCTGCAAAAGGCAACACGGACAGCAGGGGTGAGAAGACAGGTGTGTCAGAACAGGTGAGAGCAGAGAAGAGAAGAAAGTCGTTAGAACGGATGAGAGCAAAGGAGAGAGGAGTCCGAACAGGTGATGGTTAATGGTTGATTGATGGTTGATGTGAGCTGAGCTTTGGCCGTGTGTAACAGCATAGCTCAGAGCCATGACATAACCTCCACTCTGCCTCACTGCCTCATGATGCTCTATAACGCTGGCAAACTGACCAAACTTGCGGACTCGTTCCAGTCCTGGTGTAAGTTGAACAAGGCGCTGCAAAAATTTGCCTCAAAAGCTGCTGTAGTGCGGTGAAATCAGCCACATACCTGGCGCGTGATGCCGTTGCTGTCAGGCAGAGCATGTCTGAGCGGCAGCAGCCTCGATACAGTCACAGCTGCAAGAAGCACTGTGATTAACAGCCCTGCCCCAGCCACAACCACTCCAACCACTCGAGGCATACCGCGCGATCCGCAAGGAAGAAGGAAGGATTATCAACACGTGAGAACGGAGGTTAGAGGGGGAGAAGTTGGCAAGGGGGGAGGAGAACGAGGTGGTGGGTGGTGGAGCAACCACAAGGCTTGAGAAGTGGAAAGGCTGGGAGGCTGGGAGGCTGGGGAGTGTTTAGGTTTAGGGCAGTCGGTTGGTGGGGCTTGGCTTGGTTCGGCGTGATCGCCGAGCTCGGTAGGGCGGAGCTTCGCATTGCGGAGCTGCGCATGGAAGGGCTGCGCATGGCGGGGCTGCGCATGGCGGGGCTGCGCATGACGGTGCTCGGGTCCCGCCGGATCATCCCCGAGCTCAGTAGCACACTTTCATGCAATGCGAGTCGCAACGTTTGCGAGTCCCCGGCGAGGAGCGAACCAGCAGCACGCCATGCGAGGGTGGATGGGCTGAAGTGCGCTTCGATGCCACGAGAGAGAATCAGTGGTCTCGCCTTGTTTCGGGACTGCGCCTGCCCTAGAGTCCAGCGCCCTTTGCCTTTTTGCCACGTCAAGATGTTCGAGCGAATCGCGGAATCGCAAAATCTCTTGCAAGATCTTTGTGGCGAACTCAGCAAATTGCTTGACGTCAATCCCTCCAAGACTTCGGAACAGCTGTCGAAAGTTCAGCCCTTCTCCAACCAAAAGGCATGCGGGGTTGTACCAGGTCTCGTTTATCCAATAACGAGGATTCGAGTTTGAAGACGTCATTCTTCTCAGAAGGCTCGGTTCAGTTCGGACTACCTCATAGTGAACCGAAGAATGCGGGCGGGAAAAAGTGTTCTAGCCATTTTTCACGCCCTAGTTCACACCTTGTTCACGTGCTTCTCTCGCTTAGTGAATTGCGATGGATTACGATTGATGCGACGTGTGCGATGAGTCGGACGCCCCTGTTTAGGCTCATCGCACACGGGACATTGAATTCGCAGATGTTGTGTTTCCGCGGGCAGATTGTTGCGTTTCTTCGCTAGCAGTTTGGGCCTCATGCCGCCGATGAGAATGGGGGGATGGCGCGGGTGGGTGTTCGGTGGACGAAAATGTGGGTTCGCACGACGAGAGACGCGACGCGACGAGCCTCAGCTGGCGAGGGGCTAGTCTCGCGAGCCGTCGATGGAGGGACCAACATTGTCAACGTTGACGTCCCGGGCAACGTCCATCGACGATGGAGATGATGTGTTGAGACAGACATCCACCCTCGCATGAAACGATGCTGCTGATTCTCTCCTCGCTGCGACCCCCGAGGTGACACTGCCTAGATCTGCCATCACTCCTACCACGTGCATGGTGCATGATGTCGAGTGACGTCATCTTGTTGAGCATGACCGTCACGGCAGCAAGCACACGGTCACCATGACAGTGACAGCATGTCGAGAAACTCGGCGCGCTACTCGGCTCGGGTCTGCTCGTTTGTTGCCCCAAGCGCCTCAAAAATCGACCGCATGGCTGCGGTGGCCTCTCCTGATGCATGTCTTCACATGTAATCCCCGCCCTGTCTTATCGTCATCTCCATGCTCCATCATAGAGCATCGTGTAATCACTCGCTCACATCGTCCCTCGTCGTTCCGCGTCTCGTCCACGCCTTTTTTAGCTGAGCCATCTCGACTATTCCTCACCTTCGGGCATTTGAGCTCACCTATTGTTCGCCTGACGGATTTGTAATTTCTATAGTCGTCCATCGTGCTTTCCATCTCCAGCACTTCCTCTTCTTCCTTGGTCTCTCATCCGCAACCGCTCCAAGTGTGTTGCCGCTGCTCGACTTGGCCGGTACTCTCCCCTGGTTTCTCCCAGCTCATCGCCATGGCTCGAGTGGTGGGGTTTTAAGTTTACTCAAAACAGCTCGGCTCGGCTGATACTTTTTCCTGATTTCTCCTAGCTGGACGCCATGGCTCGCATGGCTGGAGTGCTACGGCGGTGGCAGGGCTGCTAGTCGCAGTAATTTTTGCCTCTGTGACAATATTGAGGCTGCTGTTTGTGAAAGTTGACCCTCCTGCCGGGGATGTGATACACTCTCACACCATGTATAAGTCAGATTCAGACAGATTCTGATTTTATACCACCTGACATCTATGAAGTCTAAGGTCGGTTTGTCTGCGCTTGAGATTGAGAAAACCTAGAGGCGGAAAGGGTCAAGTCAAGCGCAGACAAACCGACCTATGGTGGCATGGCGGAGTTGCTCTACATATGGTGTTGCTGGAAGCTATGGCATCCCATGTGATGCATGGGTGGGGCCTTGCGATCCAAACCATGGAGATGTGCTGTGGCCGCCATGCTATGTGAAGCTAGTTTCACCCATCAACCTCTTCTCTTACCTTTTCTCTCTCGCCTTTCCCGTCTGTTGCCTTTTTCAGCTTCCACATGACCCTCCCAGCCTGGGAGCAGACCACTCTCTCGTGCATCCACCCACAAAATTCGACACCGACAACCCTCGTTGAGGGAGTACGCACAGTCCACGTGTTCAAAAAAATCTTAGTGGACACTCGTTGAGGCGCCTCAAAAGTGGACTCTCCTTGAGGGAGTTCGCACAGTCCACGGTTCAAAATAGGTGCGTTTCATCTGCCTTGCACCTCCCATCTGCCTTGCACCTCCCATCTGCCTTGCACCCCCACAGCTCTCTTCAGTCTCGTAGCTATTCACCCTCACATCTTATACTCTTGCCTGTGTGTGCTAAAAATACCTGTGGATATTCTTATCATCGACATCAATAAAAAGAATCGCTTTATTGGACAGCGGTCCTGCAGGTTGAGTCCTCCTGTTGCAGTTATCCTGCAATGATATGAGTCCTCCTGCGGTCCTGGGATGTGCAATCCGTGTGACTGGGACAGGAGGACTCACCTGCACTTCTGTCCAGCCCTCAATTACGTTTGGTCGTCCCCTGCTTTCCCCTTCTCTTTCAATTCATTCAGCTTATACGTCTCCATGCTTCATCTCCTCTCCCGTTCTTCTCCCGTTTGTTTCTCTTTCTTCTCCTCTGGCCTGTGTGTGCAGTCGCGAGCAGAGGGCGAGGGGTGGGAGGAGCGGGTGAGAGGAGTGTTGGCAGGAGGGCACGCAAGGGAGGAGAGGAGGTGGAGAGGAGAAGGCACAATTGGCCGAGGACAAGGTCACGTGCCAGTTGTACCTGCGCTTGCGCAACCGGGATGGCCGCTACTCCCTCATGTTTGAGGTGTGTTTTGGGTTGGGTTCGGATCGGATGGGAGTGAGGCCTGCTGCTGAGTGGTGTAGGAGCCGTTGTGAGGACAAGGGCATGACGCAGTAGCACCTGTGTAAGCTCAACCAAGATGGCTGCTCATTCCGCAATATTGTGTGAGTTTTAGCTCGTAGTTTCAGCCACTAGAGGTATAGCTTGTTATCAAATGTGTCGAGATGGCCGAGTTGGTCTAAGGCGCTGGATTAAGGTTCCAGTCCTAAATGGCGTGGATTCAAATCCCACTCTCGACAATTTTTTGCATTCTTGGGCGTTTAGGGGATGACGGCGCCGGTATACGAGAGCATCTCGCCCCGTGCCCCCTCCGTCGGTGAAGATTGACAGCTCAAAGCTACTTATGTGCAGGTGGGGAGGGAGGGGGGAAGAGGAGGAGGGAGGGGGGAGGAGGGGGAGCTTCTCTACTTTCAGGCATCAAGTTTCCGAATTTCCACGTCCCGCTTTCTCCTCATCCCCCCACCACCCCCTCTCCCATCCCCCACACGCTTTGCCAGCCGTCTCCCCTCTCCTCTAGCGCGCTCAAGGCTCAACTGCGCGTATCCGATGACATGCACTCATGCCCCTCTCTCTCTCTCCGCCTCCCCGCCTCTCTCAACCCTCCCTCCCATCCAGCCGTCTCCCCTCTCCTCTAGCGCGCTCAAGGCTCAACTGCGTGTATCCGATGACATCCTGCCCTTCATACCCTCCTATCTCTTCCCATCCGGAACTGTTCCTTCACCAGGGACGCTTTTTTTCCCGCTAGGCTGGAGTGGGAACAACGCAGATGGGAGTGGGAGTGGGTGAAGGAGGAGGAGGAGGAGGGAGAGGGCATTCGAGTTGTTGGGGAGGAGGTAGTGGGGGTTTATAAGGGGAGGATGGGGCAGGGTAGGGAGGTGCGGAACGGTGGGAGGAGGGAGAGGTGGGACAATGCACGAGTGCGGCACGCAGGGTGATGCCGAATAAGGAGATGGCATGGCAGGGGGGGTACATTGTGGGGACAGAGCAAAGGCGGAAGTAGGATCAGGCGCTTGCTTCTGAAACAGGATTCTTATGCAGGTCCTTCCAACAATGATTCGCGCTCTTTCCTGAGTTTTCACCAGGAGCAAGTGGACTTGCTGAGATAAGGCTCTACATGTATGTCCGCAATACCAGGCTGAAGAGCAAACTGGTCCATTTCAAGCCCAATTAGTGCCTGGGTTCTAAGTTGCAACATGTTCCCCTCACCGTTTTTTGGACTTCCGTAGATGTCAATTGTGGCATTTCAGATTAGCTCCTTTTATCCACTTGCGTACAGGCACCGTAGATGCACTGAGCTTTGGAAGAAGCTCAGATTGGAGAATGTCTGTGGTTGTATGATTGACATTCTAATCGTGTAGCATACCAAACTTACAGATAACGCGTATGGTTGGTGGACAACAGGCATGGTCCGCGATAACGCCACTACGGCAATCCCAAGAAGGGGTGTGATGTGATCAGTATGATTCGCGTTGCTGCTGGAAAATTAGTTGGCTCCTATTGTAGATTACGGACTGCCTGGCATCAGCCAAACGCGAGGAAAATAGGCGTCGTCCCGTCTTAAATATGTCAAGATTCTCCATAGATTGAATATATTCCCGACTGTGTGACTGGTACACGTTTTCAGGGCGCTAACGCTGTAGCTGTTTCTTCGCGATTCTGCTCTAGTTTCCTTCATTTCATCTCCTTCGCTATGAATTAGCTTCGCTAGTACGGCGTTCTCAATGTCGCCGTTTACATTCGTGCTTCTGGTAGTCGTCGTATGCGCGTGTGCGACGTCGCCAGCTGTCGCATACACCGTGCGATTCGAGATCTCGACCGATCCAAAGTGTTTCGACGAGGAGGTTCGCGAGGGTGTGCTTGTAGCGGGGTCCTACGTGGCGGTCAACGACGGTCACGGGGAGCCGTTCAAAGTCAACGCTCAGGCAAGTGAATAAAATGGCCAGTCAGTAAGCGAATGCTCGGGTAGGAGCCTGACTTGTCGGTCAGGCGTTTAAATTGCCGGTCAGCCTTGAATTCTTTGAAGGGGTTGGTGGAATGGCTGAATGGATCGTCAGGTTGCGGATAATTCTCCGTGCACCACAATACCGCAGGGAGCGTGATATTAGAGCACAAGAGGGACGAGCAGACGAACTATCTGCAACGATATGGGATCGTCCGACTTGCTTCCTCGGTACTCGCACGATTGACGAGCCAGTGAGTTGGCAACGTGAAAGAAGTGTAATTTAAAGACGTATCAAATATACAGTTCCTCTAAGTGACGGACGGGGCGAAAGCAAGCTCCTTTCTTGCGAGGGGACCTTCCTTTCGCCCAGTCTCCGTCCTTCCCACCAGGAGACGGGCCCGTCAGGGCAGCAGCTGCTCTGTACTGGCAGCACAATGTGGCGGCGGGGGTGTCGTGCCTGGCACAGCAAGGCCCGGTTCGCTTCGCAACAACGTGTTTCTGCTGCCACCCCATTCCCTACAATGAAAAATCCCTACATGACACGTGTTTCCGCGGGCAGGTGACGGACCCGTCAGGGCAGCAGCTGCACTGGCAGCACGATGTAGCGGAGGGGCACTTTGGGTTCACAGCGGACAAGACGGGCGAATTCTCGTTGTGCTTCTGGCTGCCCCACGAGGGGCACCATGTCGCACTGCTGCAGCCTTCAAATCTTCCACTGGCTGACTGACAGGCAGGCTGCTGACAGGCTTTACAGGCCCTGCAGGCTCAATAAGCCCCGCAAGCTCAATTCCACCACATATTATGCCTCTGATCGTTCTTCACCCCCTGATCGTTACGCCTCCTGTTCCTTCCGCTCGCTCCCCCCAGGTGACGGACCCGTCAGGGCAGCAGCTGCACTGGCAGCATGATGTGGCGGAGGGGCATTTCGGGTTCACAGCGGACGAGACGGGCGAATTCTCCGTGTGCTTCTGGCTGCCCCACGAGGGCCACCACGATGTGGCACAGGGGCATCTTCCCCTTACAGAAAGGCACATTACTCTGCATGCTCGCTCCCGCCGTGTCGTCACTGCACTACATGAAACAGTGTTCCCCGTGCCGTTTTCCTGCGTCTCCCTCTGCCCAGGTGACAGACCCGTCAGGGCAGCAGCTGCACTGGCAGCACGACGTGGCGGAGGGGCATTTCGGGTTCACAGCGGACGAGACGGGCGAATTCTCCGTGTGCTTCTGGCTGCCGCACGAGGGGCACCATGACGCCAAGCGCACTCACAAGATCGACATCACGTGGACCACGGGCAAATCGCAGAAGAGCGTCAGCCACGGTGCTAAAAAGGAGAGGCTCGATGTGAGTGGTGCAGTGGGGTGCGGTGTGGTTTCGTGTGGCGTGGGGTGGGGGGGGATGGGGTAAGGTGTGGGACAGCATGACCCCAAGCGCACGCACAAGAGGACTACTGGCAAATCGCAGAAGAGCGTCAGCCACGGTGCTAAGAAGGAGAGGCTGGATGTGAGTGGTGCAGTGGGGTGCTCCTCCCAGCACGAGCTGCTCCACAATGTGACCTGTACTGTATCTGCAGAACCTCCTTGCCGATCATCTCCTTGCCTCCCCCTTTGACTTTTGAGTCGACTCAAGATGCTCTGCGCAGCAGGGGCTGCTCCACAATGTGACCTGCATCTGCAGAACCTCCTTGCCGAGCATCTCCTTGCCTCCCCCTCCTCCTCCCCCTCCCTCTCCCGCTCCACGGCAGCACCTTGACCTGGAGCTGGATCTGCAGAATCCGATTTCATCCCTTTGCCAAGCTCCCACCCCACCCCAACCAACCCCCCCGCCCACACACCCCGGCGCCCCTCCATCACCGGCAGCGCTTTGACCCGGAGCTGCAGAATCTGATTGAACCCGTTTGCCAATCTCGAAACCCCCACCAAACCCCCATCCCCTCCCCATCCCCCGCGCCCCTCTCCCCCGCAGCACTTTGACCTGGAGCTGCAGAATCTGATTTCATTCCTTTGTCAAGTTCCCACCCTAAACCCTAATCCCCCCTCCCCCTCCCCCCCTCCCCGGCAGCACTTTGACCTGGAGCTGCAGAATCTGATTTCATTCCTTTGTCAAGTTCCCACCCTAAACCCTAATCCCCCCTCCCCCTCCCCCCCCTCCCCGGCAGCACTTTGACCTGGAGCTGCAGAATCTGATTTCATTCCTTTGTCAAGTTCCCACCCTAAACCCTAATCCCCCCTCCCCCTCCCCCCCTCCCCGGCAGCACTTTGACCTGGAGCTGCAGAATCTGATTTCATTCCTTTGTCAAGTTCCCACCCTAAACCCTAATCCCCCCTCCCCCTCCCCCCCTCCCCGGCAGCACTTTGACCTGGAGCTGCAGAATCTGGAGGACGCTATCGACAAGGTGACGCAGGAGATGAGCTTCTTTCACGAACGGTGCGCGAGAGGGAGGGGGGTGGGGGAAGGGGGTGGGTTAAGGGGTGGGGAAGGGGAATGGGGGAAGTGGGCAAGGGGAATGGGAAGAAAAGGGGAAGGGGATGAGCTGCTAACTCTGGAGGACGCTATCGACAAGGTGACCCAGGAGATGAGCTTCTTTCACGAGAGGTGCGCGAGAGGGAGGGGGGATGGGGAAGGGGGAAGGAGTGGGCAAGGGGGAAGGGGGAAGGGGATGAGATGCAGAATCTGGAGGACGCTATTGACAAGGTGACCCAGGAGATGAGCTTCTTCCATGAACGGTGAGCGAGCGGGAGGATAAAGGCAAGGGGTCAAGGGGGGAATGTGGGAATCGAAGGGGAGGATATTATTAGTGACGCAAGGAATGAGCTTCTTCCACAAACAGTGAGTGAGAGGGAGGGAAGGTAGGGAGAATGGGAAGGGGAAGGGGAAGGGGAGGGGGAAAGGGAATTGGAAGGGAGAGGAAGAGGAGAGGGATGACGCTCCAAGAGTTGCAAGTGGAGGCGGAAAGTACCTGTGCTCAGGTGGCATGGCATGGCATGGCATGCATGGCATGGCATGGCATGGCATGCATGGCATGGCATGGCATGGCATGGAGGTGAGGTTGAAAATGGAGGCAACACATTCATTCTCACATGGCTCGCTGTTAGTAGTTCTCACGACCACACACGCACTGGCCCCAGATCTCCCACTCCCACTCGACCCCCTCTGACTCTCCTCTCTCCCCCTTCTCATGCTCGGAGCCTGGAGTTGAGGATGAACGCAGCGGCAACACACATTGCATTGCGGATAAATTCCTTCTTCCCCTTTTCCCCCTTCCCACCCTCCCCTCCTGGTGCACCCCTCCCCCCGCATGCACAGGGAGCTGATGCTGAGGATGAAGAAGGAGGAGACACACTCGTGCGTGGCAATGGCATGGCTCAGCGGGGCGACTCTTCAGTCGACTCAAAAGTCACCTCGTTACAATGGCACTGGATGAAGGAGGAGACACACTCGTACGTGGCAATGGCATGGCTCAGCGGGGCACGACGTCTCTCCTCGAGGATCCTTTCTGAGTCGCCTTAAAGACCCCCTCCCCTTTTCCTCCATTGTTCCCCTCCCCCATCTCCACACACAGGGAGCTGGCAATGAGGATGAAGACGGAGGAGACACATGTGTACGTGGCATGGCTCAGTGTGGCGTCTCTCCTGGTTTGTGGCACCATCGCCGCGCTACAGCTCTGGCACCTCAAGCGCTTCTTCGAACGCAAGAAGCTGCTATGAGGGGCTCTGTAACGAGGGCTTTGTAACGATGGCTCTGTAACGAGGGCTTTGTAACGATGGCTCTGTAACGAGGGCTTTGTAACGATGGCTTTGTAACGAGGGTTCTGTAACAAGGGCTCTTAAACGAGGGCTCTTAAACGAGGGCTCTACACTGAACTCTACTTGCGGCTCTGTGCTTTACTGGTTATATCCATGCCATCAATCCACGCCATGCCATGCTATTGGTGATGTCGATTCTGGTCATGTAATGGTTTGCGAGATTTTGTCAACACAGTTGTATGTGATTTCAACATGGGTAACGAGAACATGTACTGCAATGGTTTCCCTTTGTAACGAGAACCCTGAAATGGGCCGAGTCACTAATCAATGCAACTCATTTCTGGCAGGGCAAGTCCCGAAATCTTCCAGGATTTTTAGTGCTGGCTGGGTAAACTTCCTGAAAAAAGTAGGTCTGTTCGTTAGTTCGGGACTCACAGTGGCCAAGATATTTCATATTTGCCTTGGTGGCGTGGCGCAGAGCAATTCGTATTTTCAATCACTGCCTACAGTTCAATACTGTGCATTTTGTAACTCCCAACACGAGCCACCAGTTCTGCACACTTCTGTCCTGCTGCTTCTTGCTGCTGACGCGACAGTACACAACTTGCCACTTATCCCGTTAAACAGAACCACTCACTCACTCCCTCACTCCCTCACTCACTCCACCTCTCCCTCGGACAAATGCATTCTCTCTTCCCCACACCTCCACTAACACCACAACCCCCTCACTCCCTCATCAAGTCAAGTGCATACTCTCTTCCCCACACCACCAGAAACACCACAACGCCGAGCCAAACTCCCAACTCTCACCCCAACCAACACAATCCTTCCGGCGCCCCTCCTGTCTCAACTCATGCGATGTCACACTCGTAAAATGGCAGCACACGCATTTTGCCCTTCGTGCTTTGTAGTCTCTAGAGCGACTCTTCTGAATACCAGAACTGGTTCCTTCCCACACGCGTTCTACTTTCTGAGAACGCACGTTCTCTGCAGTCCTTCTGCCCAAGTAGGAACCGTAGGTGCTTCGTAGTTCAGTGCGTACTGGTTATCTCATTCACGCAAATTGTCTCTCCTTGCAGCACAAGACTTCATTCAGCTGCGACATTCCTCACCTATTTTTTTCAGCAAACAACCGCGAGGTTTTCCAGGCCCTCCATTTCGGCGCCCTGACTACTGTCGGCGCGGCTCCTGTCGACCAATTCTGAAACAGAAGCTCGTCGAATGCCCTGTTGGCTGCAAGGGAGCAACCACAATGCCGCTCGCGCGTGGCTTTCGCCAGCCAATTGATGGTGCTCTCACCGCTACTGGGGGCCTCGGAATGAACGTCGCGGGAAACGGTTATATGATGGCCTTGGAACCTGCTAGTACTACTATTACCGCGTCCGCCGCCGCCGCTTCTGCCGCCGAGGCCGCCGCGGCCGCGAAGAGCCGCGTAGCAGCCGAGTCGGCAGGAGATTCAATTGCTGCGATGATTGCGTGTGTGTCCCCGTTAGCAAAGGCGACAAGAGTGGATGGCACCGACGTGCAGAGCACGCCACGTGGCAGAGAGTACCAGCTGCCGCAGCATCCGGCGGCGTACCCGCCTCCAACGCCGCGGAAGCGGCGGAACGTCCGTAGCGCCGGCGGATGCGCCGCGGCGAAGCGGATCTCTCGCGTTTTGAACTTCGCGACGGCGGAATGCGGCTTCCTGGGCGACGGCAGAAGCTCGATCCGCTTCGTCGCGGCGTGCGAGTAACAGGCATCCGCGCGATTACTAACACCTTCCCGTCGTCGCGGATTGGGAGTACTAATGTTGTCTGGTATCAGGGGTTGTATAGCAGCCTACCGCGAGGCTGTTCTGTGGACGACTACTCGTCGTCCGTAACTTCATCATCACGTGCTGGGAGCTGACTTTTACCTCGGATCACTGAGCTAGTGATATCCACCTACCAAATTTACTTCTGATCGTCTGCTGACTGCCTGTAGGTGCAGCATAACGTTTTCTGACACAGCGACTAAGGTTGAGGGCATGTGATTTGGACGGTTAGGCCGTTGATCCATTCGCCTCATAACCAGAATGCATTTTGTAGGTTTGACGAAAATAGCTACTGGATACATTTTGATACCCTGTGTGAAGCCATGGGGTTGTCTTATCGTAAGCCTTGGTATTGTCTAATTTGAGAAAACCATTAGCAACAAATTATTTGTTTGAAAGCTGAATTCCGAATTTGGACATTCTGAGTGTAGTTGCTTCGAGGAATCGAACTAAAGAAATCTAGGCCAGATGCGAGCCAGCCCAGACAAGGCCTGTGATCAATCCGACGGTGTACCGCACGACGCGGTTCAGAAAATCGAGGCATGTGTCGCAGCGGCGATGGCGGTCCCGTCGCAGAGATCGTCGCGTTGGATCGTCGCACTCGCGTCGCTCGCCGCGCTTGTCATTCTTGGCCCCGTGTCGTTCTCCTCTCTCCCTCCAATCCACAACGACGTAGCGGCCGCGTCAGCTTCGAATCCAGCTGGTGTAGATCTTCCCACGAAAATGTCGACAGCTGCTGCTGTGAATCGAGCCGCCCGTTTTGGCGGTAACCACGGGGAATCCAATCTGGGCCGTACAGAGAGTGTAACGGTGGATGAGAGCGGTCGTACGGAACAGTCTGCGTCGTACGGATCGACAGAGAACGAACTCTCGTCGCAATCAGCGAATGTCGAATCTGGTCAGGGACAAGATCAACGGCTAGGTTCTAATCGCGTCTCCGTTTTCATTCCGAAGTGCGCGGAATCTGCGGGGAGCGCGCCGTTGATCCACCGTCGATCAGAAACGTGAGCTGACGATCACGGTCTCCCAACCCTAGCGTCCCGCGTCGCCTATTCTTTACACCCCCACCACTTTCTCCGAGCCTTCCTTCGCTCGCTTTGCTAGCTCGAGAGTAGTGGGAGACAGCAGCAAGCGCGCCGCAGCATCCCAGCAGCAGCATTCCTGCACGTGCCATTGTCACGCCATGACTTGAAGGCCCCATCCCCCACAGCCTCAGCCTCTCCTTCTCCTTACTCACACTCCTTTCCCTTCTCTCTCCTATCCCTTCCCAAAAAGAAATCAGTCTCAGCCTAGCATCCTTCAACGCAGCACCGGACGGAATCACTGACAACACTGCCGCACTCCAGTCGCTCCCTTTCGCCCCCTACCCACACAAATCCCTGTCATTCCGCCTCTAATCCCTCCTATGCCCTCCCCAACAGTCTCAGCCTAGCATCCTTCAACGCAGTACCGGACAGCACCACTGACAACACTGCCACGTTTCAACTCATGGCACTGCCCCTCTCTCCCTTCTCTGCCTCTCAAATCGCTCCTATCCCCCCTCCTTCCCCCTCCCTAACCCAACAGTCTCAGCCTAGCATCATTCAACGCACTACCGGATGGCACTACTGACAACACTGCTGCCTTCCGAGCAGCTATCAGTGCGGTACAGTCGCTGGTTGCCGGCCAATCAGTGGAGGGTGGAGGTGGCACTGACGTGGCACTGGGTGCCACGCTGGTGGTGCCACGTGGCACCTGGCTGACTGGTCCTTTCAACCTCACCAGTCACATGACTCTGTTTCTGGAGCAAGGCGCAACCTTACTGGCCAGCCCTGTAAGTCATTCCACCACACTTCACCGCATTACACCGCTGCATTGCATGACATTTTCTTCAACCTCACCAATTACATGACTTTGCTTCTACTGGCCAGCCCTGTAAGTCTTTCTAACAGTGCAGTACCCCTACACTGCATTGCACCGCAATTCACCGCATAGCACCTGCGCAACTCGTTCGCACCCTGCATGCCCCCCCTTTCTCCCCCATTCCCAGCACATGCCCGACTACCCTTTGGCACCGCAGCCCCCAACAAACAGGCCAGGGCGAGAGCTGGACCCTGGGCCACGTCACCACGATGTGCGCCTGACTGATTCCCCTTCCTTCCCCCCTTTTTCTCCCTGGGCGCCTGACACGAGGGCCATGCCTCCCCTTTTTTCTCCTCCCAGCACATGCCCGACTAACCACTGCTGCCGCAGCCCCCACAACCTCCAGCATTCGGGCCTGGGCGAAAGCTAGACCCTGGCCCGCGGCACCACAATGTGCGCCTGACTGACCCTGCATGTCCCCCCCTTTTTCTCCCTGGGCGCCTGACACGAGGGGCATGCCTCCCCTTTTTTCCCCTCACAGCACATGCGCGACTACCTTTTGGTGCCGCAGCCCCCAACGTACGGGCCAGGGAGAGAGCTGGACCCTGGGCCGCGGCACCACAGCCTCATACTCGCTTACAACGTCACAGATGTGCTTATAACGGGTCAGTGATTGTCCTGTTCTGTGGGAATAGTGGTTGCTCTACCCAAGGCTGTTGATTTCCAGCGCTGGTGCTCTCGCCACCACGGCTCGTGCTACAGGAATAATATCGTAGTAGTGATTTGAGGCGTCTCAAAGCAAGGCTCGTGCTACAGGAATAATATCGTAGTAGTGATTTGAGGCGTCTCAAAGCAAGGCTCGTGCTACAGGAGTAATATCGTAGCAGTGTGCAATAGTCTCATTGGCGGCTTGCCATAGTGGGGTGTCACGGAGAGAAGGCAGTGACATCATTCGTCATCGTGGTGAAATTTGAGTCGACTCAAAAGACTTTTGAGGTGACTTTTGAGTCGACTCAAAAGACACATCGTAGTGGTGTGCTGTAGTCTCATTGGCGGCTTGCCATAGTGGGGTGTCATGGAGGGAAGGCAGTGACATCATTCGTCATCGTGGTGAAATTTGAGTCGACTCAAAAGACTTTTGAGGTGACTTTTGAGTCGACTCAAAAGACACATCGTAGTGGTGTGCTGTAGTCTCATTGGCGGCTTGCCATAGTGGGGTGTCATGGAGGGAAGGCAGTGACATCATTCGTCATCGTCTCTATTTCGACTTCCTCTCTTTACAGGAAAGAACGGGACAATCAGATGTTTTTTTAGAATTCTCAAAAGAACACTCTCCTGCATCTTCTCTTTACAGGAGAGAAGAAAGGGAGAATCGGCGGCAACGGCAGGTTGTGGTGGGAAGCCATGAGGAAGAGAGCCTGCACCACATTTTGATTTGAGTCGACTCAAAATCTGCCAGGAAAGAACGGGACGATTGACGTCAATGGGAGGCCGTGGTGGGAAGCAATGAGGAAGAGCCTGCACCTCTTGAGACGATTTTTGAGGCGCCTCAAAAATGAGGAAGAGCCTGCCTGCACTACTTGCCTGCCTTTGCTTTGCGTGGACTTAGAAGCTGCCTTTATCTCAACCCCTTCACTTATCTTTTACAGGAGAGAACGGGACGATTGACGGCAATGGCAGGCCGTGGTGGGAAGTCATGGACAGGAAGAGCCTGCACCCCATGCTTGTGGGTTTACTCAACAGTTGCCTTCATCTCAACCCCTCCTCCTATCATCTACAGGAGAGAATGGGACGATTGACAGCAATGGGAGGCCGTGGAAGCGATGGAGAGGAAGAGCGTGCACCACGTGCCTTCTGAGTCGACTCAAAAGCTGCCTGTTCTCGACCCCTCGTCGTTTCATGTGACAGGAGAGAACGGGGCGTTTGACGGCAACGGCAGGCCGTGGTGGGAAGCCATGGACAGGAAGAGCCTGCACCACATGCCTCTTGAGTCGACTCAACAGCTGTCTTTATCTCGACCTCCCAACTTGCCATTTCACAGGAGAGAACGGGACGATTGACGGCAACGGCAGGCCGTGGTGGGAAGCCATGGACAGGAAGAGCCTGCACCACATGCGACCCCACGTGATAGAGATCCAGAGCAGCTGCCACGTGGCAGTGTCCCATTTGACGCTGGTCAACGCGCCCTTCTGGTTCATCCGCCCCCTCTACTCCTCGCGCCTCTCCTTCCGCCATCTCACCATCTCTTGCCCCAGCAACGTCAGACAGACAGACGGGATTGACCCTGGTGAGTGGCTCGTGCCACATCCTCTCTCTTCTCTCGTCTCACTTCTACCACCTCGCTCCTTTCATCACATCGCTCCCAGCAATGTTAGGCAGACTGACGGCATTGACCCTGGTGAGAGAGATTGTTCTTGCATCCCCTCCCCTCCTTTGTGTATATTCTCTCTTCTCATTTATCTCTTCCCTCTGCTCTCTCCTCTCCTTATGTTCTCTTAGCGATTTAGCCATGTTTGGATGGCAAATTAAGAACTGCCATGTCAGCGCGTGCTGATAAAGATCTGACACATCATCGTGTGCTCGGAGGCTTGCCACATCAGCATGTTATTACAGAGATGTGACACACCAGCAGGGGAGTGTATCAGGCTATCACATTCATCGTTTCATACCCTTTTGAGTCGACTCCAAAATCAGCTCATTTCGTACCCTTTCCCTCCCTCCCATTTGTCCAGACTCCAGCACGCATGTGCTTATAGAGGACTGCCACGTCAGCACAGGGGACGATGCGGTGGCAATAAAGAGCGGATGGGACCAGTACGGGTACAACGCCTACCCCCCGGCACCCTCTGCTGACATCACCGTGCGCCGAGTCACCGTGCAGGTGGGTGGGTGTTGCTCCCTTTCCTCCTCTTTTGGGGCGCCTCAAAAGTCCCCTCTGCACCCTCTGCAGACATCACAGTTCGCCGAGTCACCGTGCAGGTGTGTGCTGCTGCTCTGTATGTTGCATCCTCTCCCATACTGTACCTGTAAGGAGTGGCTGGGTTGGGACCACTACAGGTACAACGCCCCACCCCCTGCACCCTCTGCTAACATCACAGTTCGCCGAGTCACCGTGCAGGTGTGTGCTGCTGCTCTGTATGTTGCATCCTCTCCCATACTGTACCTGTAAGGAGTGGCTGGGTTGGGACCACTACAGGTACAACGCCCCACCCCCTGCACCCTCTGCTGACATCACAGTGCGCCGAGTCACCGTGCAGGTGTGTGCAGTGCTCCCCCCCCTTGTCTCTCTTTGCCTTCTCCTGTCTCCTCCTGCCTCCCCCCGGCACCCTCTGCTGACATCACCGTGCGCCGAGTCACCGTGCAGGTGGGTGGGTGTTGCTCCCTTTCCTCCTCTTTTGAGGCGCCTCAAAAGTCCCCTCTGCACCCTCTGCTGACATCACAGTTCGCCGAGTCACCGTGCAGGTGTGTGCTGCTGCTCTGTATGTTGCATCCTCTCCCATACTGTACCTGTAAGGAGTGGCTGGGTTGGGACCACTACAGGTACAACGCCCCACCCCCTGCACCCTCTGCTGACATCACAGTGCGCCGAGTCACCGTGCAGGTGTGTGCAGTGCTCCCCCCCCTTGTCTCTCTTTGCCTTCTCCTGTCTCCTCCTGCCTCCCCCCGGCACCCTCTGCTGACATCACCGTGCGCCGAGTCACCGTGCAGGTGGGTGGGTGTTGCTCCCTTTCCTCCTCTTTTGAGGCGCCTCAAAAGTCCCCTCTGCACCCTCTGCTGACATCACAGTTCGCCGAGTCACCGTGCAGGTGTGTGCTGCTGCTCTGTATGTTGCATCCTCTCCCATACTGTACCTGTAAGGAGTGGCTGGGTTGGGACCACTACAGGTACAACGCCCCACCCCCTGCACCCTCTGCTGACATCACAGTGCGCCGAGTCACCGTGCAGGTGTGTGCAGTGCTCCCCCCCCTTGTCTCTCTTTGCCTCCTCCTGTCTCCTCCTGCCCCTACTACACCCTCTGCTGACATCACAGTGCGCCGAGTCACTGTGCAGGTGGGTGCTGCTGCGCTTTCTCCCTCTCCCCCTGCTCCTCTACCTCTTTCCCTCTACATAATTCAATGTTTCCAATGATGGTTTATCTAATGGTGGTTCCAGTGCCCACCCTTGCCCCCTCTGCTGGCGAGAGTGTGAAGGTGGGCGGGGATTGTCGTCAGTAAGTGCCCTTCTTTGCACCTTCTCATACACCCTCAACCGAGCAGGTACCGGCAAGAAGTGGTTGCACGGGCTTATCAATTCGCAGCGAGAGATAAGTGGAGGCGTGCAGAGATTGATAGAATTCTGGATTAACACCTGTATGCTTTTACTCCATGCACCCTCAACCAAGCAGGTCCCGCCTGGCAGTGGCGGCGTGGGTCTCTCAATCGGCAGTGAGATGAGTGGAGGCGTGCAGAGAGTCACATTCGAGGACTGCCGAGTGCTCGGTGCTGACGTGGGCATCAGAATCAAATCCGCCGCCGGACGAGGCGGGTTCGTTAAGAAGTGAGACTCCCTGCATGGTTGTTGGGGCGGGGGGTGCCATTCCTTCTTGTTTGCAACTTGAATCCCCTGTTCTATTCCATCCTCCCTCCCTCACCCTTTCCTTGTGCCACCCGCCCTTCTCCCACCCACCCTTATCGTCATCAGTGTGTCATTCATTCGCACTTGAAGTGCAAGATATGAAAGCAGCTTTCACCATCACGTCCCTCTTGCCATGTGGCATTCCTGCTCTCTCTGCCCTTCGCTCTTCCCTTTGTGCCACCCACCCCCTTGCATCCCCTCTACAGTGTGTCATTCGTTCGCACTTATGTACAGGATGTGAAAGTAGCTTTCACCATCACCTCTTTCTTCGGTCACGGAGATCCCCCGGGATTCGACCCGCACGCACTGCCAATTATCGAAGACATTACTGTAGATGGTCTTAAAGGAATAAATATCGACCGGGTTGTGAAGATAGAAGGGTTAAGGGAGCAGCCTATTAAGGGGGTGACTATATCGAATGTGGATGTCAAGTTGAGTGAGAAAGCACGCCCGGGGAAGGCATGGAGGTGTAGTGGTGTCGAGGGCGGGGGGGTGTCAAATGTTTCGGGGAGTTTGCCCACTAGAAAACAATGTACTGGGATGTCATGGGAAACATAATCAGGCATTTGAACCAAATTGGCAGCTCCTCCACATTGACAACCCCTAAACGTGCACCTCTCTTATTTGCAAGCCCGGTTCCCAAGGGCGGTTGGATGAGGAACACTGAAGGAATGACTGCTGAGCAGAGGATACTAGATACTAGAGAAAGGTGTCGTTGGGAGAAAATGTAAAGGAAGTATTTGCTCGGCAATTGTGAGATATGATTGATCAACGTCCTGCGTAAGATCGCCAAAAAAAGTTGAACCATTTCTCGATTTGTGCGTGTCATCCTTGCGCAGGGGCCATGCTAATCTTCTCTGTATCGTTCCAATTTTAACGGATGTCCCGAAGGACGATGAAGAGGTCAACAGACGATTAATTTCAGCAGTTTGTTTTGTTCAATTGTACTGTGTGGGAGCAACCTAGACTTCAGCTGATCAATCGAGAGGAAACACCAACGCCCCCTTTTGATCCGATTGGCTTCATCCTGATTCTCGATTGATCACACCGCTTCGTTCTCTTCTTTTCATGCCATCGCCGCAATACCTGACTTCGCATCACACTCCCGTATCTGCATGCATCCCTTTCATTTTCGTTACATATCCTACCTTCTGAGGTGATGACAAATGCCGACCTATCCCTAACCGACCTAGCAATTGGTCACGTCTTAGCGATTCGTCAAACATCTACAATCGTGGCACCAGATTGCATTTCTCGTAGTGTAATATGTGATGACAAAAGCTCCAAGATCAGCGACAGCAATAGCAGCTGCAGCAGCAGCGGAAAAAGAAGCAGCAGCCTGCGCCACGTTAGCGGAAGTAGAAAGGTATAGGCGGACGTGGCAGAGAGGCGGCAGCAGCTTCGCGAAGTGACGGATAAGGCAGCTTAGGGTTTGCCGTGCGTCTATCGCCTTCCAGCACGAGTGTAAATTGCTGCGAAGGCAAATTGGCAACTATAACAACCAGCGAGACCACGGAAGAGAAGGAGCAGCTGCAAACATTTGTTGCACGGTCGAGACTATAACAAAGCGGCAAGAGCGGGACCACAGCGAGCTCTGTATGCAGCGTGACGCCTGGACGCTTGGAGAGCAATCCAGGCAAGGAATCAGTGGTGAAGCACTCGCAGTGTGTACGAGGGAAGCTAATAACGAGAACGAGGCACAAAAGCCCTTCAACCTGCACTCTCCTTGTGTTATGGACGCAAGAGAAGTGACGGATAAGGCAGCTTAGGGTTTGCCGTGCGTCTATCGCCTTCCAGCACGAGTGTAAATTGCTGCGAAGGCAAATTGGCAACTATAACAACCAGCGAGACCACGGAAGAGAAGGAGCAGCTGCAAACATTTGTTGCACGGTCGAGACTATAACAAAGCGGCAAGAGCGGGACCACAGCGAGCTCTGTATGCAGCGTGACGCCTGGACGCTTGGAGAGCAATCCAGGCAAGGAATCAGTGGTGAAGCACTCGCAGTGTGTACGAGGGAAGCTAATAACGAGAACGAGGCACAAAAGCCCTTCAACCTGCACTCTCCTTGTGTTATGGACGCAAGAGAAGTGACGGATAAGGCAGCTTAGGGTTTGCCGTGCGTCTATCGCCTTCCAGCACGAGTGTAAATTGCTGCGAAGGCAAATTGGCAACTATAACAACCAGCGAGACCACGGAAGAGAAGGAGCAGCTGCAAACATTTGTTGCACGGTCGAGACTATAACAAAGCGGCAAGAGCGGGACCACAGCGAGCTCTGTATGCAGTGTGACGCCTGGATGCTTGGAGAGCAATCCAGGCAAGGAATCAGTGGTGAAGCACTCGCAGCGTGTACAAGGGAAGCTAATAACGAGAACGAGGCACAAAAGCCCTTCAACCTGCACTCTCCTTGTGTTATGGACGCAAGAGAAGTTAGGCCGTGCTCTACTATCCTGCCATCCCTTGCGGGCTATGGGATGACACAAGGGGAGTGCACAAGGGGAGTGCACTAGGGGAGTGCACAAGGCGATACAACAGATCTGCACACTGGCCTTGTGCGGTAGTTAGAAGCCCTATTCGTTACCTCCTGGCTTCTCTCCAAATATGAAAGGAAACAAAACGGATGGGGAAGGCATTGTGAGCAGAGTTTTCTCAGAAAGAGGAGTGCAACATTTTGCTGATGGGCATTGTACCATGTACCTTTATTCCACTCACCGTAGGAATTCTGAAAACCCTGGTGGAGTGTGGAGATGGCTCAGGTCAGGGGTTAGAATCACAGAGCTGCTCTGCTGGAGTTAAGGGGAAGATTTACAGTATGTACGGACTGCATATCCTCTCTTGCCAGCCATGCATTGCTGCTTGTGTCGTGCCATTTGAGCTGCCTTGCTCAGTCAACCCCCATTTCATATGCTCCGTATTGGATTCTTATATTCCCCTCGAACTTTGTTATGAGATGTCCTCGCCTCTACCCCCCTTCAAAAAGCACCTCTACGCCTTTGTCACCTCTTAAAATTCTTTTGATTCTCTGCTTGACCCCTTGGGATTTTTTTTTTATTTCCCCTTTATAAATAATCTATGCCTCCTGGAAAATCTTCCCCAGTCGCATGATGCCGATGGCCCTCTTCTTCCTGTCCTCCTTAGAAACTGTCTTGTCTTTCACTACAAGCTCCACCACGTGGCGCAGTGTACTTTCTATGTCCAGCACGCTTATCTGTTGCAGGTGGCAAATGGAAACGAGAAATTGGGCAGGGAGGAGGTGAGGGGGTGTGCAAAGGAAGCGAGAGAGCGAGGGAGTGAGCGAGGAAGTGAGTGAGGGAGAGAGTGAGGTAGCAAGTGAGGGAGAGAGTGAGGGAGAGGGAGGATTGACCAGGTATCAAGACTGCAAAACTCAGAGTTGAGGGGTATATGCAAACTTTATTCAAGAGGTGCAGAAACGGTGGCACAGAAGAAACCAGGTAATGCAAGGATGCACACGTTATTTGTTGTGAGAAGAACTGGTATGTCGAGTTTACAGGCAGAATGTCGCTATTCGAAAGCTGTTGTCGAATTGAACCATGGCCAGTTCAAACCAGGTATCGGAATGCTCGCATACCAGTTCGAATTTGAGTACGCAAGAATTGAACCGGTTCAGTTTGATTGTGCTCTCATGCTTTTTGACCTAATCCGAAGGGATTGCATGACAGAAGGGAATGCACTGAGGTAGACCAAAGGAAATGCATTGAGTAGGACCGAAGTGCGGGCACTGACCATCCAGACGGAGTTGAGGAACTCGGGCATGTTGGGCTGCTCGCTGGGCGGCTTGTGAGGGTCAACTGTGACCTGCATCTCCGCTAGCCTGTCGTTGGGGGGGGAGGGAGGGGTGGAGGGAACGATAATGGGGGAAATGGGGATTCCACAAGGCGTCAGTGCATGAAAACTCGGGCATTGGGGGTTGCTCGCTGGGCAGCTTGCTAAGGTCCACCGTGACCTGCATCTCAGCTAGCCTATTGTTGGGAGGGGAAGGGGCGGAGGGGTGGAGGGAGCATGGAGAGAAGCAACCAGTGATGATGGTGGGGAAGCATTGCAAGGGGACCACCCTGGCCTGCTTGCTCGCTGGGTGGCTTGCTCGGGTCCACTGTGACCTGCATCTCCGCTAGCCTGTTGTTCGGGGGAAGAGGGTGGGGATGGAGGGAGCATGGAGGGGAGGAACTAGTGACGATGGTGCGAAAGCATTGCGAGGGGACACCCTGGGCTGCGGGCTCGCTGGGAGGCTTGCTGGGCCTGTATCTCCGCTAGCCTGTTGGGGAGGAAGGCGTGGAGAGAGGTGTGGGGAGAAGCACAGAGAAATAGAGTGAACTGGAGGTTGTTGGGTCCATGATGTGGGGGAAGCACGGAGAAGCATAGGATGCTGCTCGCTGGGAGGCTTGCTGGGGTCCGTCGTGACGTGAATCTCTGCTAGCCTTTTGTGGGGGAGGAAGGGGTGGAGGGGACGTGATGGGGGGGTTGCTAGCATCCTGCTTGCCAAGGACCTATGGGGAAACCTGGCGAGAGATGGGGCGAGGCTGTCGGGATTCAGGGTGGGAGCATGGAGAAATATTGAATGCTGCTTGCCAGGGAGATTTTTTCTGGGTAACATTGTTCACCGGAGTTTCAGAAAGCCTGTGGGGTGAGAGGGGGGGGGGTTTGTGATTTTGAAAGGGGAAACGTTGAAGAGTTATGGGTGGTTAAACTGCTTGGGTTTGTGCACTGATAGGGTACTCATGGAAGATTATGGGAATTCTTTGGAATCAGGGTGATAGCACATCAGGCAGGTTGATCAGGTGAGTGGAAGTGTATATGCCATCCGCAATAAGGTGATGCACAGAACTAAAATGCATCATATCGGCGAGTGTAGAAAGTAATGATGTTCGTAGCTTAGGGATTGTCCATGCACCTGTTCCGAAAACTCGCACTCACTTAAACGCAGCGCCGATGGCGTTGTTTCGGGTCTTCATCGCGTGCCCAGACTCCTTGACCGCGTTCACGAAGTTCGGAATGCCAAGCATCACCGTCATGCCCAGCAGCACTTGCGCGCGCGTGTAGTAGGTGTAGCTGGGCCGGGAAAATATATTTTTTTTTGTTGGGGGGAGGGAAAGAGAGAGGCGGGGGTCGGAAAAGGAAAGTGTGCGGTTGGGGGCAGCAGTGAGGATGTGGAAAGATCTTTGAACTACGCTTCATTTCTTTTTTTTCTTCCATTCACTTTTTCTTTCAGGCAGCCGTAAAAAAAGACAGCTGCCCGCGGACGGAATTGTCTCAAGTTTGTGACGAAACGAAACGTGACACGAGACGTGAAGGGCTAATTCGGCGACACAAGTGGAGGTAGATTACGTGTCACACAGCCACACCCGACGCTGCCCCAAAACACCACATACGCGATTCAGGCTGAAAAGCACCACATACCCGATACACTGCAGGAACGCGACGCCAAACGCCTCGCCCTTGAGCTCCTCCACCTGCGCGACGGCGTCGCGCACAAACCCCTCCTCGTCGCCCGCCATCCACGGCTCCAGCCGCTTCACCAGAATCGCCGCGAGCTCCTTCTCCCTTTTCACCTGCCACTTCTTCACATCCTCCACTGTCATATTCCCCGCCGCCGTGTACGCGATAGTGAGTTCCCCGACAAGCGACTTGAACTTATCCGCGCCGAAGGACATGGTGAAGAAATAGCCGGGGTCCATGAATGTGTCGTCTAGCGCGGCGCGGCCGAAGCGGTCGTATTTCTCGCGCTTGGCGGGGTCCATGAGGACTTGGTACGCCTCGCCCACTGCTTGGAACTTGGCCTTGGCGATTTCGTCGTCAGGGACCTTGTCGGGATGGCACGTACGCGCTAGCTGCGGACGCGATGGAGTTTTGAGAGATAGAGAGAATACAGTGCGTGGAAAGGCAGAGACGGAAGAAGGGTCGAGGAAGAGACAGAATGCTGTCCGAACATTCAGTACAACACGCATGGCGGTTCGGAGGCGCATTTGAGGCGCCTCGATCGCTTTTTCTTTTATTTTTGTTTGAGGAAGGGGAGGGGAGGGAAGGGGAGAAGAGGGGGGGGGTAAGGGGAGGAGGGGGGGCGGGTTGTTTGTTTGTTCGTTTTTATTTATTTACTTATTCCGTTTTCACAAGATTTGCACTTTCATATTCCCACTTTCACCACGCACCTTGTAGTACGCCTTCTTAATCTCCACCGACGTCGCGTCGGTCGACACCTCCAGAACCACATACAGCTCCTCCTCCTTCACTTCCCGCTTCTCCCTCTTTTCCGCCGGCGCCGCAGCGGCTTCGGATACTACGGCAGGTTTCGCAGTTTCCGCTTCGAGCGCGATCTTCTCGACAGTTTCGCGCTCTAGCGAGTACGTCTCTTCGTTAAGCTTATCCGCGTCGGCATCGTCCACCACCTCCGCTTTCTCTGCCTCCTCCTCGCACTTATCCTTCTTCATCATCTCCCGAATCGCTTCGGGCGTGTTCTTAATCCCCTCTTTCAGCTGCCGCGCGCCTTGCACTATCCCAACGGTCGGCAGAACCACGAGACCCGCAACACCTGCGATGGTCCCTTTGATCAGACCGACGCCGCCTTGCTGCACCAGCCCCGCAACCGGCGCCACGATGAGCCCTCCGACGCCGGCAAACACGCCCTTACCAACGGACATCAGTCCTTTGCCGAGGCCTTCGCGAAGGTTCTTCGCGTTGCGGTCGCCGTACAGCTGGTCGATTTTCTCCTGAACCTCCGGGAGCGTCATTGGCTGAATGCCGCCCATGGTGGGAGGAGGCGGTCCGGACGCCATAGCTTCTGCTGCCACGGAGCGGTAAGTTGCAAACTAGTGCTTGGGTTAGTCAAGGCGGAATGGGGAAGAGCGGGGAAGAAGGAAATGGGAAATTGGGATGGGAAAGGAATGCGGGGAGGGAGAAAAAGGAGCAGCAGGCAGGGGGGATGCTGCTTGGAGGTTGCAGCTTTCCTCGCTTGATAAATTGGGCAAGGGCTTCCCCTCGAGCAGACTCTGTAGAGGTTCAACACGGTATAGATGGTTTGGTAAGGTTTCTAGCTGTTTCAGTACGGTGACCGTTCCAACAATCCAATCGAACGCCGGATGACATGACATGACACCCCTCGTGATTGCAGTGACCAATCCCGTCGCAAACTCGATGCGCGGGTGATGAACTGTACACGGACTCTTGATGTTACTGTTCCCCGACCGCCTCAAACAAAACGCGAAACAGTGACACCAGAAATCACGCGCAACTGAGGAGATGACACCAATGCATTGACGTCGTCGCGATTTTTTGGGTTTTTATACGGGCCGTCACAAAACAGTTCGTAGTAATCACGAGCAGTCACATGTTACGCCAATTCTATCATGAACGGTCACATATTCCGCGAAATCTATCAGGAACCATCACACGGGTATCACCCGCCATCACTCAAAGGCACTAACATATATCACGGGTAGTCACACTCGAAACTTTGCTATCACAGATGAACCCTGTCATCATTTCGTTGACCCGCCCTGAAACACTGTAAAGATTTAGGGACTTTATTTCGGGGTCCTGATTTTTGTCCTGTATACGCGACCAATTTGGGCGCAAAGATACCTGGTTACGTTCGGATCGACGTAACACATTAGTTCTATTAAATTTATGAATTAATTGGAACGCATATATACTCATTGGCAATAATTTTTGTTGTCGTTGAAGCTCGTGGCAATGACTACGCTTCCTGGAAGATCTTCCCCAAGCGCATTTGATTTTTATCTTTCGGTGCCTACATAGATCCTTTTCTACATGACGAATACAACGTACTGTAAGGAAAATCTCTTTTTCCTTACTTCGCATCCCTGCTCAACGCGTACATCACTGTAGCACCACAGTCAGCACCGTTACCACTCGCCATCCTCGCATCGACAATCCGCCCGCCACTTTCGCACGTCGCACCCCGACCTCACGGCTCGGCGGGTAACCCGCGCTCCGGGCCTCCGCTTCGACACTTTTCCCAACCTCAGTCCCAGGCCCGTCGCGCGACAACCACAGTCCATTACCGTTACCACTGTAGTTTCGCTATATATTCTTCGCTCATGCCTTCGCTCATTGTACTCTTGCTTCGATAGTGCAATTCTCGTTCGTTTACTCAATTGCACTCGTAACACTTGGTATTCAGAGCCTACGATCTCTTCTCGGACCGCACCCACACCTTCGCTTCCCCACTATCTCAGTTTTTGGGGGGGTAGACGTCTCTCAGCGATACAGCACCGCCGCTCGTAGTGCTCTTTCGTAAGCACGCACGACCACGACTGAGGCTCTCGCTGAGCTCGCCCGACACCCCCGCCATGGCCGAATTCACGCTCGCCACATTGACGCAGGAGCAGCTCGACCGTCTGGTGCGCCAACTCGAAGATTCGGCGCTCGAAATTGCGACGCTCACAGCGGAGCGTGACTCCGCGCGTCAGCAATCCTCGGTGAACACTCCAGCAGCACCACACGCACCAACAAATGCACCTGCGCAATCAGACGAGCCGATCATCATCTCGTCCGGCACACCAACACCACACGACAGCATGGGACAGCGCTCGGGCGTAGCCAGTGATAGCGCCGCCCAACCAATGCCTGGCATGGGAGGAAACAGAAGCGCGCCAAGCCCACGGGAGCCTCGCAAAGACCATCGGCACGTGGAATTCGCAGCGGCAAGTGGCGAACAAGCCTTCACTGCGCCAATGCCACTCAAGCCGCAACACCCGCCCTGTTTCGACCCGAGCCAACGTGGAGGTCCGACGGTTCAATCGTGGGTCTTCACGATGAACGTTTTTTTCGACGCGAATTACGTCGAGTCGGACGCAGCGAAGATTCGGTATGCCGTTTCGCTGCTAAGGGGCCCCGCCATGGACTGGTGGCGAGTAATCGTGACGTCGCCACGCGCCTACGAGCCACCGTCGCAAGAGGAAGGGCCCACGGGTCCAGCTGTTACCTGGAGTTCGTTCTGCGAAACCGCCCAATACAGCACGTGGGATGCGTGGTGCGCAGGGCTTCGGGCGCGCTTCGAGCCGATTGCGGCTTCTATTTCGGCGCGTCAGAAATTGCGTACTTGGCGGCAGCTCGGATCGGTTCAAGATTACACGAGCGGTTTTCTCGCACTTTGCGAGCAAGTCGGCTATATGCACGAAGCGGAGCGGGTGGACCGTTACGTCGGAGGGCTGAAGCCGGACATCTCGCACGAGATCATGCTACGCGGACTCTCGAATTTCAACGAGATTCTCGCGCTCGCCGAGAAAATCGACATCCTACGCCGACCGAGACCGGGGTTCTACCACGGACATCGTCCTCGGGGACCGATCGAGCACGCCACTGTGAACGCCGTTGCGACAAATGCAGCTGCTGCGCCATTTAAGGGGCGCTGCTTTGCTTGCAACAGGCCGGGCCATCGCAAGAGCGAATGCCCAGAGGAGCTAAGGCGCCGCGGAGCAGAGCAGGGGAGGGAGTCTCAGAGGCAGGGAAACGCCAGCAGTCAGTAGAGGTTGGGCCAACTACTGACGAGACTGCCTGCTCGCCCAACCACACCGACCCTCACCGAGTCACAGTACCGATTCACGCCATCGATCGGGCTCGGATGAATAAGGAGGGTACAGCGACGGATTGCCCGGTACTGATCCACGGGAAAATACAGGGAGCAGCAGTGAAGATTTTTATTGACGGAGGAGCAAGCCACAGTTTAGTTAATACCGCAACCGCACGGAAACTGCAACTGACACTTAGCCGTTGCTTACCGGAGATAGACGCACGCTTAGTTGACGGCACGCCGCTGGCCATACGGGAAAAGGTAGAGAAAGTCAAAGTCCGCTGCGGGGGGAATTTTGGGTTTACACTGGAAATGCTCGCAACAACACTGGATGGGCACGACATTTTACCGGGGCGCGATTGGCTGCGACGGTATAACCCGCGAATTGACTGGACGACGGGTAGCTGCACCGTGCGAAGTAGTGGTAACTGGGTCCAACTACCTCGCTGGCAGTCGCCCGAGTCTTCAACGGTGCACGTCAACGCCATCACAATGAAACGGGCTGTCGCTGCTGGAGCTGACGTGTACGCAGTAGATATCGCAGTAATAGAGGAAGCAGAGCAGCCGAGCGATTTCAAGAAACTGCTGGAAGCTGTACCGCCCGAATTACAGGAACTGTTGAAACGGTACCCCGGGATTTTCCCCGACGACTTACCGGAAGGGTTGCCACCTCAGCGAGCACACGACCACCGAATCGAATTAGAACCAGGGACACAACCAACCGTACAGCACCAGTTCAGACTGACACAGCCCGAGCTCGATGAGCTAAGGAAGCAGTTAGATTACTTGTTAGAGAAAAAATTCATCCGACCAAGCTCGTCACCATTCGCCGCACCGATACTGTTCACGCCGAAGAAAGACGAAGGTTTCCGCATGTGTATCGACTACAGAGCACTGAACAGGGTAACAGTCAAGTCGCGATACCCCATTCCCCGCGCCGACGAACTGATCGACCAATTGCGAACAGCACGGGTGTTTTCGAAAATAGACTTACGGGGGGGTTACCATCAGATTCGGGTCGAACCATCGGACTGCGCCAAGACAGCATTTAGGACTAGGTACGGGTCGTTCGAGTACACGGTGATGCCCTTCGGGCTGACCAACGCACCGGCGACTTTTCAGATGACCATGAACGAGGCATTTAGGCCGCTCTTAGATAAATGCGTCATAGTTTACCTCGATGACATCCTAGTTTACAGTCGGGACAAGCAGCAGCACTTAGCGGATCTGGAAGCGGTTTTTAAGGTTTTAAACGAGCATCGCCTACTGACCAAGGGTTCCAAGTGCGAGTTCTTCCAGGATAGGTTAGAATTTTTGGGGCACGTTATTTCGGAGGCTGGAGTTGAAATCGACCCAAAGAAGCTGGATACGGTAAAAGCGTGGCGTCCCCCGACCAACATCACGGAGCTGCAGAGCTTTTTAGGGTTCGTTAATTATGTGCGTCGGTTCGTCCCCGACATGGCACAGTTGACCGCCCCGCTGACTGATTTACTGCGCAAGGGGGTCATCTTTACGTGGGGGGAGAAAGAGCATGCTGCCTTCTCTGCCCTGAAAAATGTTCTCTGTTCACCACCCGTCCTGCGCATCGCCGACCCACACCGCCCTTTCGAGGTTGTTACTGACGCAAGCGACATCGCCACTGGAGCCGTACTGCTACAGGACTTCGGCAACGGCCTACAGCCCATCGCATACGAGTCACGAAAACTGCATCCGCCCGAGCGAAATTACCCGATACACGACCGCGAAATGCTCGCGATCGTGCATGCGTTCAAAGTGTGGCGCTGCTACTTGACCGGCGCAGACGTGACAGTACGGACAGACCACCGATCACTACAGTACCTCCGCACACAGCCCCACCTCAACCCACGACAGATTCGTTGGCTCGATTTCCTCGAGTCAAATTTCCACTACACGGTCACCTATAAAAAAGGAGCCTCGAACATCGCCGACGCACTGACCCGCCCCACTGCCCAAATCCACGCGATACTACTCACCCAGACCAGCCCGCTACTGACAGGACTATTTACCCACGGATATCAAACAGACCCATTCTTCACAGGAGGAAATTCGCAGCAGTTTGCAACAGCCAAGGGAGTCTATTACGTAAAAGCCGGGACCGACCGCATCTGGGTACCAGGGTACACACTGCTACGGGAACTTCAATTACAGGAGGCACACGACGGGGTTACCTCGGGACATTTCGGGGTAGAGAAAACACGGCAGCAGCTGCAGCGGTATTATTATTGGCCCGAAATGTTGACCGACGTGCAGCGACACGTGGCATCGTGCCCCACTTGCCAGATCATGAAGTCATCACGGAAGCGGCCGGCGGGACAGTTGCAGCCGATCCCACCACCAGAGCGTGCTTGGCAGCAGGTGACGATGGACTTCGTCACGGGGTTACCGGCCGGGGCGAGTGGGAATGACGCGATCCTGGTCGTCGTCGATCGACTGACGAAAATGGCACACTTCGCAGCCTGCAAAAAAACAATCACAGCCGAAGAAACAGCCCGCCTCTTCATCTCCACCGTCGTTCGACTGCACGGGATACCAGCATCAATCATCAGCGATAGAGACACGAAGTTCACCAGCAACTTCTGGCGGAACCTGTGGCAGCAGTTCGGCACGCGACTACAGTTCAGTTCATCGTACCACCCCGAAACAGACGGACAGACAGAACGGACAAACCAGACCATGGAACAGCTCATCCGGGCCACGTGCGACGACCCAAACACGTGGGAACATCGAATTCGCATACAACAACGCCCCATCCGCCACGACCCAACAGTCACCATTTTACCTGAACTACGGACAAGACCCAATAGTACCCATGACCCCGAATCCCGACAACCCGGTTCCACGCGCACAACAGTTCGCCGAAATTTTGCAAGCAGCACGGACCAGGGCAGCAGACGCAATTAAAAAAGCTAACATCATCGCTAAACGTAACGCCGACCGCCACCGCAGACCTGTCACTTACCAGCCCGACGACTTAGTTTTGCTCGACACCCAGAATCTCCGACTGCCCATCACCCCGAAACTCCGCCCCCGATACTGCGGGCCATTTCGCATAAGCCACATGCTCACACCTGTCACCGCCCACCTCCTCCTCCCTGCTGACTGGTACGTCAGCCCCTCATTCCATGTCAGCCTGCTTCGCCCTTACGTCCCGTCCACGAGCCAACTGCCACGCAATCGCCCAGCCAGCATGACACGACCGCCAACTGAACAAATCATCACCCCCGAAAAAATCCTAAGCCACCGAGTTCGTGACCCTCGAGGAGCCCGAAGGATCGAATTCCTGATTCGCTGGAAAGACCGTACACCCACCGAAGATAATTGGGTTCCCCTGGACAGAATCGAAAACCACCCCGTCCTCACCGAGTATCTGCGCAGCCGAAACTTCAGGGATGTACACGCACTTTCGTAAGGAGGACCTTCTTAGGGGGGGGGGGTAGTGTAAGGAAAATCTCTTTTTCCTTACTTCGCATCCCTGCTCAACGCGTACATCACTGTAGCACCACAGTCAGCACCGTTACCACTCGCCATCCTCGCATCGACAATCCGCCCGCCACTTTCGCACGTCGCACCCCGACCTCACGGCTCGGCGGGTAACCCGCGCTCCGGGCCTCCGCTTCGACACTTTTCCCAACCTCAGTCCCAGGCCCGTCGCGCGACAACCACAGTCCATTACCGTTACCACTGTAGTTTCGCTATATATTCTTCGCTCATGCCTTCGCTCATTGTACTCTTGCTTCGATAGTGCAATTCTCGTTCGTTTACTCAATTGCACTCGTAACACGTACAAATGAGTGCAAGTACTCATAAGCATTGAACCACAAGCTCAGTACAGCAGATTTTACAGTATAGAGAAGTTCGTTTTCATCTATATATTTAGCACGTAAAATTAAAACATCAAGGGGTGCAAGAGAGATTGGCCCAAAACCTCCAGCACTAGCAGCCTTGACGCCAACTTTTTTTTTTTTTCATGCTTACGACCCAATTCCCCCCCTAAGGGCGTGTTCCTTTCCTACGCCTCTTACCCCCGTCATTTCTTCCGTGTGTTCCTCTGAACACCTTTGATGCACCTTGAAACATGCACTCGATTTATTTTCGGCTCTGCCCCTATAATTTTTGTTGTCGTTGAAGCTCGTGGCAATGACTACGCTTCCTGGAAGATCTTCCCCAAGCGCATGATGCCACTGGCCCTCTTCTTCCTGTCCTCCTTAGAAGCAGTTTTATCTTTCACTACAAGCTCCACCACGTGGCGCAGTGTACTTTCTATATCCAGCACGCTTATCTGTTGCAGTAGGAAAAAAATAAGGGAGAAAGTGGGGATAGGGTGTATGGGAGGGAGGGAGAGCAATCGAAAACAGGGAAGAATGGAGCGAGGGAGCGAGCGTGGGGGCAAATGAGGGACGAATGAGAGAGTGAGGGAACCCCAGTTTTTACATGTTAACTGAAATCTCATTAAGCAGGACCTCTGGTACAATAAAGAGCAAGAATTTCAACAATTCTTATAAATAAAAGCACGCGTTAACTGTTGTGTGCGGGAGGACTCAGTCAGTCAGTTGGAACAGAAGAAAGTATAACAGCATGCGTTAACTGTCCGACAGAGAGTTTTCTGTTTGGTGTCTTGGGATGTGATCGAACTTAGATTTAGAGACGTCTAAAAAACTGAATCAGCTGGAACAGAAGAATTACAAAAGTCTCTCACCGTCCGACACAGAGCTTTCTGTTTGGTGTCTTGGAATGTTTTTTTGCCACGTAAATCCTTCCAGAAGCATATGACATCTCTGGTTGTTTTGGGTGTTTTGAATGTTTTAGCTGTACAGGCCCACATTGATCTTAGGTGCACTGACCATCCAACCCAGGCAAAAGGGAATGCAGTGGCAATTGAGCCATCCATCCACCCAGAAGTTGAAGAAAAAAAGAGAAAAGAAGAGAAAAGAACTTACCATCAAGGAATGTCAAGGGGAAGCACTGACCATCCATCCATCCAGAAAAAAAAAAAAAAAATGATTAGGAAACAAAATATTTTTTGCTGGGCACTGACCATCCAGACGGAGTTGAGGAACTCGGGCATGTTGGGCTGCTCGCTGGGCGGCTTGTGAGGGTCAACTGTGACCTGCATCTCCGCTAGCCTGTCGTTGGGGGGGGAGGGGATGGAGGGAGGTGTTGGGGGGGAAGCACGGAGCGGCGGTGGATGCTGCTGGCTAGGGGCCTTGCTGGGGTCCACCGTGACTTGCATGTCCGCTAGCCTGGTGGGAGGGGGGGAGGGATTGAAGGAGGTGTTGGGGGGGAAGCACGGAGAGGGAATGGATGCTGCTCGCTAGGGGCCTTGCTGGGGTCCACCGTGACCTGCATCTCCACTAGCCTGGTGGGGGGACAGGGGATAGAGGGAGCATGGAGAGACCCGGTGAATGACTGGAGGGGAAGCATGGAGAAGCATTGGATCGCCATTGCTTGGGGACTCTCTGGGAGGCTTTCTGGGGTCCACCGTGACCTGCATTTTTGCTAGCCTGTTGGGCCAAGGGAGATGGACAGATGCGATGGGGGATCCGGGGAAACTTGGTGAGAGAGGGAGGGAGCGAGGTGATCGGGAGGGGGGCGGGGGGAAGCAAGGTGATGACATTCTGCCTGCGAAACATCGAAAGAAGAAGAGGTTTGATCCAATCTGATAGGGAAATGTTGAAAGATTATGGACAATTACACTGCTTGCTTTTCTGAAAAATCAGCGGTAGCTCATCATGCAGGTCACCAGGAAAGTATTTATGGAATCAGCAATACGATGATGCACTGAACCAGAAGTGAGAGCATTACGAGTGTAGAAATAAATAATCAAATAGCTCGAGTTCCTGGTTTGTCCATACACCCGGCCCTAGGGTTTCACTCACTTAAACGCAGCGCCGATGGCGTTGTGGCGAGTCTTCATCGCGTGGTTGGACTCCTTGGCCGCATTCACGAAGTTGGGAATGCCCAGCATCACCGTCATGCCCAGCAGCACTTGCGCGCGCGTGTAGTAGGTGTAGCTGTCAGAGAGAGATTTTGGATGTTGGGAGGGAAGGGAGGGAGGGGAGAGGCGGGGTTTGGATATATACTCAGAGAAGACTACACGATTTACAGCATTAAGAAATGGAGAGAATTTGGAAAGCTTTTCTTTCTGTCAACTTTAACTTCTATTTAGCCACCGGCAAGCAAAAAACGTGGACAACTGCATGCACAGGGAATAAAAAAGCTTGACGAAATAAATTGTGACACAAAAGGTGAAACTACAATTTGGCACAATGGAAGTACAGTAGAACGAAATGGCCACGCTACAGAACACCACATACCCGATACACTGCAGGAACGCGACGCCGAACGCCTCGCCCTTGAGCTCATCCACCTGCTTCACGGCGTCGCGCACAAATCCTTCTTCGTCGCCCGACATCCACGGCTCCAGCCGCTTCACCAGAATCGCCGCGAGCTCTTTCTCTCTCTTCACCTGCCACCTCTTCACCTCCTCTACTGTCAGATTCCCCGCCGCCGTGTGCGCGATAGTAAGCTCTCCGACAAGCGGCTTGAACTTCTCCGCGCCGAAGGACATGGTGAAGAAATAGCCGGGATCCATGAATGTGCCGTCGAGCGCAGCGCGGCCGTAACGGTCGTACTTCTCGCGCGACTCGGGGTCCATGAGGACTTGGTACGCCTCGCCGATGGCTTGGAACTTGGCCTTGGCGGCTTCGTCGTCAGGGACCTTGTCGGGATGGCACGTACGCGCTAGCTGCGGACGCGATTCAAGTGCGAGCGAGAATGGGGGTACAGTGCGTGGAAAGGCGGAGACGGAAAGACGGGTCGAGGAAGGGATGAATGTCGTCCTAACGTCTAGTATGATAGCACGCATGGCGGTTTGGAGGCACTTCTTGAAGCGGGACGGGTTTTTCACTTCATAATTTTCTTCTTTTCACTCATTTTACCCCCATTATAAGCGACTTGGCGAGTTTCCCCCCCTCCTTCCATCCCTCCCTCCGCCGGGACTTTCATCACCACGCACCTTGTAATACGCCTTCTTGATCGCCGCAGAGGTCGCGTCAGTCTTGAGGCACCTCAAAACTCCGCCCCTCCCTTACACCACCACGCACCTTAAAGTAAGCCTTCTTGATCTCCGCGGACGTCGCGTCGGTCGGCACCTCCAGAGCCACATACAGCTCCTCCTCCTTAACCTCCCGCTTCTCCCGTTTTTCTGCGGGCGCCGCCGTGGCGGCTTCAGAAGGTTCCGCGGGTTTCGCGGCGGATTTCGCGGCTTCGTCTTCGAGCGCGACTTTCTCAACAGCTTCGCGCGTGTGCGAGTACGTCTCTTCGTTGACCTTATCCGCTTCGGCATCCTCCACCACCTCCGCGCTCTCCGCCTCCTCCTCGCACTTATCCCTTTTCATCATCTCCCGAACCGCGTCGGGAGTGTTCTTAATCCCCTCGCCCAGCTGCCGCACGCCTTGCACGATCCCAACGGTCGGCAAAACGACGGCACCTGCAACCCCCAAAAACGTTCCCTTGATTAGCCCGACGCCGCCTTGCTGCACCAGCCCCGCGACCGGCGCCACGATGAGCCCTCCGACGCCGGCGAACACGCCCTTACCGACTGATACCAATCCCTTGCCCAGGCCTTCGCGAAAGTTCTTCGCATTGCGATCGCCGTACAGCTGGTCGATGCGCTCCTGAACCTCCGGGAGGCCCATCTTCTGAAATTCGGCCATGGTGGGAGGAGGGGGACCGGAATCCATACCCGGAATTTTGTGAATCTGTTCCATGGTGGGGGAGGAGCGGAACCGGTAAGTTAGAAGCTAGACTGGTGACGGAAGAAATGGAATGGGCAAGCACGGGAGGAGGGAATGAAAAATTGGGAAACGAGGAATGGAATGGAATGGAATGCAGAGCGCGGAAGTGGAAGGGGGTGGAGCAGAAATTTTCCTTCCTTGGCAAATTCGGCAAACACATTCGATTAGGTTGAAGACCGTACAGAGAGCTTCATCCAAGTTACGGTGCTTTGCAGTACGGTGGCGGTTCCAAAAGTTCTCAGCCTTGCGGATTTCAGCGACCAATCACGTCGCAGTTCACCACGAAGCGCGCGTGATTCCATCGCCTCCTAACAATGGAGAGGGGGCATCGTCATCGTAAAATTGGGGGTACCTGTAGCTTGTCGTCACTCGCATTCTGTTTAGATAGCGACATGTTTTTTTTCCTGAAATGTCTAAAACACCGTTCATCACTAGCAAAGATGCACGAACTGCTGATTGGCATTCTCATATATTTACCTCAAAAGCACTGATTCACAGGCTGAGCAGGAAGTTAAGACGGGCAGCTATATTGGTTAAAAAACAGCAACGTTTGAAAACAGTTGTAAAATCATCTGAAAAAAAAGAACAAATGAAAGAAACTATACGACAAGCTTTGAAACCTAACTTCCTTACGGTACATGCTTGCTTACGTGTCACGAGTCACGACCCAGTTCCTCCCCTAAAGAACCTGCCAAATGGATTAAACATGCCCATTCGCTGCTGCTGCTGTCTCTCAGTAGCAGCCCTCAGCCTCTCTTCCCGTTTATTATGCAACTCTTCTGTCTGCTCTCTCAACCGTTCCTTACCCCCTTGTCCCTTCCCTCGCCCCCCGCGCATCTCCCCTCTCCCTCTTGCAGCAGCGGAACGTGGTGCTGACGTGGCGTGAAGACGTTTCAGCCGGCACGACTCGTCTTGTTGCTGCTGTTTCCTGGATGCTTCTAGTGTGAGAAGCTGGATACAGGGAGGAAGGAGAAAAACCAAGGGCACAATTCATAAGGAGACAGGCAGATTGGAGAAAATAAGCATGCAAAGGCAATGACAAAGATAATTGCAAATAAGAGGATAAGGGTAGAGACGATCCAAGCTGCAATGACTAATTGTGGCTGAAAGTGAGCTGGCACGAGGACATGCCGTCCACACGTGCTTAGTTGGCATGAAGACATGCAGCCCAGTGCTCTGAATGTCAAAGTGAAGAGATTCAACCAAGCGCAGGTAAACCGTGGGAGTAACTATGACACATGCTTAGTTGGCATGAGGACATGCCAAAACACATGCTTTGCACGAATACATGCATGTATGTGCACATGCACACATCACTGGCGCACACAGACAGACCCTCGAAACAGATCAGGACAGCATATAGGAAGGTTCGAATTCCATAAAACAGAACTTGATAATACAAAATTTCACCATGCCACTACAGCTCACCCTTGTGCTTATCGAGGACGATGATTAAGAGGATGCTGCAGCAGAGGTCCCACCAGGCACAGCCGGCGGTGCAACCGACGCCCCTCCTGTCCCTCCCCTCCCTCCATCCCTCTCCTCTGATACCTCCAGCAGAGCAGCAGCCAACCCACTGCCCCCACCCACTCCTAGACCACCAGAACTGGGGGCATGAGCAGCAGAAGAGGCGGCATTGGCAGCAGGAGGAGCAGCGGGAGAGGAGAGGTGCGAGGGGACAAGGCGGGTGGCAGAGGCGCCACAGGCAGGGTATTGGTGGGCGGCAGGGAAGAAGAAGCTGTCGTGGTGGCGCTGCTGCAAGCACTCCCTGTGAAACCCGTGTCCACACAGAAACACCTCCACTGGTAATCTCTTCCCTGCTGCCGCTGCTGCTGCTGTGGCCGCTGCTGTGGCAGAGGCGGCGGCGGCTGATAACGCTGCTGCTGCTGCAGCTGCTGTGGCTGGCAATCGTAGCAGCGGGGATGGTGGTGGTGCTGCTGCTGCTCCTTTAGCAGTTGACGACGCTGGGGCGTACATGGCAGAGGAGCAGAGGCGGCAGGAGCGGGAGGAGGGGCGGGTGGGGTGCTGCAGGAGGGATAGCAGGGACGAGCAGTGGGAGAACGAATCCGTATTGGCTGCCCGGGCAGCAGCAGCCAACAGCTGCTGATCCGACCCTGCCCGGCCTAGAATCTCCAGCAGACCTACCACCACGTCCCCTGCTGTCCTCGATACCCCCTCCCTCCTGCCTCCGCCCATCCTCGTACCCCCTTCGTCCAACCCCATACCCCAGCCGTCGCTCACCCCTGCACCCCTTATGGATGCTTTTTGAGAGTCGTGAGAAATCATTGCCTGCAGTAAATCTCTCCCTCCTTCCTCGCCTCGTTTAATGAGATCTCGCCCCCTTTCCCCGTCCCTCTGCCTCTCACCAGCACCAAGCAGCCAGGCAGCAATGACTGGCAGCGGCACCATCCCTGCCATCTCTGCTACAGTGGCCGTGGCACAGCACTGTAGCAGGAACCGGACGGCAAACAGAATCAAATCACAGGCTTGTGGATGGCTGTCCTGCCGCCGCCTCTGCTTTTCCTGCTGCTGCCGTTGCTGTTGCTCTTGTTCCTGCTCCTTATCCCTATCTCTTTTCTGCTGCTGCTGCTCCCGAAGCAGCAAAAGCACGTGAGAGCAAGATGCAAAGAGCGGCGGTGGAGGAGGAGGGAAGACCGACTGCGGCAGCGACGGCGCTGGAAACGAACTCAGCATGGACGGAGCAGCCCCCAGCTGGCCGTTTTCACCTGAAAATTCACCTGAGGAATCACCTGCTGGGGATTGCGCCCCGCTCCTGCCTGCCGCTGCTGTGCCAGACGCCCCTGTGACTGTAAGGAGGTGTGAGTAGAGCGAGTGCCAGCGGTTGGGGGGCGCGTGTGATGGGGAGGGGTGTGCTGGTGGGATGGCTGGAGGAGCAGATGGGATGGGAAGGGCCCTGAGGGGGATGAGAAAGCTGTTGGGGGGAGGCAGTTGGGAATGAACAAGGAGGAGAAGAAAAAGGTAAAAATACATTGAGTGAGGGCAATGAGGAGGCAAGACGGTCAGAATGGAGTTTGATCGGTGCATGTGAGTGAGTGGAAAATGTGATCCAGCCGTCCATTTCGAGATGACTTCATAGGTTACCTGCGTTTTTCACAATATGGAATAAACGGCATCAACATCACAACTACTGAAGTTGATGGAAGTAAGGCCTCCGCAGCCCACCTGTCCATTGTTGTCAAGTCCTGCATCAACATCAGCATCCACTACCGTGTAATCACTCTCCCACGTAATTCGCTAACATTCGTCACACTTCTACACACCACACACGAGAGGAGGACGCGGCATATGCACACGCAACTGCCGCATTCGTCATTCGGCGCAAGGATAACATACCCCAAGCCATGGATCTTATTGGAAGCGAGATGGCGGCAACACTCGAGGGGTGCATCCATGTGATACAAGTATAGTTTCGAGATGTCTCGAAACTACACTTGTATCACGAGATGGCGCACTCGAGGGGTGCATGGCACACCGTCTTGGATGCACCCCTCGAGTGTTGCCGCCATCTCGCTTCCAATAAGCTCCATGACCTGGGGTATGCTATTCTTGCGCCGAACGACGAAGGTTGCAGCTGCGTATGCATATGCCCTGTCCCTCAAAACCTCATATTTTACATTTCTTGATTTCACCCTCCCATTCCTCACACCCACCAGTCAAGCAGCGTTCGCCACATGGCACGGCACTGCCAGTGGGGCAGCCGGCCTGTGCTGCGCGCACAGAGAGCCAGAGCGTCGTGCTGTATGGCCAGCAGCACTCGCACCTGGTGGGGGGAAGACGAGTGCACAGGGGGAGACAGGGGGAGACAGTGGGAGAGGGAGGGACGGGTGAGAGAAGGGAGATGGAGAAGACGAGCACAGAGAGCCAGAGCGTCGTGCTGTATGGCCAGCAGCACTCGCACCTGGGGGGGGAGCAATGGGAGGAGAGAGTGGAGAAGCGCGAGGAGGGGATTTTACGTTGAGTCAAGAGAGGAAACATGAAAGAAACATGATACGCAGGTTATGCAGACGACGAAACGTGGCATGAACAGATGATTCTGAAATGAATTAGCATGAAAGGTATGATTTTATGGAATACAAGTGACATAGGATATGAATGATGTGGCGTGTGATGTTTGCAATGAAGCAAGGCATGAATGATATGCAGTATGAATAAATATGAATGAGTGAATGATGAGTGAGACAGGATATGAATGTCTCTGTGTGTGATGTGTTACATGCGGATCTCTCACCTCTTCCATCTGCTGCATTCGTGTCATCTTTTGAGGCGCCTCAAAAGTTCAAAACGGAGAGAAAAGAGGCGAATTCTGCAGCACCTTAAGTGTGCAATAAACAATAATAATGAACAATAATAATGAACAAAAATCTCAAGTTTGAAGAACTCTATCTCACCTCCTCCATCTGCAGCACTCGTGTCATCAATCCGCCACTCTCTTTCTTCCTCATCCGCTTCCTCCTCCTCTTCCCACCCTCCTTTCCTTGCTCCAGACCCGACCTTCCCCTCATGTCAGCCCTCATTTCGCCTCCACTTTCACCCTCTCCCCTCATCCCCGCCTCACTCTCGCCCCTCCTCCCAACCTCACTCTCAGGCCCCTCAGCAGTTGTCCCCGCTATAGACCTCCCCATCACCTCCATCCTCCTCTTTCTCCTCCTCCTCCTCATCATCTCAGCAACCCTCCTATCCAGAGCGCGCAAGCAGCAGTGTAACTCCACCAGCAGCAGTGCCAGCGCCTCGTGAACCAACCCCATTCGCTCCAGCAGCACCCGCGCCGCAGCGCTGATGTGGCAGTTCAGGAATGGCTCTCCCCCCGCCTGCTGACGTGGCGCCTGCGGAGGCGCGCCCTGTTGCTGACCTGGCACGGGCTGACGTGGCAGCGCGGCGAGCGCAGGGGAGATGTGCGCGAGGCAGACGCGGAGGCAGCGGTCGAGGCGACAGGTGGCGAGAGGTGATTGGAGGAAGGGGAGAAGGGCGGGAGGGTCGTAGATACAGAGCAACTCGATATAAAGCTCTACCATTCGTGGAGATGCTGCTGCTGCTAGCTGCCTCCTCTGCTCCTCCCACCCCTCCTCCTTCCCCAACCCGTCATACCCTCCTTTTCGTTCTGGTCCTTCTTGCACTGGTGGTGCAGCAGCAGCAGCAGCTGCTGCTGCTGTCCCTTCACCTGCTGCTGATTTTGGAACTCCTCCTGATGCTGTGCTTGGGCCTGCTGATGCTGATACACCTGCCGGTGGTGCCGGCAGCAATGGGAGCAGCAGCAGCGGAGGAGGAGGAGGAGGCAAATGGGAGAAGAAGAGGGCACGCAGCAGAGCAAACTGCAGCTGCGGCCGGCCGGCAAGATCGGCACTCACAATCAACTCCAAATCCAGCCGCAGCAGCCCCAGCGCCACATACAGACAAGTGCCGCCGTCCAGCCGCACCAGCTGCGCCAGGTGGCGCCTAACGGCCAATCGCAGCGCAGCACCCTCCTCCCCAGTCACCACCCCGTGCCTACGTGTGAGAGCGAGGGCAGCCTTTTGGATGAGGCGAAAGGGCATGTCGGGGTGGTGGGGGTCTGTGAGGAGCGAGGAGAGCGCTTGGTGAATGCCGAGCATGCCGTGTGTTCGCATGAACAGACGCGCACACACCTGATTGGGGAGGGTGGGGGGAGGAGGAGGGGGAAAGGGAGAGGGATGTTGGGAAAAAGTGGGGGTCGGAGAGGGTCAGCATCCTCCTCCTCTCCACCTATTGGTCCAGCCTGGTGCCTACTTGTGAGAGCAAGGGCTGCCTTATGGATGAGGCAAAAGGGCATGTCGGGGTGGTGGGTGTCTGTGAGGAGCGAGGAGAGCGCTTGGTGTATGCCCAGCATGCGGTGTGTTCGCATGAACAGACGCGCGCACACCTGGTTGGGGAGATGGGGGCATGAAGGGAGAGGGAAATTTCCATGTGTGTAAGAGGGGACATGGAGAGAGGAGAGCGGTTGGTGAATGCCGAGCATACCGTGTGTTCGCAAGAACAGACGCGCACACACCTGGTTGGAAGGGGGGAGGAAGGGGGTGAGAGAGAGAAGGAGAGAGTTGTTGGGAGAACGCGGGAGTGAGAGTGGTAGTAAGCATCCTCTTCCTCCTCTCCTCTCCTCACACCAGCCCGGCCCCACACTTATGTGTGAGAGAGCAAGGGCTGCCTTTAGGATGAGCATTCCCACTCACCCTGTTTGCAGCGGCAAGGGCAGGAGAGCATTGAAGTCCACACCACAGGAGTTCGGCAGAGCCATCACCAACCCCTCCATCCGCTCCTCCCTCTGCCTCCAGTCTCCTTTGCCCTATCCCCATGCCCATCACGGGACAGCACAGCTCACCTGGTGGAAGCTGGCTTGCAGTGCCAGGGGCAGGAGGGCATTGAAGTCCACCCCACAGGAGTCAGGCAAAGCCATCACCAGCCCCTCCATCCGCTCCTCCCTCTGAGCCCGCCTCACAGAGGGGGAGGTTAGAGCGAGCGATGGTCGAGAGGTGGGTGACGATGGGGAGGAGGACGAATGCTGCTTCTGTACCGCTCCCTTACTCGCAGCAGGGGCACCAGCACCAGTACCGGCACCAGCACCAACACCAGCAGTGGAATCGACAGCAGTGGCAGAGGCAGTGGGCAGGGCGTGCAGATCAAATGTGACAGTAGCGGATGTGAGATAAACGAAGATGGTGTTGAGAGAAGTTCGATCTAGCTCCACTCTCCCTGCTGCTGCCGCCTCTGCCACTAGCTCTAGCACCCTGCCTGCTGCATCTCCGAACCTATCTAAACTAAAGCCGAGCCCCAAACCTACATCCGAGCCTTGCTCCGAGCATACAGCTGGGGACACTTTAATGTTTGCAGGTTCTGCTGCTACTGCTCCAGTGTTGTTTTCTCCCTTATTGGAGTCCTCGTTACTCCTTATTGCATCGGCAGCCTCGCACCAGGAGCGAACTATTTCTAAGAGAGTATAAACAAGTCGACCGCCTGCTGCTGGATCTACACTAGCATCCTCGTTATAAGCTCCCCCTGGACCCCTACCATCCACCATCGCCAAATCTGCACTTGTTTTGGGCTGCTGCTCTGTACTCGTTTGAGGCTGATCCAGTATGCACAAATAGCGGAGGATCACGCGCAGAACAGACAGAGTGGCGCGGGGATCGAAGGAGAGGAGGCGAGCAAGGGGCGAGCAGAGGAGAGCGTGGGAGGAGGGGGAGAGAGCGGAGGGGCGGTGGTGGGGCGGACGGTGGGGTTTGAGGAGGAAGTTGAGGAGTTCGGCTTGAGCCGAGGACAGGAGGGATGGGGCGATGGCACCGCTGCCTGGGGGGATGAAAAACAGGAGGGGATGGACGATGGGATTGTTATCCAAAGGAACAAGGGATTGATTGAGGACAGTACAAACTAAATCGTCACCACAAGACAACCAGAGCAAACAAGAGAGGACGACAGAGAAGAATAGAGCGCAGCGCAAAGACCAGAGGAAGAGAAGCAGCCAAGCTGGTACTCTGAGAAAGTGAAAGTTGATCAACTGAAAGTTACAAGAGGAAGAGAAAGTCGATTCTGTACCAGCGTTTTGGGAGAAGAGAAAGGAAATGGAGAGAATCATGCAAGGTGGGGTGGGGTTACCTGGAGGGAAATTGAGGCCCGAGAAGGTGAGCTTGTGGAAGAGCAATAGGCGCAACTACCTAGAGGAAAGCTTAGTTCCTAAACGCATCAGAGGGCCTGTGCGTCCGTGGAGGAAAGGAAAGCATGTAGGTGGATGGGAGAGAAGCATGCAAGCACCTGGAGGGAAATTGAGGCCCGAGAAGGTGAGCTTGAGGAAGAGCAATAGGCGGTAGCTGCGATGGGGAGAGGGAAAGAGAGAAAGACAAGAGGACGGACAAGAGGGACAAGAGGAATAGGAAGCAGGGGAAAGGCAATTAGGACGAGACAAGAGAGAAGGTGAGCTTGAGGAAGAGCAACAGGTGGTAGCTGCGATGGGGAGAGGGAAAGAGAGGAAACGCACACAAGAAGAAGAGGGTCAGAATGCAGGGAGGAGAGATTTTGGAAGGAGGAGCTTGCTACAGGGAGATGAGAGATGTGCAGAGCGACGGGCAACATGTCAAACCTCACTTGTTCAAACCTTCTCCATGCAAACCTCTCCCTTTCCAGTCAAATGAGTCACAAGCACCTTGTGGGGAAAGACCAGAAAGAGGCAAAGACCAACGCACCCGCACTGCCGACCCTCCTCCCCCTCCTCATTTTTCTCCCCCTCCCGCTTCTTATGCCGCTGCTTCTCCCTACTCCATTTTCCCCCGGAACCATTATTGTAGGCTCCGGAGGCGAGGAGGGTGGAGAGGAGCTGCTGGGCTGGCGAGACGAAATCCGCGAGGGCGCGAGTGAAGAGGTAGATGAGGGCTGAATGCAGGCTGTGCTGACGACACAGGCGCACCACCTGGGAGGGGATCGAAAATGGGGGGGAACAGGGGCGGAAGGAAAGGGAGAAAGGGCATGGAAGGGCCTGTGTGAAGAGGTAGATGAGGGCTGAATGCAGGCTGTGTTGACGGCACAGACGCACCACCTGGGACGAGGGGCGGAGAGAAAGGGAGAAAAAGGCATGGAAGGGTGTGGTGTGGGTATGGGAGAGGAGGGAGATGAGCGGTGAATGCAGGTTGTGTTGACGACACAGATGCACCACCTGAGTAAAGATGGCGGAAAGGGACAGGGAGACAAGGAAGAAGGGGCATGATTGAGAAGAGGAGGTGGAAACGGGAGGGCTTAACACAGCAAATTGATACGAGAATGTCTCAACTTCCCAATCAATTTTGTTAACGTCTGAATCGGTGAATTGCTCATGCAAAAACGCTACCCTTGCAGAGAGATCAATCAATCACACCTGGTTGATATAGAGCTAGGCAATGTCCATGTGCAGCACAACACGCACTGCTGCACACATCTGATTGTTCTAAAAGGAGAATCAATCACACGAGGCTGGGTGGGTTCACACCTGGTTGACGTCAGGTGAGGCGATGTCCAGCCAGGAGGCTGGTGCCGAGTGCAGCACACACTGCTGCACTCGGCAAATCGTCATGGTTGGATGGAAGGGAGAAAGTGCAATAACGCTACCCTTGCAGGAGGAGGTCAAACTCATCTGGTTATTGTCGAGAGAGGCAATGTCCATGTGCAGAACACACTGCTGCACTCGTTTGAGTGAGTCTGAGATGTCTCAAAGGCGAATCAATCACCAGAGGCTGTGTTCGCACCTGGTTGATGTCCAGCGAGGCGATGCCCATGTGCAGCACGCACTGCTGCATGCATCGCCATCCCTCATATGGTTGGAAGCAGAGTGCTGGAGAATCTGCTCGTGCAAAAAGCTAACTCACACCTGGTTGATGTCGAGCTATGCGATGTCCTCGTGCAGCGCCGAAGGATCAAGAGAAAAGGTATCGGAATGCATGTGGTGTGGCTGATATCAGAGGAGGCTGGGTTCACACCTGGTTGATGTCGAGCAAGGCGATGTCCATGTGCAGCACACACTGCTGCACGCATCGGCACCACACATGACTGAAAGGGAAGCAGTGCTAGAGAACCCGCTTGTGGAAAACGCTACCCTTGCACAGAGAGATCAGTCAATCGCACCTGGTTGATGTCGAGCGATGCGATGTCCATGTGCAGAACACACTGCTGCACGCGCGACAGCCATCCCCTCTCACTGTAGTGCTCCACCAATGCTTGCATCACCTAGTGCGCGTGAAAGGGAGGGAGAAGTGCGTACACACAGAGGGCCAGTCAGAGATACACAATCGTCACCAGAGACTATGAGGGCACACGCATATGGGCATGGATGAACAAAGCAGCTATACGATCACCAGGCACTCTGACAAACTGACATCCTTCCCACTCTCTGTGCGCCACTAGTGCGTGCCTCCCTCACGTGGTAAGGCTGTATCGTCTAGGGTAACCGGTGAAAGCAGGTGCATCTAAGCGCAGGAGCAGGTGTTACCTCGGGAGGGAGTGTGCTGAGGTGGTCTGTGAGGATGTAGGGCTCTAGGAGCTCCAGGAAGATGCCCCGTTTGCCAGAGCCGGTGGAAGCGGCACCACCACCACCAGCACCACCGCTCACACCACCAGAACCACCACCAGCAGCACCACCAGCACCACCGGTAGCGACAGCACCAGCAGCAGAAGCGGCAGATCCCGACGCAGCAAACCCAGCATGCACAACAGCGGCAGCATGCTCCCACACCACCTTCACCACCGGTGCCACCAACCCCCCCAGCGCACTCCCCAGCCCCCCCACACCTCCCCCGCCCGCCCCCGCCCTCCCCCCACCCTTCCTTCCCCCTCTCGCCTCACCACCACCACCACCACCAGCACCAGCACCAGCACCACCAGCAGAAGAAGAAGAATAAGAAGCAGGGAAGCGTGGGCGGAGGGAGGAGATATCCCACAGCACAACAGCCCCGGATGCCAGGCCTGCTGCTAGCAGATCAGCAGCAGGGGAGAACGCCAGCACAGACACTGACGACCCGCCGTGCCTCATCGGGGAACTGGCAAAGGCGGACAGAGGGGGAATTAGCTCTGTGATCCGCGCAGGAGCAGGGGCAGGGGTGACCTGATGGGGGGAAGGGGAACCGTGCAGGGCTGGTTGTAGCACAGGCATGAGGAGAACCTTCCCTCCTGCCGTCCCCACAGCCACTAGCAACTCATGTACTGCCACTGCTGTGGCCGACCGCGAGTTGGTCCGGAAGCCTGGTTCGGGTTGTCCCGGACCTGCTGGGTCGGTTCGGTCGGGAGTGATGTCAGCGGGTGCCAGCTCAGCGCAGAGGGGCGGCACGGCGTCGACTTCTAGTAGGCCCACGGCAGGCGGGCCTCTCTCGATGCCCTCAAAGCGGATTGGGACGAGCGGGACCGAAGATTGCTCCACTGATGACACTGCTCCTGCTGCTGCAACAGATGCTGCTGCTTCTTTTTCTACTGCTGCTCCTGCTGTTACTAGTGGTGATGATGTTGATGGTGCTGCTGGTTCTGCTGTTGCCAGTACAGCACTCGATGGTAACACCCTTGGTGGTTCTGTCACTGCTGCTCCTGCTTCTGCTGCTTTCCTGCCGTTTCTGCCCTCGCCTGACTCTCCTGCCTTCACCACCACATCCTGCCCGTCCTCACTCGTCCTCCACCCCACCAGCAGCTGCAGCCTCTCCTTCTCTTCCATCGCCGCCAGCTCATCCCTCCCTTCTCCCTCGTCCTTCCCCCCCTCCTCTTCCTCCTCAGCAGCACCAGCAGAAATGGCAGCAGCAGAGGCAGCACCAGCGGGAGTAGCAGTGGCAGCAGCAGCGCCATCAACAGCACCACTAGCAGCAGAAGAAGTAGAGTCAGACGCAGAGGAAGGAAGTGGGGCAACCCAGAAGCTCCGCAGGTTCTGAAACTCACCCGCCAGGGCTGCTTCACCTTCCTTCCCTTCCTCCTGCATTCCACCCCCCTCCACCTCCTCATCCTCTTCCTCCTCCTCCTCCTCCTCTTCTTCTTCCTCTTCTTCCTCTTTCTCCTCCACCTCAACTAACTCCTCTTTCTCCTTCTCGCCTATTTCACCGCTCCCACTCACCCGTGTGCCAATGCCCCCATGTCCCTCCTCTTCGCTCGTTTCATCCCCGTCCCTCGCCTTACCCTCTGCCTCCCGCTGCCCCTTTTCATCTCCAACAGCCCCGGCTGCACCAGCAGTGCCAGCAACATCAGCACCACCATCAGCACCAGCACTACTGGCAGCAGCAGCAACACCACCACCACGGGCACCAGCAGCAGCACCATCTCCGCCAGCAATGACAGCGCCAGCAGCATGAATAGCAACAGAACTATCAGCAGCAACTGCGCAATCAGCAGCAGCAGAGTCACCAGCAGCAGCAGCAGCAGCACCCACATCAGCAGCATGAGGCGCCACTGCCACAGAGGGAACTTCTGCTGGCATTTCAGCTGCCGCTGAACCCGCTGGCTCTGCTGCTGTTGCAGCCGCTACCACTGCTGCTGGCCCAGTTACAGCAGCAGAGCCTGCTGATGCCCCACTGGCAGATTCATCTGCTGCTACTGCAGCAGCTGGAGCAGCAACCGTGCCAGCAGCGAACACAGCAGAAGATGTGGAAACTGCGAAAAGAGCAGAAGTGGCATGAGAAGCGGAAAGAGCAGAGGAAGCTCCTTGACTTATTAGCCCCTGAGCCTGGGTCAAGAGGGCGCGGCGTTGGGCCGCTGCAGCTGCTGCCACCTCTGCTGCAGCAAAGGCTGCTCCTGGCCTGATCCTAGGCACCCCCCCTCGTGATCGACTCACATGCCCATACCGACCCCCGTACCCAATCCCATGCCCATGCCCATGTGCATGCCCGTGCTCGTGCCTGTGCAATCTTCCTTCCCCGCTCTCCCCTCCATACCCTCCAAAGGCTGATCCGCCAAAAGCAGACCCACCAAAGGCGGATCCTCCCCCAGTGCTACCCGCGCCGGATTGGGCGGCACTGCCCCGCCCGCCCAGCACACTCACAGGGCAGGAATTCCCGCTCACTACAGACAAATCACCGAAGCTACTGCCCGTGGCTCCGCTTCCCGAGCTTCGGGGGCTGTCTAGGGATACCGAACCTACTGCATCCACCCAACTTGCTCCTGCCTCCCCTTTCGCTTCACCTCTTCCTCCTCCTCTCTCACTCTCATTTCCTGTTCCTCCTCCTGCTGCTGCTAATGCACTTGCCCCATCTCCTCCTACCTCCCGTTGTGCTTCGCCTCCTCCTATTCCCCTTTCTGGAATGTCTGTGGGAGTTGGCTGCTGCTGCTGTTGCTGGGTTTCTCTGCCAGCTGTCACCCCTCCGTCCCCTTTGATTGTGTCACGAATTTCTCTCATCATAATCACACCGTCTCCCTTTTTGTCACTCCCCTTATCGACCCTCCCCTTACTGTCACTCCCCTTCCACTGCCCAAACGACGGCTCCCGCACATCACACCGCATCCCCTCTCCCTCTCCCTCCTTCGCCTCACCCTCCTCCCAGTCGTCACCTTTTTCCACCTCCATCTGCTGCATCTCCTTCCTGCCCCCTTTTTCCAATAGCTCCTCTGCTGCACTGTGAATCTCAAAAGGCGGTGTAAGTACGGCTTTAAACAAAACAGAATTCGAACCCTCCTCTCCTTGCAAATCCGTAATCTTCGCCCTTACTTCTGCTTTCTGCTCCGCCTCAATCCGCTTTCCCCTGTGCATCTCCATTCCGCCGTTTTCCCACTGGCCAAACGACAGATCTCGACCGTCCAAGGACTGAGGGCTTCCAGGGCTGCCTGATCCACCCGGGCCACGTGGCAACGAGCCATTGGACGCGGCCGAAGAGGGGCTTAGAGTGACTGTCGGGTTTCCTATCAAAGGGGAGGCTGATTCTAAACGATACACCGTCAGAGAGGGACTGCTATCCCCGTTAGAAGGCAGAGCTGCAGCTCCAGCTGTAGTATCATGAACAGAAACGCCCAACTCGGGTGTACTTTCCAAGTTTTCGTCACCAGCACCTGCCACGTCATCGTCGTCATCTGACACGTCATTCAGGATCTCCTCCAGGCTGCGTCCGCCCCACAGGCCCTCCTCGAGATCGTCCACGTCATCCAGCTCGTCGTCGTCGCTCGCCGCCGCCAGAAGCGCGTCAATATCGATGTCGAAATCCACCTTCGCCTCTTTACGCTTCGGTTCTGCCTCTTTACGCTTCGGTTCTGGCCCTTCACTCGCCAACTCTGCCTCGTCACTCTTCTGCTCTGCCTCTCTGTTCTCCATTATCGCTCTGCTCCGGCCTTCGCGGCCGTGAATCGCAGCGCTTGGTTCTACCGCCGTCCGTCTCTTTATTCGCCTTGAAGTCCGTTTCCGTCGTTTCCTTCCGTTGCGCGAGTGCCTTCCGCGTCGTCCAATCCAGGACAAGCCATATCTTAGAGACTAATTCGCGGGTCGTGAAAGAGACTAGACCCAACACCTCGACAAATCTAAGCTTGCTGCCTGATTGACCACGCAAGCCCGTGCTAGAATGGGCATGCCATGTATATGTATGCTACTACTATCGCCATGTGTTGTGATCAAAATGAGCAACTGTCGCCTGACAGGTTTGACCAATGGACTATCCAAGGAATGCCATGTGATTTGACTGTCCAGGGAATGCCGTGCCGAGCTGCACCAACAGCAACAAAACGTCTCCTTTAGTAACTGCTCCGCTTGCACAGATAAACATATTTGTTAGAGCATTCTTAGTATACTAACATTTCAGAATACATCCAAACATTTCTACTAAATATTGATCGTCCGAACACGCTCTCATGAAATCTCTGGTTCAGAAATACGTGCCATGAAAAAAAAAATCAAATTATTTCACCGATCTCGGACGTGTACTTCCGAGAGTTGGAATTGTACGCGAAACGGTGCACCCCGTTAAGGAGAAAGAAGTTTCTTTAGATCCAGAAAATGTGGGCTAAATCAGACAATTCTTTGTGCTAGCGATAAGTTACAGACTAGCAGGTTTATCGTTGTGTGATGAGACAATAGGGAATAATATGTAATAGTTGCAGGCTAGCAGGTTCATTGTTGAAGCTATTTAGTGCTATCTGCTTTGAATACAAAATGTAGAAGCTGGGCACAACGATAGTTGCTATACAGTTGTCCAGCATGACAAAGAACCGCACGTGATCACAAATGAAGACAACGGACATTGACGTTCTGCATCTTTGCAACAATAGTTCCACTCCCCCAATTCCTTTTTTTTTTTGTTTAGAAAGCCAATGGACACATATATCCTTCTCCAGTTCAATAACAGCAGGGACGAAACAAATAAGGGCCCGACTGGGATGGAGAGATTTGGAGACGGGAAGAGAAAAGAGAGAGAGAGCAAGGAAATGGGAAAGGAAAGGAATAGGGAAAGTAAAGCCAAGAGAGACCCAAAAGCACGACACCCCAAGAAGACACCCTATCTAAAAGCCCCCTTCACCTACCCCCCCCCCCCCCCCCCCCCCCGACGCCCCTCAAAACGGAGCGGACACCAAATACTGAGCGTCCACAAACAGTGCCCCCCCCAACTCCTCAGTGTCCTCCCTCTCCCTGTCCACCAGATCGATATCTGCTCCTCCCATAGACGATGCAGCGCGAAGCAAAATGACTCGAGCTTGGGCACGCTGCAAAGCCACCCCAATCATAGCCTTCAAGGATCCCATGAGATAAAAGGAAAAGGACTGGTCATCCTCCCGACACGCCCCCCTCGAAACGGCAAGTCCGAAATGTGCGTCCTCCTGCTGCCGCAGCCAACGCCGAAAACGTCCACCTAGGCATCCCCATGTCTCAACAATCAAAGGGGTGAACTGCACTCCCCGGTTGCGCGCTAACAGCGGCGCGTAATCTCCCGTCTTACTGCGCTCCCACTCCCTGGCCGCCACTCCTATAGACCGCCCACATTGCCCGACCAAGGCTGGAGACAGTGACAGTGGATCGGCAACACTGACCTCCAGAGCATGCGCCTCCCCCGCCGTTGGTCGGCGCACCGCAACATCCACCCGCTTCCCTACCAACATCGAGTCGTCCTCCATCGACACCACCCCTCCCGACGCCTTAGCGATCCTAGCCACCGCAAACTTTACCTCGTCGTGCACCCGTGACGGCCCGTGCTGGTGCTTACAGCGCAATGCATGGTGTGGATCTGCCGGGTCCGTGTACTCAGTGCCGCAAATGCAACGGCCTGCGACGTGCAGCTGCTGAATCGGAAGGCCCAAACGCACAGCCGCGGCAATGCCCCACTCAGCAGCTGTAAAGGTCAAGTCTGAATGGGCAGGCACCGCCGAGACCCAAGCACCAGCTCCCGGGCCCTGAAGGGATGTGAAACGGGCCAGGGTAGCATCGTCACGGGCCATACAACGGAGGGCCTGGAGCTCCTCCACAGCTAACAGCCGCTGCCGTGTCTGGAAAAGTCGAACTGGTGGGGCCGCTACGCAGAGGTGGAGACCCGGCATCTCCTGGCGTACAGCGTCAGGCAGCTGCTCGAGGCTCTTGGAGAACCACGGGTCGAGAAAATCCACCCCCCCCGAAGAGCTGAGGTAGTCCCTAAACATTGCCTCCTCTCCCGCTATCCCCAACTGAGCCACACCTCGCACCACCTGCGTCCATCCGCAGGCATAGGAGAGTGGGCTCAGAGACGCCGCAGCCCGTACACCGAAACCACCCAGACGGACTGGGAGGTGCAGCTGCAGGCGCGCCAACCTAGACCGACCAGGGTCGTGCTCCCATGTGCCAGGGGGAAAAAGTTGCTCAAAACAGTCCTCCACCCTGCTGTCCCACTCCCTAAACGCCTCCACCACCTCTGGTCGTGGTGGCACCGTCCGAGCAAGATACATAGGTCGTGCCGACACTGCAATGGCCAGAAGGTGCGCCGCCATCTGGGGATGCTCGAGCAAAGGGAGCCAAGGAAGGGGCGCCTGCAACTGCTGTAGCCGCTCCCGTAACCGAACAACCTCCCAATCCTCATCCCCAATCGGAACGCCAACTACCGTCAAACCCTCCTCCGTCCGCTGCATGCCAGGTGGCAACCGCTCCTCCAAATCAGCTCCCCCCCGCTCCCAAACCCGACACTTATGCGCCTGCACTTGCAATCCCACTGACTCCAACTGCTCCCGCAGCACGCCAAACGCCTCCAAAATCCGATCCCCAGGACCCAAAATGTAGGTATCGTCGGCATAGCTCAGGAACAAGACATCGGCGAAACCCTTGATGACCGGCTCCATGACCTGCTGCTGCGCGAATGCAAACAGGAAAGGGCCCAACGGGTCCCCCTGTCTCGACCCCCTTGCAGAGACCAGTGTCTCCACAAAAGGGCCTGCCCTCAGGTAGAGGTCGCTGGACGACCCATAGAAGACACTCAGGAAGGGGATGAGACCTGAGAAAGGCGAGTCTCGCAACCCCTCGAACATCGCGCGCCGATGGAAAGAGTTAAATGCGTTCGCGACATCTATCTGCAGCGCGCACCAGTCAGGATGGGTCGCCAGGGACGAGCGAAAAGCGTGGGTGAGTATCTCAACTCCCGCCCTGGTCCCCGCCCCCAACTGGTTACATGGTAGGAAGTGTGAGGCCATGGCTGGGCGAAGTGTGATGCAGAGTGCTCGTGCAAGGATGCGCGGCAGCACCTCTCCGATGGCAACCGGTCTCACGTCCCCGTTGGGCTTGGAGAGCCCGACCAGGTTGAACGCCGCAAGCCAGTGTCGAACACGCTGAGGGACCTGTCCCGCCACCCACTGATTGAACACCTCAAGGAGATGGCAGAGGTAGGAGGGTTCGGTGAGGAAAGTGTCGCGCAGATGCTCCGTGACCCAACCTGACGGACCCGCTGCCGACGCACGAGCAGCTGTGTGAATGGCTCTGGCTAAAGTGTCACAGGTGAGTATCGGCCGCCGAGCGTCGTCAGCAGCAAAATCGCCAACCCACTCCGGTACCCCTTCGACGCTCGCAGGGTGCTTCCCTCGCATAGATTCCACCATTGCCTCCGACGGTCGCGCCAGCTCCCCAGCAGTAAGGCAAGCCAACCCCCGACTCCACTCTCCCACTTTACACCGTGTTCGGCACCGTGCAAGGCGGATGGCGTCTGGGTCTTGGTCCGCGGATGTGTAGGTGAGTGGGCGAACCGCCGGGCGTGCTGCGGTCAAGGCAGACTCGTACAGCTGGTGCCACCTCCCCTCCCAAAACACCCCCAGACGCTCCTTGATTGCAGCCCGCTGGCCCATGCCCGGCTTGGAAGGCACGCCTAGGATGAGGCGTGGAAAGGCTAAGAGAATCAGTGTGCCCGCTTCATCCGTTGGCTTGTTCTTCAATCGTTTCAACACACAGCAGAGCGCGTCAAGGACGCCTAACCGAGCCCGCTGGGGGATCCGTCGCACAGTTCGCCCTCCCACTGCTCCCACATTGAAAAATGTCTCCCAATCCCAAGAGGGGACCTCAGCCCACACTTCTTCCTGGATCTCCCGCGGCGTCGGGAGCTCCTGAGTCTGATCCTCGACCAACGATGGGATGCAACCAAGTGCGTGCGCGCGCCTCTCCGCCTCTGCCGTCCGACAAGCCTTCATATGACTTGCAGCAGCCCCTCGTGTGGCGAATGTATGGAAGCAAGTATCACACGGGAAGCGTGGTCGTAAAGAAGGCGCATCACCCGCTACCGCCTCCGCCGCCTCTGAGCCCTCGGCCAAAGCCATGGGTGTGTCGAAAGCCGGGGGCATGTACAGAGAATCGTCGCGCTGGCCCCCCTCGCCCCCATACTGCCCGGGTTCCCCGGTCACCCCCGGCTGCCCTTCACCTGGCAGCACTCCTTGGGGTGCCCCAGTCACCCCTGCCTCACCCCCAGCCTGCTGCATCCCCTGGAGTACCCCATCACGTCCGGCTGCCCCCCCGCTTGCTGCGCTCCATAAGGTGCCCTAGTCCTGTCTAACGGCCCCCCATCCTGCCGCACTCCCTGGGGTGCTTTGGTCGCCCCCTGCTGCCCCCCCAGCCGCTGCATCCCCCTGGGTGCTCCGGCCTCCCCCGGATGCCCCCCATTCTGCCGCACTCCCTGGCCTGGTCCACTCGCCCCCGGCTGCCCCCCAGCTTGCTCCACACCCCGTGGTGGTCCAGCCACGTCCGGCTGCCTCCCAGCTCGCCGCGCTCCCTGGGGTGCCCCTGTCGCCCCCTGCTGCCCCCCTGGCTGCTCTATGCCGTGGGGTGCTCCGGTCTCCCCCGGCCGCCCCCCGTCCTGCCGCACACCCTGGGGTGTTTTTGTCGACCCCAGCTGCCCCCCTGTCTGTGGCGTGCCCTGGGGTGCTTGAGTCTCCCCCGGCTGCCCCCCGTCCTGCCGCACACTCTGGGGTGCCCCCGACACCCCCAACTGCCCCCCAGCTTGCGGCGCGCCCTGGGTTGCTCCAGTCATATCCGGCTGACACCCGTCCCGCCGCACACCCTGGGGTGCTCCACTCACCCCCGGCTGCCCCCCAGCTTGCTGCACACCCTGGGGTACTCCACTCACCCCCGGCTGCCCCCCAGCTTGCTGCGCACCCTGCGGTGTTCCAGCATCGTCTGGCCGCCTCCCAGATCGCTGCACTCCCTGGGGTGCTCCTGTCACCCCCTGCTGCCCCCCTGGCTGCTCTATGCCCTGGGCTGCCCCGCTCTTCCCCGGCTGACCTCCAGCTTGCCGCACTCCCTGGGGTGCCCCTGTATCCCCCGGCTGCCCCTGGGGCCGATCCATGCCCTGGGCTGCTCCAATTGCCTCCGGCTGCCCCCCAGACAAACGAGCTCCCTGGGGCGCCTCAGGCGCCCCCGGCTGCCCCTCCGCAAGCCGCACGGCAGCCACGCCTCCAGTCCGCCCTTGCGATTTACGGGCCTGTCGTCTCCCGCCTCGGCCCCGCGCCCGGGTTCTCTTCGCTTGGCTTGTAGAATCTGGGCTAGCAACCTCTTTCTGCCCTCCCACCGGCAGCTCCTGCTGCCCTCCCGCCGGCAGCTCCTGCCGCTCTCCCGTTGGCAGCTCCTGCTGCCCTCCCGCCGGCAGCTCCTGCCGCTCTCCCGTTGGCAGCTCCTGCTGCCCTCCCGCCGGTAGCTCCTGCCACCCTCCCGCAGGCAGCCCCTGCTGCTCTCCCCCCAGCGGCTCCTGCTGCCCCCCTGCCTGCAGCCGGGCCTGGTCTCCGGATTGGCATTGCTGCGCCTCTGGCTGCAACTCGGCCATTTCCACGTCCACCACTTGCTGCTCTCCCGCCGGCAACTCCTGCTGCCCTCCGCTCTGCAGCTGCTGCTGCCCTCCGCTCTGCAGCTGCTGCTGCCCTCCACTCTGCAGCTGCTGCTGCCCTCCGCTCTGCAGCTGCTGCTGCCCTCCACTCTGCAGCTGCTGCTGCTGCCCTCCGCTCTGCAGCTGCTGCTGCCCTCCGCTCTGCAGCTGCTGCTGCCCTCCGCTCTGCAACTGATGCTGCCCTCCGCTCTGCAGCTGCTGCTGCCCTCCGCTCTGCAGCTGCTGCTGCCCTCCGCTCTGCGGCTGCTGCTGCCCTCCGCTCTGCAGCTGCTGCTGCCCTCCTCTCCGCAGCTGATGCTGCCCTCCGCTCCGCAGCTGCTGCTGCCCTCCGCTCTGCAGCTGATGCTGCCCTCCGCTCTGCAACTGCTGCTGCCCTCCGCTCTGCAGCTCCTGCTGCCCTCCGCTCTGCAGCTGCTGCTGCCCTCCGCTTTGCAGCTGCTGCTGCCCTCCGCTCTGCAGCCGTTGCTGCCCTCCACTCTGCAGCTGCTGCTGCCCTCCGCTCTGCAGCTGCTGCTGCCCTCCACTCTGCAGCTGCTGCTGCTGCCCTCCGCTCTGCAGCTGCTGCTGCCCTCCGCTCTGCAGCTGCTGCTGCCCTCCGCTCTGCAGCTGCTGCTGCCCTCCGCTCTGCAGCTGATGCTGCCCTCCGCTCTGCAGCTGCTGCTGCCCTCCGCTCTGCAGCTGCTGCTGCCCTCCGCTCTGCAGCTGCTGCTGCCCTCCGCTCTGCAGCTGCTGCTGCCCTCCGCTCCGCAGCTGCTGCTGCCCTCCGCTCCGCAGCTGATGCTGCCCTCCGCTCCGCAGCTGATGCTGCCCTCCGCTCTGCAGCTGATGCTGCCCTCCGCTCTGCAGCTCCTGCTGCCCTCCGCTCTGCAGCTCCTGCTGCCCTCCGCTTTGCAGCTGCTGCTGCCCTCCGCTCTGCAGCCGTTGCTGCCCCCCGCTCTGCAGCTGCTGCTGCCCTCCGCTCTGCAGCCGTTGCTGCCCTCCGCTCTGCAGCTGCTGCTGCCCTCCGCTCTGCAGCTGCTGCTGCCCTCCGCTCTGCAGCTGCTGCTGCCCTCCGCTCTGCAGCTGCTGCTGCCCCCCGGCAAGTGGCTCCACCTCCATCTCCGCCACCAACGCCTGCTGCCCCCCAGTCTGCAGCTCATTCTGCCCCCCAGTCTGCCGCTCATGCAGCCCTCCAGCCTGCAGCTCATGCTGCCCTCCCGCCGGCAGCTGTTGCTGCCCTCCGCTCTGCAGCTCCTGCTGCCCTCCGCTCTGCAGCTGTTGCTGCCCTCCACTCTGCAGCTGTTGCTGCCCTCCGCTCTGCAGCACCTGCTGCCCTCCCGCCGGCAGCTCCTGCCGTATGTTTATATACCAGGATTACTGACCCCGGAAGATCCAGATTATGCACAACGTTTCACGTATTCTCTTTGTTCTAGGTTGAATTGCTCCCAGCTCCTAAACACAAGCTGCTGACTGTCATCTACGGAGTTGCTAGTTAAGTACTGCTACTACAGAGTGTCGGAGTGTCATAGGCCTCTCGTCAGCACACGTCATTCACTGGCTTTCTAGAGTTGGCAGGTTGGAGAGACACCTGCCCGCCGCATGAAAAATGATGCTGCAGTGGCTTGGTCTGGTCAGCGCTGGAGAATTGCCATGCCAGCGTGTCAGTCGCCACACCTCTCCTTCCCTCATGGTTGGGCTTCCTAGATTCTTCCTCCGCTCAACAAGGATCCAGCCAGCGGACCCCCCCCCCCCCCCCCCTCTCCCCCCTCTGAACCTGCACCAGCGAGCCCCAGTGAATACCAAGCGCGGAATTTCTTCGGCGAATGCGTGGCTCTCTCAACGGGCAAGAGCGAGATCAGTCATGACTCAAGCTGCCGCTATTCAATGTTTTTGTTCGATCCACTGTTCGCGCTGCCACCAACGATTGAAAACCCCACAAACCATGACGCAATCATGGCCATCCATCACCCTCTTTTCCCCTCGAAATTTCCCTTCGCCATGCCACGCAAGCTCATGCCCCGCTGTGGTGCACATCTGTTGAAGTGTGTGTCTCCCTCAGACCCCAAAAATTACATTGTTCCAAAAAAAAAAAGCTTAATGCGAGCTATCGCCATGCGCTTAGCCACTACCGTAAGAAAAGTGGATATCTCAAAACTTCTTCTGGTCAATGGAATGACCAAATGAAAGAGAGGTCTTAAAGGACACATCCAGAATTACCGTGTCCCAAAACTGTCACCACTTTCACGTGATTGGTCGAAGGTTTTGAGCGGGTTTTTGACGCGATTGGTTCTCGATTTTCCCACCAAACCTCCTTCTGGGGTTTTCCGAACGTACAATTTTTTCGTTGACTTCGTTGTGTAATTCGGGGTGTGGCCTTTAAGGGAAAAAACAGTATTGCGTATCCAGGGGGTTTTGTGGTTCAGAAAACCTACGCAGGATGAGGTTCGGTCAGCATCGCCAAACTGACTGCGCTTTCTCAGGGGGCTTCCTGACGGTTTCCCACCGCAATCACCCACCGCGTCATTTCCAACCAATCCCTTCCCCCCACTCATCTCCCCCGTGCATCCCGCCCCCTTTTTCCGCTTCCCGTTACCCCCGCTCTGCACCCCTTTCCCCCAACCAGCTTGACCCTCCAGCCGCCCCGCCTCGTGCTGCTTCTGAGAGCCTTCCCCCCTCCACCTCTTTTCCACCTTCCCTTCCCATCCCACTCCCTCCCCCCGCTCACCCTCTCTCCTCCGCTGCGCCGTCTGTGCCTCTTCTCTCCCTCCCCGCTCCCCCCTCTGCTCAATCAACTCGTTCCGCGCCCCACCAAGTGCATTTCTCCCCTCGCTCCTCTCCTGTTTCCAAGGCCTTCCGCCTTCTCCTCTCCGTCGCTCTCTCGTGCTGCTAGCGCAACTTGCATCCCCCACGGACTTCCCTCACACACCTCGAGATTGGTTTCATCTTCGCTGTCGAGTCTCTGGTTGTGACTTGTTCAGTGGTTGGCTTTTCCACCATGGATGATTGGTCGTAGCTGTTATTAATTCCGAGAAAAAGGATCCGTAGAGTAGAATTTCCCAGCTAGAATTTCGTTGCAATGGCTTCGCGAGGAAGGTCCACGCCGTGTGGACGATCCATGGCGGGAATTTTGGATGTTCATGTCCATTACGCGGCAGGGCTCCCCTCATTGTGTGACTATGGCGAGCAGGATGTTTACGTTCGCTTTTTATTCGGCGAGCTCGATCCCCTCTCGGGTGCCGTGTTACAGGTACATCACTCTATTTTTCGTCGACCAGATACCCATCAGTTCGCGATTTTCGTCTATTTGTAGGAACGTGACATCCCCCTTGACAGTCATCACTTTCCAGTAGTAGAGTTCAAATAATTTCACTCCGACAATTTCAAGCTTGCGTTTTCGACCTTGAGGCTTACAGAAATCTCGTCTTCACGACGATTACATCTCGCATAGCGTTGAAGTCTGTGTTAAATTCCCGAATCCTGCGTGCGTGAGCAGACCAGGACGGTCCGCAAGGGCGGGACGCGTCCAATATTCGACCAGTCGCTTCAAGTCGGAGTCCCGTCGGGCGAACAGGTTCGTGCTACCTTGTTTGGTTGGTACACTACCATAGTTGTCCTCGCAATCATCACGATATGATGCAGCATAAACGTGTCGTCTCCCATCAGTCGCTGCGAGTTGGAGTCCCGTCAGGCGAGCAAGTTCGCGTGTCCTCGTTGCACACCGCACCGTGATTATCCCTTACAGTTATCTCCGTAGGGTAAGCGTGTCGCGTCCCATATTTGACCGGTCGCTGCGAGTCGGAGTCCTGTCGGGCAAGCGAGCTCGTGCTGCCTTGTTTGCTACTTCACCATGGTTGATCCTTGCAGCTGTCATCATAGGAGTCTGTTTTTGAGGCGCCTAAAAAATAGACCATGCTTGTACCTTGCAGCATAGTCGTGTCCAATTTTCGACCAGCCGCGGCGCATCGATTGTACCTATGTTGCGTCATTGAGTAGTTATTTTGAGGCTTCTTAGGACTTCAAAAGTGTTTCCCTTGCCACCCTCCGGCGTGTACGTTAAGGGAAAAAAGGACGCTAACGATGCGTCAAGCCTTTTGGCGTTCCGTTCCAGTAATTTTCTCCCGCGATACCCTCCCGCCCTCGTCTTGCGCTCGTCTCGCGCTCGTTCCGCTCGTCCCCCTCGTTCCGCTCGTCGCGCCTTCTCTCGTCGTTCCTCGCATTCATCGTCCACCACCCCTCCTTTCCTCCCGCTCGTCCCGCTCGTTCCGCCCGTCGCGCTCGGCCCGCTAGGCGCGCTAGTCGCGCACACTCTCGTCATTACTCGCATCCATCGTCCACCACCCCTCCCCCATCCTCCCTTCTCCGCCACGTCGCCGTCGCGGAAAACTGCGGAACTCTGACGTCGCGTCCACGCGGTGGAGTTTAAATCCTCGTCGTACACGTGGCCCCCCGCCGCCGCTTTTCCAGCCGTCTTCTCCCCACGCCCGCGCCCGTTTCCCCTATCTCCCTCTCCCACCTCCCACCTTCCGTCCCTCCACCCTCCCTTCTCCCTCATCCCCACTCGCGCGCTACCTCTGTGCTGCGAGGGGTTCATGTGGCCGCCACCTCGGGGGCGCGCCGGTCAGATGCGGGTCACGCTTTCCCCCTAATCGCTCCTTTATCTCCTCTTCCCCCGCTTTTCCCCTCCCCCACCTCCCTCTTCCCCCCGCTTCCCCTTACGTCCCCTCTCTCCCTCCCTCCGCCCTCTTCCCCCCACCCCTTCGTTTCTCCTTCCGCGCAGCGTCTGCGCTGCGAGGTGTTCATGTCGCAGCCGCGCGGGCGCGATCAGCTGCTGGGCGCCGCGAACGTGTCGCTGGAAGAGATTATATCGCGTACGGCCAAGCTCTCGAAGAAACCCGCGGAGTTCAAGTGAGTTCCGCTCGCCCGCGCCCTTCATCCGCCCATTGGCGCATCTTGCGCCGTACCTCCGCATTCTCTCCCCTTTCTTTCCCCTTCCCCCCTTTCCCCACCCCTGTTTCCTCTCCCGCCCCCAGCTCCCCCTCCTTCCCCCCTCCCCACTCCTCACCCCTCCTTTCTTCCTCATCTCTTGACCGTCTCGCTCTTCCCCCCTTCTTTTCCTTGAGATTCTATTAGAAGTCACTTGTTGTCAGCAACTTCCCAGTTCAGTTATTTTTTCAAACTCGACTCTTGTCCCTTGCCTCTCTCTTTCCGTTCCCTCTCCGTGCCCCTCTCCTTCTCCCCCGTAACGCTCTGTTTCGTTCCGCGTGTTCCGCTCGTCGCTCCCCGTGCCCCCCGCCAGGCTGCTAAGCAGCAGCAGCGCGCCCGCGGGAGCTCTCGTGCTCACGCTCACCTACCACGGCCGCTCCGCCTCTTCCTCTCGCCCTGCCGCGCAGCCCGCCGCTCATCCCTCCGCGCAATTCGGTGCGCAGTCCGCCGCGCAGACGGACGGACAAGCCGGCGCGGCGGCGGCTGGCGGAGCGTTCGCGCGGCTTGCGTTCCCGCCTTCCCTACAAGACTCCGCCGCCGCCACATCCGCCGCCGCCGCCGCCACATCCGCCGCCGCCGCCGCGATCGCGCTGCTCCCCGCAAAGAGAACGCCCCCCCCGCTCCCCGCCTCCTTCGCGATGGCTGCGCCTCCACCCAATTCCGGATCCCTCCCCGCGTCTAGCGCTGTAGACGCGATAGCAGCCGCGCTATTCCCGCGGGCGCACATCCAAGCGCAGTCTCAGGCGCAGGCTCAGGCGCACTCTCAGGCGCAGGCGCAGGCTCAGGCGCAGTTTCAGGCGCAAGCGCAAGCGCAAGCGCAAATGCACCCGCAGATGCTGACGTCACCCCAGCAGGCTTCGCCCATGTTCCCCCCCGCGTCTTCTCCGTTTCCGCCTCCCCCTTCCCCGCCTGGCGCTATTGCGCAGGCCGCAGGGGCTTCCGCGCCGTCCCCTTCGTTTTTCAATCCTTCGCCCTCGTTAGTATCACATCCCTCGCCCTCGTTAGTATCACATGCTCCCCCCTCGTTGTCACATCCTTCCGCCCCAGCTGCGCCGTTACTTTTCAACCACCTGGCCTCCTCCGCTGCTGCGCCGTCATCGCAGCGCTGGGGCGCAACGGAAGGCGCGTCGCAGCTAGAATCAAGGCGGGTAGTAACGGGGACGGAGGTGGAAAATCGCGCAGGCGGGGACTTCACCAGCGCGAACGGGGCGGGGCAAGGCGCGCTGCGTGGTATACCTTCCGCGGAGTTCAGTTTGGGGGGAGCGCGGATCGGCGGAGCGGGAGTAGGCGGCGCAGGAGCAGGGGGGGCGGGGGGAACGGCGGGGGTAGCGGGGGCGGCAGCGGAGCTGATGACGATGGCACAAAACGACAGCACGCACAGGTCGTATCTGGCCAGGCAGTTACTGGACTCGAGCGCTGCAATGCAGGGCGGCGCGAGTATGGGGCCGCTAGATTTGGGTCCATCCAACGGTGGAGATGCAAGCATGGGGGCGGTAGATCTGCCGGGTGCTAGTTTGGGGGCTGTGGCCGCAGGATCCGCGGAGCCCGTAAAGGCGGAGCAAGCAGGCGGAGTTCTGGGGGAATTGGGTGGGGGAAGGATGGGGGGAACGGGTAAGACATCCCCGCCCCCCTGCTTGGATCTCTCCGCGGGTCTGGGCAGAGCAGGGGGAGCGGAAGGGGGCATTGGGGGGAGAAGGAAGAGCTTGAGGCGGGAGCGGGAGTGGTGGAGTGAGGCGAAAGCGGAAGCTATGGAGGTGGAGGGGGGAAGTGAGGGGTTTGGGGGAAGATCCGGCGTGGGGGGGGTAGAGCTTGGATTGTCCACTGTGGCAGCAGCAGCAGCAGCAGCAACAGAAGCAGGTGGGAACGAGAGCGCAGCGGAGGGTAGCAAGAGTGCAGCAGCAGCAGAACCGAGAGCAGAAGCAGGAGCAGAAAGGAGCACAGAACCCATTGCAGACTTGCTGAACGTTAACCATGCTCATCGTCAAAACGAGCAGCAGCAGCAGCAGCAGCAGGAGGAGGAGGAGGAGGAGGAGGAGGAGGAGCCGAGGCTGATGCAGCTGCTGCCTATGCAGTGGTGCTCGGAGGACAGAGAAAAGGACAGTTTCATGCATAGTAGAAGCAGCAACAGACCATCAGGACCGTTGGATAGACCATCATCAGGTCTCACGCCATCAGGTGGCACTCCAGCCACTGTTGCAAGCCCTGACCTATCCCTTGGCAGGGCAACGAAGCTGAGCCTCGAACCTGCCGAGCCAAGCAGGCACGGCTTGGCGTCAAGTTTGACTCTAGGTTTGGAACCCGAGCCTGTTGGTGAGCCAGGAAGAGCGCCCGTGCCCTGCCACCCTGCGCCCTTTTCCATGTCCATGGGTTCATCTTTCCAGCCGATCCAACAGGCGCCACATCAGGTGCCTTTTCAGGTGCCACAACAGCATCCCGGTCAGGCGCCTCAACAGGCGCCCATATCTATGCTTCCGGGCACGGGCACGGGCAGGGACGCGGGCACGGGCGCGGGCGCGGATACGTACGCGCCTGGTAGTCATCCGAGCAGTTTAGGGGATCAATTGCACACAGCAGTTGCAGCATCCGCTGCTGCTGCAGCCGCTAGTGTTGCTGCTGCTGCTGCGACCGCTGGTGCTGGTACTGGTGCTGCTGCTGCTGCCACTGGCGCGTTTTTCTCTGCTTTCCCATCGCATCCACCCTCTTCCATGCATCTACCCACGCAACCCGTGCCGGCGCTACCCACAGCACCTGCCTCTGCTGCATCCCTTTCGTTCCAAGGCCCCCCCGTCTCTGCCTCCCCCGCTGTCCCTCTCTCTGCCCCTGTTCCTGTCTCCATCCCTGCCCCCATCTCTGCCCCTGCCCCTGTCTCTCTCGCCCCCCCCGCTTCTATCTCCTCCTCCTCCTCTCGCCCAACCGCCTCTGCATTCCGCCCCTATCCAGCCACCCTGCGCACTGATACCAAATCTCCCCAAGCAGCCTCTGCCGCCGAGCCTAGCCGGCCCGGCGGGGACTCTTCCAGGCTCGGCACGGACTCGTCGAGGCTCGGTGCCGAGCCATGCCGGCCGGCAAAGAAGCAGTGCTGTTCGCCCGCACGCCAAGCCTATCCCGTCTCCCCTCAGCAAGCACCCCCCTCACCTCAGGACCACACTTTGCCTCAAGACCATATTATACCTCGGGATTCAAAACAGGGTGCTGCTGAAAAGCCCGCTTCGTTGCTCCCGTCCCTCCCCTCCTTCTCCTGTCGCTCCCGCAGCACTGCTGCCTGCCCTGCGGCTGCTGCGGCCAGGTCTCTGTTTGGAGCCCTCATGGGTTCGACTGGGTTTGGTACTGCCAGTGTGAATGGCAGTGCCAGTGCCAGTGCCAGTGGCACTGGCAGTGGCAGTGGTGGCGGCTCTGGTGCTGGATCGTCCTCAGCTGCTGCTACAGCTGGTGCCACAGCTAGTGCTACAGCCGGTGCTACAGCTGCTGCTACAGGCGCTGCAGCTTCTACAGCTGCCGCCACAGCCCCTGCGTCAGCATGCCCTGGTGCGCCTGCGTGGCTTGTGGCTCTGTCGTCCTCGCTTGGTATGGGCGGGTGCAAGCAGCAGCAGGCGCAGCAGCAGGGGAAGCAGCAGCAGACGCAGCAGCAGTCTCAGCAGCAGGCGCAGCAGCAGGGGAAGCAGCAGCAGACGCAGCAGCAGTCTCAGCTGCAGTCGCAGCAGCAGGGGAAACTGCAGCAGAAGCAGCAGCAGCAGCAGCAAGCGAAGCAGGGGAAGAAGCAGCAGCAGCAGCAGGGGCAGAAAGCGCCGCTGCTGCAGCAGCTGCAGCAGGCGCAGCAGAAGCAGGGGAAGCAGCTTCAGTCAGTGGCCACTCCCCTGGATGCCACTGCTTGTGGATCACGGATTCTGCGTCTGGCCGAGCTACTGGGCGAAGTTGAGAGCCATCGCAAGGCGCAATCATCATCCTCACCATCACCACCGCCAGCAACAGCCGCAGCAGTAGCAGCAGCAGGAGCAGCAGCAGCAGCAGCAGCACCGGCGGGATCCCTGGCAGCAGGGTTAGCAGCAGCAGCGGCAGCAGCCACTGCTGCGGCTGCAGCCGCGACAGGAGCAGGGGCTGTAGCAGGGACGAGAGGGACGTTAGGCAGTAGCAGGGGGGGTGATATTGGGCGGAAGGCTCACACTCACAGCTCATCACCCCAGTCTCCAGCCCCGGCCCCGGGCCTGATAGGTTTGGGCTGGTTATGGTTGAGGATTTGAACCCAAAGGGTTAAGTACGACACATATCTCCCCCCTCATTTCGGTTGATAAACCCTTTTTTTCCGTCAACCCCCCTCTCTGTCTTTCAACCACTCTTTCCATCAACCCTCCCTCTGCCTCTCTCTCCCCTCGTCCCCCGCAGCGAGCATGCCACAGAGGACGTGCACACGGGTGAAACTGCTTGTTCTGCTCGCATAATTGCCCCTCACCCCCCTCTCTCTCTCTCTGCCTCCCATCTCCCCTCTCTGCGTCTCTCTTCACTTGTTCCCCACAGCGAGCGAGCATGCCACAGAGGACGTGCGCATGGGTGAAGCTGCCTGTTCTGCTCAGCTTACATGCCTTCCCTTCACTGTGCACATCTGACACCTTGACATCAACCCCCCTCTCTGTCCGTCTCCTTCTCCCATTGCTCTTTGCAGCGAGCATGCCGCAGAGGACGTGCACATGGCTGAAGCTGCTTCTGCTCCACAACCACCGCCAACAATAGTAGCAGCAGCAGCAGCATCAGCAGGAACAGGAGCAGCATCGCATGCATCATTAGCAGCATCAGCATCCGCCCTGCCTCCCAGCCTCGTAGCCTTCTTGGCATCCCAGGCTGCAGAGGCTGCTGCTGCTGGGAAGAACCGTCCAAATTTAGCCACCCAGCAGCAGCAGCAGCAGCAGGAGAGGGCACAGACGGAGGAAGGAAACGGGCAGTTCTCACCAGAGCCTCCTGCCTGGCAGCGCAGCTTTGCTGCAGCTTTTGAGGTGCCTCAAAAGTCAACATTTGCGGCGCCTCAAAAGTCGGAGGAAGGAAGCGGGCGGTTCTCACCAGAGCCTCCTGCCTGGCAGCGCAGCTTTGCTGCAGCATTTGCAGCGGCCAGTGTGACCCCCTCAGCTCATGCCGACGCCTCCCCTCCTATTCCCTCTGCCCCCGCTCCTTCCGCTCCTGCTTCTGCTCCCCCTCCCAATCCTGCTCCGCCTGCTCCTCCTCCTTCTGCTCTCTCTCCTTCCACTGCCCCCAGCGCGTTTGCTGCGCTACTGAGAGCCAGTGAGGCAGCTAACCCCTCCACACCTCTCCACCTGCCCAATCACAGCCTGAACCCCTCTTCACCCCTTCACCACCACCAGCACCAGCAGCACTACCAACACCACTACCCACATCCGCCATTTCTTGCAGCAGCTCCTGCAGTTGCAGCAGCAGTTGCACCAACCACTGCAGCAGCAGCCTTTAAAATGCTAACTCCCGTCAATACCAACCCTCCATCCCTCCCTCGCTGTCGCCGCTCCTCTCCTCCCTTTCCTTCGCCCCCCTCTCCTCCCTCTCCTCCCTCTCTTTCCTCTCCTCCGTCACAACCCTCCCTCCCCTCCTCCTCCCCTGCTTCCTCCTCCAACCCCTCCTCCTCCACCTGCCCGCTCACGTCCCTCCGTGCCTCTCTCCCGAACCTCCCGCTGCCGGGCCTACCACTGCCGAGCCTGCTGTCGTGGCATCGCAAGGTGGAAGGGGAGGAGGCGGCGTTGCTGAGAGAGCAAGCAGCCGCCATCTGGCAGGTCTCTAAAGCCCTCATGGGGCAGGGGCAGCCGGGGCAGCAGGGGCAGCAGTTGCAGTACCAGCAGGGGCAGGGGCAGGGGAAGGGGCAGGGGCAGGGGCAGGGGCAGGGGCAGGGGCAGGGGCAGGGGCAGGGGCAGGGGCAGGGGCAGCAACAGGGGCAGGGGCAGCAGCAGCAGCAGCAGCAACAGGGGCAGGGAAAGGGGCAGGGGCAGGAAAGTGCAGCAACAAGCGAAGCAGGAGCGGCAGGTGATGGAACGGCATCAGCATCAGCAGCAGCAGGAGAAGCAGAAGGAACATTAGTAGCAGAGGGAAGCCCTGGGTTGGCGGGTATGCAGGCTTTGGCAACCCTAGCTGCTCTGCAGCAGCAACAACAGCAGCAGTCAGCTTACACTGCTGGTGCTGGTGATTTTTTGCTAGCAGATCCTGCTTCTGCTAGTCGTGCGGCTGCTGATGGCACCGCTAGTCGTGCTGCTGCTGATGGCACCGCTAGTCGTGCTGCTGCTGATGGCACCGCTAGTCGTGCTGCTGCTGATGCTGCGGCTGCCGCTCGTGCTGCTGCCGGTGGTGCCACTGCTGCTCCTACTGCACCATGCACCTCAGCCGAACGGCCGAGCAGGAACGCAATGACGTCTGATCGCTCTGGTTGCGGGAAGAGGAACAAGCGGCGTTCTTCCCACTCAAACACCAACACCAACACCACTGGCACTGCTACCACGGCCACCACCACCACCACTACCACTGCCACCACCTCTGCCAGCACAGATCATTCCTCTGCCTGCAGCCCTCCTGGTGCCATGCCAGGTGCTACATCAGGTGTTGTGCCAGGTGTTTTTCAAGGTGTTTTTCTGCCTGCTGACACAGCAACAGCAGGCACGGCCAGAGCTACAGCAGCTGCAGCAAATCATTCGACTAGTGGCAGTGTGCAGGCAGAACAGGCACACGAACAGACAGCATGCTCGGCACACCAGCATGGGGCGAGCGGCGGTGCGTTGGCGAGCTTTGAAGTGTCTCAAAACGCGCATCAGAGAGGGGGAGCTGGCAGTGTGGTGGGGGCACACCAGCAGCAGGCGGGTAATGGCAGTGCCATCATCCCAGCGCAACCACATGGGTTGGTGCAGCAGCAAACGAGAAATACGGTGGGTGCAGCACCGGCACCGGCACCAGATGGCAGTGTGCTCTCAGCGCTTGAGCCTGAGCATGGTGCTAATGGCGGTGTGATCTCAGTGCAACAGCATGCAGCGGCGGTGTGGCAGGCGAGCATGGGGAAGAGCAGGGAGGAGGCGGAGGCGCTGTGTGAGCAGGCTGTGCGGGCTGGCACGCTCACCCACGACCAGGCGGCTGAGTTCTGCGGCCTGCTGTCCAAAGAGAGCCTGCGCACCTTGCGAGAGGTGAGCACAGAAGGGTGGAGGGGTTTGGGTGGGTGTAGTGAGGTAAGAGGGTGTGACACATGTTGGTCAGCGCTGTGAGCAGGCCGTGCGGGCTGGCACGCTCACTCACGACCAGGCGGCTGAGTTCTGCGGACTGCTGTTCGAGGAGAGCCTGCGGAGCTTGAGAGAGGTGGGCAAGGAATGGGGTGTCTGGCTGCCTCTCGGTTGCATCTGCAATGCAAGAGAATCTCCTTAGGTACCACTTACCCTAATCTGACTTCCGCCCCCCCTTGTTCCCCCCTGCCTACTAACAGTCTCTTTTAGTGACGGAGGACAAGTTTCGAGGGTGCTCCATAGAGGACCTGGAGGAGAGTCGCCGGCAGGCGTGGCGGGAGTTCTGGGAGAAGCTGGAGGCGGGCAGGCGGAGAGGAGGGGCGGCTGCTGTACTCACAGGTTCCAATTCGCCTAATCCACCCTCTCTCTCCCTTTCTTTTCGCCCCAACACCCCACTTCTGTTCCAAACAGTCTCTCTTAGCAATGGAGGACAAGTTTCGGGGGTGCTCGATAGAGGACTTGGAGGAGAGTCGTCGGCAGGCATGGCGGGAGTTCTGGGAAAAGCTGGAGGCGGGCAGGCGGCGAGGAGGGGCGGGTGCTGCTGCTGCGGGCGGGCCGAATGGGGTTGTGGGCGGAGCGACTGGGAGCGGTGCCGGCAACGGCTCGTGCATTTTTTACGGCAGCCGCGCGTTTTTCTGAGGTGGCGTGGCATGGCGTGGCAGACATGGGAGGATCCGGATTTGCAGATGGAAGGAACTGGTGAAGGACGTGGTGTCGCTTATGCTCTTTGAGTTCTGGGAGAAATTGGAGGCGGGCAGGCTGCGAGGAGGAGGGGGGCGGGCTGGCTGTGAGGAGGAGAGGAGTGGGGGGTGGGAGGCCGCGAGGAGGGGGGAAGCGGCTGTGAGGAGGAGGAGGGGCGGCTGCTGCTTGGGATGCACAGGGTTGTAGGGGCTGCGGCAATGGCTTGCGCATATTCTACGGCTGTCACGCATTCTTCTGAGGCGCCATGGCGTGTGAAGGAAGGAATCGATTTGCTGCTGAAGAAATTTGTGCTGAATACGCTGTTTGGGTTCCAGGAGAAGTCGGAGGTGGGCAGGAGGAGAGGAGGGGCGGCTGCTGCTGCTCGTGACGCACAGGGCGGGCCAAATGGGGATGTGGGAGCTGCGGGTGGAGTGGAAGTGGTGCCGGCAGAGGCTCGTGCATTTATATATGGCTGCCGCACGTTTTTTCTAAGGCGGCGTCGCGTCGCGTGCTATACATGGAAGGTACCGGTTTGCTGAAGGGACTGGTGACACCTACGCGTTCTTCAAGTCCCACAGGCTTTGTGGGTCTGGAGTTCAATTTCTTGATTAAATATATGAGAGCACACCTAATTTGGTAGAGCTAATTCAGATTGAATGATTGAATCCGAGTTATATATTGTAAATGGTGACTTTGAGAGATTTAGTGTAGCACCTTCAGCAGTTGAGAGTTGCAGCCATGTAGCGAAGCCCGCTGTTTCAGACGTTCGGGGCGTGTTTCAATTCTCGAGTTATCCTTTCAGGTGCAACTTTCGGTGCGTGTCAGTTACAAACTCGGAGTTCCTTCCGCGAGAGATGCCGGCTTTGCAAGGGCAGGTTACAGCCCGAAACGCGATGTGGCGACGGAAGCCGGGGAGTAACCTTGCAGCACGATTCGAATCGCCAATGGGGAGATGCAGTTGACAACCTTGAAAGGAAACGATGTACGAGCGAACCAGAAACACGTCCTCAAGTCCAAAGCCTGCTCGTTGTGCAGTGTTTTTGAATCACAGCATTTGAACTCTTGAATATCTTCGGTGGCGTCGTTGATTAGGGCTTGTTGCGATATCGCTTCGCCATACGCGATTCGACGTTTTCACAACTCCGTTGCTTCTGCGTCCATTAGCCTTACGATAGAATTTTCCCTTTCCATTAAACATAAACGAGATAACAACACGAGCCAATCAGCAAAACCAGTCGGCGTGAGAGTAGAATCAGCCAATCGCGTGGAGGAGAATTCTCAAAAGCGACGCCGATCGCGTGGAGGCATGTATGCGGATCGCCTAGAGGAGGAGCGGGAGACCGTGAGAACCCGCCTCTCGGGGAGCCGAGGCGGCGTGCGCGCAGGCGCGGGGAGCACCGGGCCAATCAGGAACCGCGTGTCGTTCAAAAAGGGCGGCTCCGCCACCACATTCAGGTGCGCCGCGATTGCCTGCGGCTCGGGGTGCGTCGCATTCTGCCTGTGCGTCGGGCTACGCTTCGTCTGCCTGCGCCTGGGGTTATCCCGCGTATGATACTGCCTTTGGGTGACATTAAAGTCGACTCAATAGTCACCTTCGGTTACACTGCCTCCGATGTCGCCTTTCGGTGACTATTGAGTCGCGGATAGAAGCTGAGGCTGGAATTGGCTAGCTGGGCGTGATAGCATTTGCTTTCGTCGCCCCCCGTGCGTCTTGTAGCTCCTGATTTAGACAACCCCTTATTTTCAGTAGTGCAGGTGGCGTTAGGGTCGGTTTAGTAGTATGGGAAGAAGTATTTGCCAGAATGACTTGCATTGTATGTAGTTCCGCGTTGCCTCGGTGTCTCAATGGAGGTTCAGTGGGGAGAAGGCGGGGAAAGGCGTGGGACGGGGAAACTAGTGGGGACGGAGAGGAAGGAGATGCAGAAGGAGAATGTTGGGGGGGAGGGGATGGGGATGCGGAAGGAGAATGTCGGGGGGAAAGAGGGGGAAAGAGGAACAGGGGAGATGGGGAGGAAAGGATAAGACGTTTATCAGTTAAGCCTGAGGGATTTTGTATTTCGGAAAAACGGGGGTATGTTTCAAACGCCTCAGGCACTGAGGCTTAACAAAATCCCTCGTACCATCATCACCATTACCACCACCACCATAACCGCCACCAACATCACCCTTCAGGAAACGCTCTACTGGCGACAACAGGTGGTGGTGGTGCTGCTGCTGCTGCTGTCAGCAGCGACAACAGGTGGTGGTGGTGCTGCTGCTGCTGTCAGCAGCGACAACAGGTGGTGGTGGTGCTGCTGCTGCTGCTGTCAGCAGCGACAACAGGTGGTGGTGGTGCTGCTGCTGCTGTCAGCACCGACAACAGGTGGTGGTGGTGCTGCTGCTGCTGTCAGCAGCGACAACAGATGGCACCAAGACCTGTTTGACCAGAGCAGTGGAGGAGAAGATGATGATGACCCTACTGTTAATGGTGCGCCTTGCATCTAATCATCTCCTCCCTTCCCACCGCAAATCAGGCATCGGTCTACTGGCGGTAGTGCAGGCGATGATGACAGATGGCATCAAGACCTGTTTGACCAGAGAGGTGGTGGAGGCCGAAGATGATAAACCTACTGTTAACGGTGCGTCTTGCATCGAATCCTCTCCGTCCCTTCCCACCTCAATCAGGCGACACTCTACTGGTGGCAGCGGTGACGAAGACAGATGGCATCACGACCTGTTTGACCAGATCGGCGACAATGATGACGGCCCTACTGGTGATGGTGCGGCCTTTCTCCATCCCACTCCACTCCCCTCCACTCCCCTTCACTCCCCTCCACTCTCCTCCACTCCCTTCCTTTCCACGCCTCCAGATTCGCTCTAAATCCCAGAATTCTCAGAACTTACTACTCTCCTTTGTTTCTTCCCATGCGTTTGAGAGGCTATTTAGAGATATAAAAAGAATGCGATATATTCAAATATATATATATGTATATATATATTCATATATTTGCGATATATATGTCATTCTCTTTCCCCCCGTCCTGGGGTTTCTACCGCCCTCTTCTCTTCCCGCCCTCTCCTCTCAGCACCTCAGCTGCACTCAGCTTGTTGAATCCTATTATTAAGTATTACCTTCCCCCTATTTTCGAGTTTACTAAAAGAAAACTCAGGTGTTTGAATTCAATATTCAAGGATTACCTTCCCCTCCCCTTTTTCACTTCCCCTCCCCCTCTGCACTCCCCTGACCACGTCCCCCTGCCCCTCCCTCCCTTTCCGCCTCCCCCCATTTCCCCTTCTCCCTTTCCCCCCACCCCCCCCAGGTGTCCCCCCAGCCAACGACCTCCGCGCTCTGCTCAGGGCCAAGGGGGGGAACCTGCAGGGGGCAGGGGGAAAATTAGGGGGAAGGCTGGGCGGAAAAGTGCAGGTGGGGGACCTCCGCCACAAGTTGTCTGGGGGGAGCGGGGGAAAGGGGGGAAACGGGGGACGCGGGGGGAAGGTCACCAGGGGGAGGCTCGACGCAGGAGGGGGAGGCAGTGCGGGGATTTTTGCAGCAGAAGGGGAGAGGGGAGGGAATGGGGAAGCAGTAGCACGGGGAAGAGGAGGGGAGGGAATGGTGGTGAGGGGTAGAGGAGCAGTGACGAACCTCTCCTCTCTATCCTCCGTATCTTTTAGGAGTGATGAGAGGATGGTGGTTGGTGGGGACGTGGGAGGGGTGGTGAGAGTGGCAGCTGCTGCTGCTGCCGCTGCTTCTACTGCAGCAGGAGGAAGGGGAGGGGGAGAACGGCTAGTGAAGCAGCAGCAGCCGCGGCAGCAGCACCAGCAGCAGCAGCAGGAGCAGCAGCAGAGGAGGCTGACAGTGGTGGTGGCAAATGATGGGGTTGGAGGAGCAGGGAGCGTCAGGAGGAGAAGCACCGTGGTGGGGGCGGTAGGAGTGGGGAAAGAGAGGGGGCTGGCAGCTATGGATGCTGACGTGGCGATGGAGGGGGGAGATGAGCAGCAGGTGAGAAAGCGGCTGGAGCGAAGGCTGTGGTGTGAATGGGAGCAGGTGAGAAAGCGTGTGGGAAGTGGGTTGTGTTGTGGCTTCTGTAGTGTGAGACGCACACTACACACCATCGGAGGAGAGGGGGGTGGCAGCTATGGATGCTGACGTGGCGATGGAGGGGGAAGATGAGCAGCAGGTGAGAAGCGGCTTGGGAGTAGGGTGTAGCGCGAGTGCTTGTATCGCCATTGAGAATTCTCACCAGCGTGGATGCTGACGTGGCGATGGAGGGGGGCGACGAGCAGCAGGTGAGAAAGCGTGTGGGAAGAGGGTCTGAAGTGTGACTTGTGTAGTGTGTGAGACGCACGCTACACACCACACACCATCGGAGAAGGGGGCGGCAGCAATTGATGCTGAAGTGGCTATGGGAGTGGCTGACGAGCAGCAGGTGAGAGGCGGCTGGGGATAAGGTCTGTAGTGTGACTTCTGGGGTGTGTGAGAGATGCACTCTACACACCATTAGACGTAGGAGAAGGGAGTGGCTGCAATGTTTGCTGACGTGGCTATGGGAGGGGCTGACGAGCAGCAGGTGAGAGGCAGCTGGGGAGAGGAGAACCCATGCGCATCCTGTGGTTCGTGTCTTTAACCTTTATGGGGATGCTGATGCTGAGAATATAGACATGGGTTGTTGTATGTGTGAAATGTTGTGAGATATTCTGTGGGATGTTTTGTGGGTTGTTATGTGGGATGTTGTTGTGATGGTGTATGAGTGTGGGATGCATGTAGGCTGATGATGCATGTGGGATGCCAATACGTGCATTTGCCATCATTTAGAATTGTGGCTGGTGTTCGTGGGATATTTTCACGGAAAGTGTAATATGTAGAATATCTCATGTTGGATGTTATATGCTGGTTGCTGTATAGCATTTGAATTTGAGGCTTTTGCTTCTTAACCCCTCTTCACCATTTGTTCCACAACCCTCTGCCCATCCGTCCATCCGCCCATCCGCCCATCCGTCCATCCGCCCATCCGTCCATCCCCCCATCCGTCCATCCGCCCATCCATCCATCCGCCCATCCGTCCATCCCCCCACCCGTCCATCCGTCCATCCGTCCATCCGCCTATCTGCCCAACTGCCCCTCCGCCCATCACCTCGCCCACGCAGACGGTGGCCTCCTTTCTTGCAAGCCTGGGACTGAGCAAGTATACCGACCTGTTCGCCACAGAAGAGGTGATGCTCCTCCCCTCCCCTCCTCCATCCATGCATCCAGCTCACACACACACAACCGCACAGAAACTCCCCTCACCCCAATTTTTGTTTCGTCTCAAAATTCTCCCCCACGGATGCATCGCATGTTTTTTTTTTTTCTTCTTCTTCTGAAAATTTCTTTCCCCACTTCCCACCATCAGATTGACTTGCAAACTCTTCATCGCATGTCGGAAAATGATTTGAAGGAGATCGGCATCCCCATGGTGAGAGCATAGACACTCACATGCATGTTCATGGTGAGAGAGAGCATAGACACTCACATGCATGTTCATGGTGAGAGAGAGCATAGACACTCACATGCATGTTCATGGTGAGAGAGAGCATAGACACTCACATGCATGTTCATGGTGAGAGCATGGACACTCACATGCATGTTCATGGTGAGAGAGAGCATAGACACTCACATGCATGTTCATGGTGAGAGCATGGACACTCACATGCATGGCCATGGTGTGAGAGCACAGGCACTGTCATGCATGCCCATGGTGAGGGCCATGGTCAAAGCATGGTAGACATCCATGCCGGTACATATGCACACCCTGGTGGGAGCGTGGTACATATGCATGTGCATGTAGGGGAAATGGAGGTGAGGTGCTTTGGTGGTTTCGTTTTAGTGTTTCCCTTTCCCAATGGCCACGATGATGCTTCATTCGATGTGTGTGTTTTTTTTTTTCTTTTTTTCTTATACTTGAACACTTCCATTTGTGCGCTTATATCCTGTTTGCGCCCTCATGTTTGTTAGTTAGCGCACCCCTTTTAGTGCTTCCAAGTTCCTCTGGAGACGCATTCGATAAAACCCCGATTTCACAAGCGTATGTGTCCAAATATTTCCTCATGCCACCCTGTATGCTTGCAGGGCCCTCGTAAGAAAATCGTCCAAGCAAATGCGGCTGCTTAGGAACGAAATTGGGAATGAGGCTAACTTGTTCAGCAATATGCAAAATTCTATATTCTGTAAGTTAGGGCATCATTTGAGAGTCCGTACACCAACTGTTTTAATGTTTGCGTTGTGTTGCGTTATTGAAATATCACGATGAGCTGGAACCACTTGAGAGTGGGAACGCTTGGCACTACTTGTATGATGTGCCTTCGAACGGAATCTATATTGCAACTGACGGATCTGGAAGGATGCTTCTTGCCACACAGAGCATGACAGAACAGAAACGGAATTTGGTGGGCCATAGAGCAGAGCGAAGCGAAACAGTAACACGAGAAAAGCAGATTGCACACAAGCGAAGCAGATTGGACACAAGAAACTCAGGGTGCATTACACGTAGGAGGAGGAGTAAGAAAGGGCGTTTCGAAGTTAGGACGTTTTCCACATCTCGGACTTGATATCCACCCACGCCGCTTTCTTAGCCAAACTAAAATATCGAGGAGGTCTGAGGTCCCAAACACACCCCTCATTTAGATGTTTGACCGAGATTGATCAACCGAACAAGACTGTCAATGACGAACAAACCCACGATAAAAACCTCTTCAGGAAAAAACACACGAAACTGGTGACTCAATCACATCACAACATTGCTCGTGGCAGAACTGCCCACCGCAGGGACTGTATACTGCCCGCATTAAATTAGGACCAACGGACCACGCATTCACGCTCAAAACTTCAACCTCAGTCCCGTGTGGGTCTTCGTGTCCTGACGCCTGCATTCCGTGCCGTGGTCCTTTTCCTCAGCAGTTCCTCCCCGCCTTCCGTCTCCCCGACTCCATTCCCGAATCCCGTCCCGTTCCTACTTTCAGATGAAGACGACAGCGCGTCCCTCAAACATTCAAGGACAACTACAGTACAAGCGGGACACGGGCAATATTTTATGCAGCAAGTTAGGGCAGGTGTAGCAAGGTATTCATTCCTGTACTGTACATAGGAATGCTTCATGCCATAGCTCTCACCGTAGCACTCGTCGAGAGCCACCACCACAGGTCACCTTCGTCACTCCCTCCCACCCAACCCAACAAACTCTTTCTGGTCCCCTGCGGCCAAAAGTCTCCACTCTAGAGACTAGAATTCCTCTGATTAGGTGGGACTAAAACGGCCACTAGCCGATTTTTCAATGCTTGAACAGAGTTGCTCGGAGAGCTGCTTCGCTGGCAGTAACTCATGATGATTGTGCGAGGGGCATTGATGGTGGCCGCTAAGAACATCGCAGCGCGCGATAGGACGCGTAATTTTAGCAGCCAGCCTGGCTGAAGGACAGTGGTCCTCACTTCTGCCTTCTATCCGCGCGTCCAATCTCTGGAACCATGGCCAGTGGTCGTATCTCATCATAATCTCGGCTGCTGGAGTCGCGACAGGATGGCTGGACGGTTTTCTCTCTGAGTCGTCGGCGCACCACCACGCTCTCTTAGCTCGCCTCAATCAACCGATGCCACTCATGACAGCAGTACCGAGGAGCGGGCTTGCGGGAGGGATGGATGGGATGGATGGCTGAGGACGCGGTGAAAGTGGAGAATCGATCGCCAAAGGATCGTTTTTTAGCGCGGTTATAAAAGGTTGTGTACTTTTCGTATCCAAAATGCGGGTTTCAGTGCGGTGACCGAATCGATCTACCCCCGATCTAGCACTTTCACCGCGTCCTGAGAGACGGGATGGAAGAAAATATGAGAAATCTGCCAGGAACCAGGAACGTTCATTGCATTGCAAAGCTTTCTTCGCGCCCTCTTGGGAAAGCGTCTGATTTCTATTTCGCCTGCCGCGTGTGACCCGCAATCATTCGCAGCGCACATACTATTGAACCCCAATGTGGTCCTGGTTCCAGCAATACTACTATTTTCTGAAATTTCTGGGTTCCTCTGATAGTAGTAGTGGTTTCCTCGGTCACGTCTGTGATTCCAATTACGTTTGAGCCTTTTAGCCATCATAATGTGTCAGCACTCCGCTCTCCGACATGTCGTCACGTCGCAGCCTTTCGCCGCGCTGACGTGGACGACACCGCCGCCGGCGCCTGCGGCGGGGATCGACGGGGTCGTGACTGCGCCGTTTGATCTTAATCGAGGGGATTCCATATATGATGGTTGTGACGCGGCAGCGTCGAAGGATCGCTTCTCCGCGCCTTTTTGGCCATCGCAAGAATGTGGTACAACAACTGGCTGTTGCGATTCGACGCCGCCGCCGCACGCCGTACGACCTTCGCCGTCGCCGCCGCTGACCGGCTTCGTAGCAGCCCCGCGGACGCCGCCGTCGCCACCGCCGCCGCCGCCGTCGTGGCCGTCGCCGTATCCTTACGGCGCCGCCGGCGCCTGCGCGGCTGCTCAAATGTCGAAAGACTTCTCACCTCGAAACCCTAACGCCATGATTCCATCCACATGCTGCATTAGCAGCCGCACTCCCTACAGTGCTACGGCGGCTGATAGTAGTACTAAGGCCGCTGGCGGAAGCGGTCGGGTGGCTGCTCTCAACAGGCAGAATCTGAGTAAGTCAGGCGGCCATTCGATTCTTGGTAAGCGACACGGTGGACCGGAATTTGCTCGCTCCTCGGACCGAGTGCCGTTTTTTGCGGGCATTTCCGAGCTGCACGCGCGACAGGAGGAAAAATCAAGCTACCCGGAACAGACGATCCCTTTTGCACGCCGCCGTCAACCTAAGGCCGCTGTCGCCGCCGCTGGTGCCGCTGCTGTCGTCGCTGTTGCGAAATCACCGTCTCCCGTCGGTGGTGGCTTTACTGCTACGTCCATGTCAGCGGAAAACGCTCTCCAACCACATGGCGGCGGCGCTCTCATGCACCTAGGAAGAAACACTACTGAGGAGCAAGTCACCTGCGGCCTGGTCCTAGAGACGCGGTACTGCCAACGCATGGTGGAGGTTGCTAGGGAGACCGATCTGGAACCTCGGGCAATCGCGGCGATGCATGCGGCAGGTCACCTAGCGGCGCAGCGATTCTCGCAGCTCTTCGCGGAGCAACAATCGGCGAGGGATGAGGAGAAGCGGCTGCTTCTCCGCTCCTGCGGTGATGATCGCAGGGTCAGCAGCAGGTGGGCTGATGAGGCTCAGCAGCTACTGCTGTGGCGTCACAACAGTCTGCGGGCCTTGGCGGCGAGTCAAGATGGGAAAGGCATGCTCGCAGTACCGCCTCCATGCAAGCTGGAACGCCGTGGGAAGGGAGACTTGGTGGGGTCAACCCTCGGTAAGGCATCGTTGCTGGACGGGCATCGGCACGTGGAGGACGGCGAGTGGCGTCGTGTGCACGGCGACGGGCCTCGCAGGGGAACAGACTCCAGGTGCGCAAGTTGGCTGGAGGCTGGTGGGCAGGAGATCACGTTCGGAGGTGCAGCGCAGGAGGAGAATGGCAGAGAGAAGCAGATGCCATTGGAGAAAGTGCTTCTGCACTCGTGCTTCCAGTCGGAGCAGCAACGGGTGGCGAAGCAACAACGGGAGGCGGAGCAGCAACGGGAGGCGGAGCAACGGGAGGCAGAGCATCGGAATGGTACGAGAAGAAAGAGGCTGCGTGGAGAGGAGGAGAAGCTGTCGGCGCTGCTGCTGGCGTCCCACCAGGCAGTCATGCAGCAGCAGAGGGAACAGCTCGAATTGCAGCGGAGGCAGAAGCTGGTGCTGGAGCAAAGCCGAGAGTTGGCATGCTCGCTTGCCTCTCAACGAGAGCCGTGCGCTGTTGCGGCTCAGATAGTAGCTGAGGGTTTTACTTGTGCAGCAGGAAATGAACCTGCTTTTTTTGGTCCAGGGAAGGACTTTGGAGCTTATGTTAATGCCGCTTCCTATAGCGGCACGACCACGGGTAGCTTTGGGAGGATGAGCCCTCCTTCCCGTCCTCTATTGGATCTTAACCTTAGCCTCTCGCTGTCGTCCCTGAGCAGTGAAGAGATACCAGACTCAACTGCTTGTTGACGATGCTTCATACATGGAAATAGTGTTTTGGTTATGCTTAAGTCTAGCCAGATAGTGATGTAGGAATTTTATGTTCACGTCAAAGCTGGAATGGGATTGGTTGGTAATGTAATCTGACTCTATTTGACTTCGTGCATGCACTGGTTTGAAGGCTTTGAAGTTGAGACATGTTATAGCAACATCTTATGGTGGAGCACATGCGCTAACGGTACTCAAATTTGGGCGAGCGCGCGAAGTCTTATGCGACAATTGACAGCGGCGCACTCCCAAATGCATCAATCCGAATCTGTCTTCATTTGTCGTTGAAAGTGACGGCCAGCAGTGCCTCCGTCGGCAGAATTTCATCGTCCAGCCAATTGAATTGCGCCCGATTGTTGTGGCACGACACCGACACCAGCGCGAACCAAGGCCGACGGAAAGAACCTGCCGACGACCTCAAAACAGTCGTGCACCAATCAGCGCAGTCAAACAACCATCACCTCCCCTCGCCTTGGTTACCGCCTCCTCCAAACAGAAGCTGTGCGACCGTTCGCATCGCACCCCCTGCTCACGTGCATTTCTCCCATCCAATATTTGCTGCCAGCCAGCCACCCCTCTCTTGCGACAGACAATTCATGCTTCATTTGTCGCATACTCCTCCCCAAGCTATGTTTTGGCAGTCGCAACCAGCACAAATGTGTGGAGAAACTCTCGAGGTTTCGCCTGAGCTTCGCTTCGTCCGTCAGTTTCAGCTCCAAAATTATAGCCGTTGAGCTCAGCACCAAGGACAATCTCGAGGAGCTATTTTCTGGAAAGCTCCATTAGGAGCCTTGTGTTTGTTCGACTAATCGAGTCGATCTCCCCTCCTGCCCAGCATAGCTCGCGAACGAGGCCCAGCTTGGGTGCCGGCGAGCATTCCAAGCGCTCTCCGTCGAGCCGCCGAGTTCCTGCCCAATCAGGAGTAAGCGTTCCTTATTAACTTTTTTTATTTATTTTGCGCGTGCTTGTCGTAGTTTCCTATCCGTCACCAAGTTGAAAGATGAGCGAGTTACGACTACGAAAGAGTTATCTGCTCGGAGAAAGTTCACCTCCAATACCCATTCATGCTCTATATGTTGTAAACGCACTTAATCGCCCTTCAAATTTATCGTGTCGTCCCCTTTCCCGCTCCCCGCCGTCCTCCGCTTCACTCCCCCCCCCCCTCCCCCCCCACCTTCCTCCGCTCTCTTCCTTTCTCTTCTTCCTTCCGCCGTCGCGCCGTTGAACCTCTTCCGACTGTCAGCTCGACCGCAGCAAAGAAAATGGCGTCCGCTCCCCCTCCGCCTACCGGCGGCGGCGGCGGCGGCGCTGGCGATCGCGGCGTGCAGCCGATGAGCCTGAAGGAGGTTCAGGAGCGCATCGACCAGCTCTACGGGGACCGCAGCGCGAAGAACCTTCGCGAAGGCATCCGAAAAGGCTTTATTTCGGTCGGGAAGGGAGTCTTCGCCGGTGTCGGTGCTCTCGTCGCGGCGCCGATCGCGGGCGCTGCGCAAGAGGGCGGCATCGGATTGGTTAAAGGGACCGTGGCGGGGGTGGCTAGTCTCGTCGTGCTGCCTACTATTGGGGTAGTGCAAGGTGCGCAGCAGCTAGGCCAGGGGATTAAGAACATTCCCGACGCGGTTCGGGAGATGATGAAGAAGGACAAGTGCGAGGAGGAGGCGGAAAAAGGGGAGATTCTAGAAGATTCAGACGCGGATAAGCTTAACGAACAGACGTACTCGCACACGCGCGAAACCGTCGAGAAGATCGCGCTCGAAGCGGAAACAGAGGCGACTGCCACGTCAGCGGCGAAGGCTGCTGCCGACGAAGCAGCCGCCACATCTGCCGCGGAAGCGGCGGAAGCGACGGCCGCGGCGGAGAAGGGGGAGAAGCGGGAGGTTAAGGACGAGGCGCTTTACCTGGTTCTAGAGGTCGCGACGGACGCGTCATCCGTGGAGATTAAGAAGGCTTACTACAAGGTACGTGCTGCTGGGGGAAGGGGGAGGGAGAGTGGGGGAAGGAGGAGTTGGAGGGGGAAGGAGGGGGGGGGAGAAGAGGAGGGGGAAGGAAAGGGGGGAGGAAGGGGAAAAGAGGAGGGGGGAGGAAAGGGGGGGAGAAGAGGAGGGGGGCGGTACTCAATGTTACGAGAACCTCTATTGCAACATCCAACCCCTTGTTCGCCCCTATTGTCTCTCACACTTCTATCCCGCCCCCAGCTAGCCCGTACATGCCATCCTGATAAGAACCCCGGCGACGAGAGCGCCAAGGCCAAGTTCCAAGCTGTCGGCGAAGCGTACCAAGTGCTCATGGACCCCGCCAAGCGCGAGCAGTACGACCGCTTCGGCCGCGCCGCGCTCGAAGACACCTTCATGGACCCCGGCTCCTTCTTCACCATGGCGTTCGGTGCAGAGCGGTTCAAACCGCTTGTGGGGGAGTTGACAGTGGCGTACACAGCGGCGGGCAATCTGACGGTGGAGGAGGTGAAGCGGTGGCAGGCGCGGAGAGAGAGGGAGCTCGCGGACGGGCTGCTGAAGCGGCTGGGGCTGTGGCTGGCGGGGGATGAGGAGGGGTTTGTGAGGGTTGCCGTGAAGCTGGTGGATGAGTTGAAGGGCGAAGCCTTTGGGGTCGCCTTTCTGCACTGTATCGGGTACGTGGTGGTTCTGGACTGTGTCAGGTATGTGGTGTTTTTGGGACTAGGGAATCTGACGGTGGAGGAGGTGAAGCGGTGGCAGGCGCGGAGAGAGAGGGAGCTCGCGGACGGGCTGCTGAAGCGGCTGGGGCTGTGGCTGGGAGGGGATGAGGAGGGGTTTGCGCGCGAGGCTGTGAAGCAGGTGGACGAGCTCAAGGGGGAGGCGTTCGGGGTTGCCTTCTTGCACTGTATCGGGTATGTGAAGTGGGGCTGTATTGGTTAGGTGGTTTTTTAGTCGACGGGAGGGGGTTGTAAGGGAGGCTGTGAAGCAGGTAAATGAGCTCAAGGGCGAGGCGTTCGGTGTCGCCTTCCTGCACTGTATCGGGTATGTGGTGTACTGGGACTGTATCACTCTCCCAGCCACTCATCCCGCCTTGCCAACCTCCGATCCACCCTTCTCCACCTCCTTAACAACTCCCCCACCACCTCATCGTCTACATGTACTATTCACGGGCTCTTCTCCCCGCCCCGCATCAGCTACACGTACTACTCACGGGCGCAGGTGCTGCTAGGCCTCAGAGAGATGCCCAACGTCCTCTCCCAATGCCCAGAGCGGGCCTCGTGAACGCACCTCTGCCTTCCCTCTTAGCATACCCGTCCTTTCCCTGCTCTCAATCCCCTCCTCCCCCACCGCTACCCTTCCGCTTCCATCACACATACAATTCACGGGCGCAGGTGCTTCTAGGCCTCACAGAGATGCCCAACGTCCTCTCCCAATGCCCAGAGCGGGCCTCGTGAACGCACCTCTCTCTGCCTTCCTTATTAACGCACCGCTCTTCCTTTCCCTGCTCCCTATCCCCCCTCTTTCCCACCATCAGCTACACGTACTACTCGCGGGCGCAGGTGCTGCTAGGCCTCACAGAGCTGCTCGGCATTCCGGGCTTCGTGAATGCTGTGAAAGAATCCGGACACACCATGAAGACCCGGTACAATGCTGTGGATGCGGCGCTTAAGTAAGTGCTTTACAGGGAGGCTAGATGTATATCAACTAAGTGACTGGGCACACCATAAAGACTCGGTACAATGCTGTGGATGCAGCCCTTAAGTGAGTCTCTTACTTGGAACACTTAACTTACTCTGTTTACGCATTGTAGTGTAGGAGTCAGGTCACACCATGAAGTCTTGGTGCAACGTTATCGACGCAGCACTCATGTGAAGGGTTGCGGGAAACTGTTTCCCCGGAACCCTTCTCTGAGGTGAAGGTGACTGCAGACCCTCGGAAGCCGTATGCTATTCTGCCCCTAGCAGGCACCATTCATGTTCTTACCCCTGTGCTCTTCTGCCGACTCTCCTGCCCCTCTCGCTCAAACCACAGGCTATCAGAGATGAAGGTAAACATGGACCCTCAGAAACCAGGCAACGAGCACCTTTCATGGTCCTTCCCTGTCCTTCTCCTCCTGCCCTTCTCTTCCTACCCCTCTCCTCCTGCCCCCCCCACTCACACCACAGGCTATCGGAGATGAAGGTCAACATGGACCCTCAGAAGCCCGCTAGCCAGCGAGCAGCTCCATTCATGGTTCTTCCCCGCGTACTCTTCTTCCCCCAATCCTCCTGCCCCCCCCTCACCTCCCCCCCACTCACCCCACAGGCTATCGGAGATGAAGGTCAACATGGACCCTCAGAAGCCCGCCAGCGAGCAAGCAGCACCATTCATGGTTCTTCCCCGTGTACTCTTCTTCCCCCAATCCTTCTGCCTGCCGCCTCCCCCTCCCGCTCACACCACAGGCTATCAGAAATGAAGGTGAACATGGACCCTCACAAGCCGCCCAGCGAGCAGCCCAACATGCCCGAGTTCCTCAACTCCGTCTGGATGGTCAGTGCCCGCACCCCTTTGGTCAGTGTTTTTGTTTTTTTTTTGTGTGCGTGTGTGTGCTTATTTGGTCCCCTGCATTTGAGTCTCTGCTCTGTGAAAAAAAATCAAGTAGAAATTGTCTTAAATATTTGTTTTCTAAAAAGGTAGTTACAGTACGAAGTGCAATCCTCTTCTTCCCACTCCATCCCTCTTTCTACCTTGCAGATAAGCGTGCTGGACATAGAGAGTACACTGCGGCACGTGGTGGAGCTTGTAGTGAAAGACAAGACAGCTTCTAAGGAGGACAGAAAGAAGCGGGCCAGCGGCATCATGAGACTGGGGAAGATTTTCCAAGAGGTGTGAGAGAAAGGGGTTGTGAGTGGAGATTTTTCAGAGGGATTTATTCACGGTGGTACACCACCAGTCCACCGCATCAATAAGTGGCCCCAGGCAACATGGATAGGCAGGCCGCAGGAGGTGCTTTCTAGGTAGGTTCCTTCCAGGAACCATCCTACGAGTCTCAAGGCACTAGACGAGGAGCAAGCGGTCCCGAGTGCCAAAAAATCAGAGAAGGGAAGGGGAGTGGGGGTTTAGTGCATGGGCGCATGCAGAGCAGCACTGGGATACTATTGCTGAGGGAGGCTCGGTTCCTAAGAAAATGGCATGGTGTTGTGCAGCGTCGGTTTAGTATCTGGATGGGGCTTGGCCACCTGCGTGGCATGCCTCCAATTCTTACCAGGTCTTAGCTTAGGTGTGTTTAGGAAGGGTGAGGATGTTGAATCACTCGAGTACACTTGGCTTTACCGTGTAATATACACAATGGCAAGTGCCATAACATTCCCCGTTGAGGAGCATCATATTTCCCCACAATGGCAAGTCCCGGTACCAACCGTCGTGACTATCTGTGTCCACAAAACTTTCTGAGACTATTCTCGATCAGTTTCAACCATTCTTGACCAATCCTGACTGCTCTTGACCGCTCTTGATCACTACTGAAGGCGAATTCCTAGCTTCGGGGCATCCGGGGTTCGGGGCATCCCAAAATTAATTTTCCAAGCCGCGGGTTTTCCGCCTGATCACTCTTGACCAGGGAAGCTGAGGTGTACCCATTGAGTTCTCCGTCAGTAAGGCTCCTCTTCAGTGCGCCTCCTCGTCTTCCCCCGGGCACATGCTTGCAAGGGCCTCATCACTCTCATACTGCCCACAGCAGCAGAGGTGTGGGTGGGTGGGAGGAGGGGTGCGAAGGGGGGAGGAGGGGGAAAGAGGAGGGAGAAGAGGGGAGGAGTGGGGAACAGGGGAAATTGCGAGTATTTTGCAAGCCAGTACAGTATTTTCAATTCAATACAGTAACATGCCAGCAAGATGTTCCAATAACTCATACTGCATGGGGGGGGACAAGGGGGAAGAAATAGGGAAAAGGGAAACTGGTGGTTGTGGTGGGGGTCGGGAGGAGGGGAAGGAGGGTGGGAAAAGGGGTGCCATTCTGAATTGATTTGACTTTTGAGTCACATCAAAATGGGGACAGGGAAAGCGGGAGAGGAGGGGTCAGGGAAAGCGGGAGTGGTTGGATGTGAAGGCGTGCTGTGACTACATTTGGACCTTCACCTGGCAGCAACAGAGCACCCACCTGCCACCAACAGAGCACCCACCTGGCAGCAACAGAGCACCCACCTGCCACCAACAGAGCACCCACCTGGCAGCCACAGTGTATGCAGTACAAATGCCTCTGTCGCAGGTGATGCGGTGACTTTTGAGTCGACTCAAAGGTCATCTCTTAATAGAGCACCCACCTGGCAGCCACAGTGTATGCAGTAGAAGTGCTTCTGTCGCAGGCGATGCAGTGCGAGCAGCAGAAGCTGTGACGGATGGCAGGGGGGGAGGGGAGCAGGAGATGGCAGGGGGGGAGGGGAGCAGGAGATGGCAGGGAGGGAGGGGAGCAGGAGATGGCAGGGAGGAAGGGGAGCAGGAGATGGCAGGGAGGGAGGGGAGCAGGAGATGGCAGGGAGGGAGGGGAGCAGGAGATGGCAGGGCGGAGGGCGAAAGAAGGTAAGGATGTGGGAGAAGTCACATCACAGTGTGCGCAGTAGAAATGCTTGTGCCGCAGCTGATGCAGTGCGATCAGGAGAAGCTGTGAGGGGCGGCAGGGAGGATGGAGGACAATACACAGCTGAACTGTTAAATTTCAAGCGCAGCTGCAAAATCAAAATCACAGTGTATGCTTTAGAAGTGCTTGTGCCGCAGCCGATGCAGTGCGAGCAGGAGAAGCTGCGAGCGACGGCAGAGAGGGAGGGGAGCAGGATATTGGCCGCTGACGTGGCGCAGGCTTGGCCGGCTTCTTCTGCCGCTGCTGCTGCCGATCGCGAAGGTTCGACGCATCTTCTGGCGGCAAGAAGGCCGAGAGATCGCCCATGTAATCGTTCCCGTCATCGTCGCCGCCAGGCGCGGCTGCCGCCATGGATCTACGTACGCGATAAAGAGCGGATCTTACTAAGAAGCAAAATCGTATACCACTTTTAAATCGAGCGATAGTCGCCCGGTTCTTGCGTCCTCGATCAGAACGACGCAATTCTGATTTGATATCTTTCTGTTTGGCTTCTCAACAAAGCCGATATTCTGTTATTAATTCTCAGTTTGCATAGTCGGGGATGTGCGGCTGGATGGAAGAAGCGAATGACTGCGGCACACTGAACCGAAGTGCATGCGAGTGGCTCAAACATTGCTTTCAAAGTGGAGTAGTCTGCTCTGATGGGCCCCAACAACTGCGTACAGCCTTGAGCAAAATAGACCCAGAAAACACTTCAAAACATAACCCGCGGCTACTAGGATTCTTTGGTTGACCTTCGTGTCCGTCCTTCGGGACATCCGTTAAAATTGGAACGATACAGAGAAGATTAGCATGGCCCCTGCGCAAGGATGACACGCACAAATCGAGAAATGGTCCAAATTTTTTTGGCGACCTGACGGAGCACGTCGACCAATTACAACACACCTTCCGCTATTTCATGCGTGTGCCATGTTTGCCAAAAAGGACTCCTCCTGCAAGCCTTTCTTGAGCACACACCTGGTTCTCCTCGCGTACGCAACAGCCCTCCCACCTAGTTCCCAGCCTTGCTTCGGCCACATTCACACGCGACTCCTCTATGTCCGATGCGCTAGTTCCCAGTGCTTTATTCAGCCGCTCTGTCACTTGCTTCTCAAGGAGCAGTAGGCTGATCGGCTGTAACGTACAATCATCCCGCTGTTTCACCCGCACACCTTTCATCCGACGCTCATCTATTCCATCCCCTGGTCGACGCGGCTCGAAACCTCCCCTTCCCGCTGCTCGCCGGCCATTTTCAAATCCCACCACCGTCGCCATGTATCAAAATCCGAATCAATCCGCGAATCCGAATTCACCCAACTCATTTCGACAAAATCAGGATCTTCCAGAGTTCCCCAACCCGTTCGACAATGCCGGCGATTTCGAGCTCGGCTTTCCCGTGCGAAGCCTTAAAGAACTGCTTCTGTGCCGCGTCATGGGTCAAATTCGGGAGAAGCCGGACTGGATGCGGAAGGTGATGGACGACGAAATCGTCAAGAAATGGAAGGCGGAGTTGACGGAGCCGGCAGCTGACGTCCATCCTGACGGTTTTATTGACGCCAGTAAGGAGTTCTGGAGTGCGGAGGATGCTTCTAGCGTGCTTTCGTTCCTGAGGGAGACCACAACGCGGCCTGTCAAGGTGATCCGCGCCCGACGTGAGTGTCAAGGTGTCAAAACAAAAAGTTCAAGAAATAGGGAAAAAAAAAAAAAAACGTTTTTCTTCATTCTTTATTTGTATTTCCCTTTTCTGTGAAAGTAAGGATATGAGGTGTCCAGCCGAAGAATGTTCGCTCGCTGCTCCTTTTGTGTCCACCTGACCCCATCCCCTCCACGCTTTTTCACTCCCCCTTTCCGCCTCTCTGCCTCCCCAACCTTGTGCTTTCCTCTTGACCTTCTCTCTCCCGCCCCTCACTCTTCTCACAACACTCCCTCATTCTGTCTCTCCCGTCCCCCTCACAGATCGACCCTGCTCTCTTCTCCTACGTCATCGCTGAGCTCCGCTGTCTCGTGAGGCGCCTCAGAAGTCGTCTCCCTCACCACTCCCCTTATCTCCCTCCCTCTCTCTGTCTCTCCCCCCCCCTCTCCCAGATCGACCCTGCTCTCTTCGTCTACACAATCTCTGAGCTACGCTGGCTCGCATCCTCCCTCTCCTCTTCCTCTCCTCCCTCCCCCACTCCCTCCTCCACTCCCTCATCCTCACTCGCCTCTCTTTCCATCCACGGCAATCCCAAGGTCCTCCCCTCCGCAGTAGAGGGCGTGTTCATCTCCCCAGACCCCCCACTCGACCCCTCACTCAAGCAACTCTTTCTAGACGGAATCACCAAACTCGAATCAGTTCCCGAGGATCAAATCGACTACCACCCGGGATCAAATCAGCAAGTAATAGATCTCATTCACCCCAGCCTGCATTGCCTGGTCTTCGGCCGCAGTAGAGTCATCCAGGATCCGCCAAACGACCTGCAGATTCTGCCCTGGGATGAGCTGGTTAGCAGCTTGGGAGAGGTGGCTCGGCCTATGCCGCCCGGCCAGCCGACCCGGCCAGTGTGTTACCCGACCGGGAACCATTCGTACCTCTCGGAAAAGTTTCAGTGGCTGCCCGCGGAGGTGGATGTTGCTGCGGATGGTCAGAGTGCGAAGTTTCGGTCGTATATTAATAATTTGCATCCGCATGAGTTTGCGGGGATGTATCGGGGCTTGGAGCATATTTTTGCCACTGCGTTTGTGCCGTTGTTTAACAAAGTGCTGACAGAAGCAGTCCAGCAGCGACGAGAGCGATTCGACTACGATATTTACGGGTAAGTTCGTTTGTTTGCTGTTGAACAATGTTACGTGTATGCTGCCGTTGTGGTGTATTGTTTTTGGATTGTCAAAACTGTTTTTTTTAAGTGTCAATATGTTTAACTCCAATGCACTGTACGTCTACACCTATTCCCTTGCCACCTACCAGGTGGTACGACGAGTGGAAGGGCGAGAGGGAATATGACAAGGAGGACGATGCCGACTATCACCAGTGGCTGGTGGACCGAAAGCCCGAGCAGTGCTCCAAGTCTCCCTGTTTCCATTGCGCCTTGATACGATACCTTCTGCCTCCTGTTCTCCCTCCCACCCTCCAGGTGGTACAAACGAGTGGAAGGGGGAGAGGGAATACAACAGGGAGGACGATGACGACTACCACCAGTGGCTGGTGGACCGGCAGTGCAAGCCGTGCCCTCCAAGGCTTCCTGTTCCCACTGTGCCTCTATGCGATCCCTTCTGCTTCCCACCTGCCAGGTGGTACGACGAGTGGAAGGGCGAGAGGGAATACGACAGGGAGGACGATGACGACTATCACCAGTGGCTGGTGGACCGGCAGTGCAAGCCGTGCCCTCCAAGGCTTCCTGTTCCCACTGTGCCTCTGTCCATTACCGTCTGTTTCCCTCTCCTATACCAGGTGGTACGATGAGTGGAAGGGCGAGAGGGAATACGACAAGGACGACGATGACGACTACCACCAGTGGCTGGTGGACCGGCAGCCCAAGCAGCCAGACACCCCTGCAGAGTTCTCCCCCCCACAGCCTCCCTCCCCCGGGCACGTGGTGGATCTGAAAGGGCGGCGACTGCAGGTGGTGGTGAAGGTGGCGAGCATTCAGCTGATCCCTGACAGCCCGAAGTATCCTGGGGGTACTTGGCATGTGGAGGGCATGCGGAATGAGCATATTGTGGTGAGCTCTTGCGGTTGTGAGGGATGGGAAGGAGTGGGCGCAGGTGGTGGTGTAGGTGGCGAGCATGCAACTCACCCCTGAGAGCCCAAGATAACCTGGGGGTACTTGGCATGTGGAGGGCATGCGGAATGAGCATATTGTGGTGAGTGAAGTGATAGAGGGTGTGAGGGATGGGAAGGAGTGAGCTGTGGTGGAGGTGAGGGAGCGACGAGTGCAGGTGGTGGTGAAGGTGGCGAGCATTCGACTTACCCCTGAAAGCCCGAGATAACCTGGGGGTACTTGGCATGTGGAGGGCATGAGGAATGAGCATATTGTGGTGAGTGGATACGAGGCGGTAAGTGAGGGGAAGGGAGGGGGTTGGATGGGAGGAGAGGGGAGGGGAGGGGAGGGGAGGGGAGGGGAGGGATGTGTATAGATGTACCAATAGGAATATATTGGACCGATTTCCACCGATATTGTTTTTCCCCCATATCCCTCTCTCAGACCACACCCTCCCTTCCCTCCCCTTTTTCCCCTTCCGCTAGTCTCCGTTCCCCCACCCTATCCCGTTTTCCCTCCCCATTCCCCTTCCCCCAGGCCACGTGCATATACTACTTTGACTCTCACAACGTCACGGAGTCGCACTCTCAGTTCAGGTTCACTTTTTTCGAACCAGACTACGATCAGAACGACAACAAAGGCATGCCATAGCACCTCTATATCCTCCCCTCCACTCCAATTTGTCTCCCTCCCCTTCTCCTTTCCCCCTTCCCCTCCCCATTTCCCCCCTCCCATCCCGTTATCCCTCCTCGTTTCCCCCTCCCTATCCCGTTCTCCCTCCCGTTTTCCCTTCCCCCAGGCCACGGGCATCTATTCATTTGACTCTCACAGCATCACCAAGTCGCGCCTTCAGTTTAGAATCACCGTTCCCAAACCAGACTACGATCAGAACGACAACAAAGCATGCCATAACACCTCTATATCCTCCACTCCACTCCACTGCCCCTTTTCCCCCTCCCCGTCCCGTTTTCCCCTTCCCCTCCCCATTTCCCCCAATCTCCCACCCCTCTTTCCCCCTCCCCATTTCCCCCGTCCCTATCCTTTTTCCCTCCCTATTTTCCCTTTTCCCAGGCCACAGGCATCTACTATTTCGACTCTCACAACATCACCGAGTCGCGCCTCCAATTCAGGATCACCGTTGCCGAACCAGACTATGATCAGAACGATAACAAAGGGGTGGCTCGGATATACGGCCTGGTGGACGACGGACCTCTCACCCAACCTCTAGGCTCGGTCCGAACCGACATCCCGAACCTCTGCCTCGCCTTCCCAAACCACTTCCACCACCGGGTTGCGCCGTTCGAGCTACAGGACAATACCCGTGCCGGCCACCGGAAGATTCTCGTCTTTTTCCTGGTGGATCCGCGGGTGGCAATCGTATCCACTGCACGCGTGCCACCTCAGCAGCTGAGCTGGCAGAGGAGGGAGCTGGAGAGAAAAGGCCACCCGTGCTCGGTCCTGCCTGGGTTAGCTCTAGATTTGATTGCAGAGGGAGTGAGTGGGGGAGAGGATGGGGAAGAGGGTAAGGGAGAAAGTAGTGGTGTGGAGCGAGGTGGGGAGGAGGGTGGGGTTGATGAGGGAGAGGATGGAGGCGAGGGGCAGGGTGGGGGGAGAGAGAGCAGGGATGGCAGGGGTGCATCGATGACAATGGAAGAAGCAAAGAAGTACCGGGAGGCTCTGATGGAAGAGAGGAAGGCGCTGGTTCAGCTGGCCAATGAGGAGCTGTTTGAACGGCCCTTCTCGCTCTGCGAGCACTGATGGTGGAAAGTAAATACCATAAGACAGCTGTCGTATATGGTATAGTGAATCAGCTGTTAGGAGGACGCTGTTCAGCTGGGAATGATGAGCTCTTTGTGCAGCCTTTCTCCCTGTGTGAGCACTAATAGCAGGGGTGTGCTCTTCCCACGTGTCCCCTTGCTTCTGATGTCTTACTTTCCTTCCCCTCTGTATGTGCCCTTTTGTCCCTCCTCGCATGCCCCCCCTGCCCCCCTGTCTAACACCAGCATCAGGGCTCTATGAGAGAGTGATCTAGACCTTGAGCTACAGGGGGAGAAATTCTCATGATATCAGCAGCACACTACAGAATAGATATTTATGCTGCGCGTCTGTACAATACATCACATAGCACACACCCTTGCGTTCAAGAGCATTTCAACATAAGCCTATATTTACATGTATTTGCAGGTCTAACGTACTCCTACAATTTTATATCCTGTGAGAGGAATGAATGTGCTGTTAGATTTATTTATCTCAAACGAATGACCCTTCGAATCTCCACAGAATCTTTCTCAACCGATACTACCGAACAAAAGCGAACAAGTCCCAATACAAGTGGCACTAACCGTTCGGATTTCCTCGGGATCGTTCTCAACCGAGATGTTGGAACATAAGTTGCGAGGTCCCTAGAAACACCCTTGATAGTGTCGACTTGGGTTTGGTCGACCGACAAGACAGCCCTCTCCTCTTCTCCCTCAACTCCAATCCCGTGGCATTCACGGTACGGCATTCAGGGTGTGCGTCGGCATTCAGGGTGTGCGTACATAGTTTCGACACTCGAACACTCAAACTCGGACCAATCGCATTAGCTAGAATCTTCAGACTGAAGTCCGAGGGATCATTGTCCGGAATGTCTGTGCGAGAAAGGTCGGCGTTCTTGACGGCGGTGTTCTTCCTTGCAGCAATAATTGTGTCGTAAATAGCTGTCGCGTTTCGAGTCGCGACGTCGGCACGGGTCATGGGTGTTTCCGCGAAGGAATCCTATCGTCGGCGGCACGTGTGTAGTAATTTCAGCCCTTTTTACACACACGCGGCGCGCGGGTGTCGCAGCCATAGCCGTCGTATGCACTTTTCCTTTCTATATTTTTTCATACCAAGTCACCGACGTACCGCAGCCGCATTCCGAATCCAAATCGCTGTAGATACTCCGAATGCGACGAGTCGCGATTGCGGTCAGAGGAGCGAATTCCATCCGAGTCACTCGGATTCCCGTAACCCTTTGCGTCGGCAGGGGTCCGAATCGCCGATAGCTCTACACCGCATTGGCCATGGATAACGCCATCCCCATACATTCCCCGTCAAACCCATCCGCTCCTCTCTCCACTCGCTCTCCCATCAGAGTATATAACACAGCCTTGCCCCATCACGTCTCACAAGTCACCACCACTCGAACCAGTCTCCCCATTGCAACTTCCCCATTGTAACTCACCGCTCCCTTCTCCTAATAGTCGCGAGTCTGCTGCTCAACCCCAACAATCATGGCGATCATAGTACCACTGCCCTCGCCGCGGTCTCCGCTCCTCCTCGTCCAGCAGCGCTGCTGCTGCTCTCGTCCGCGCACGTCCCCCTCCGCGCGCGCGCGCAGCAATGCTCCGCCACAACTCTTTGCGCCGACAACCTCTGCTGCAGCGAGTGGGGCTGGTGCGGCTCCACCCCCGATTACTGCGGCTCTGGCTGCCAATCCCAGTGCTCCCCCTCCGCCTCCTCTCCCCCTCCGCCCTCAACCGACTCCCCTCCGCCCCCTACTGAGCTGAAGCGCATGGCGTATTTTGTCAACTGGGCGGGCATGGATCCATCCCTCATCCCTGCTGCCTCGCTCACACATGTGTTCTACGCCTTTGCTTCCATTGACGCCAGCACATACCAGGTACGGCACTACTCACAAGGTACGGGAGGCGTGTGAAGCTCATCCCTTCCCCCTTCCGCCCTCCAACGGAACCCTTTCCCCCATTCGGGCACCACATACAAGGTACCGTACTCTCTTGCCATTAACACTTCTCTGTGCCGTTTGGTGCAGCTATTTAGACATCCAGGGTTTCGGGTTTTACCTCCATATCCTGCCATCCTAGGCTCACCACACCGTATTTCCTGCCTCAAATCCGTGCTTAGGCCCACCATCACTCAGTATTCTCTCTCCCATTTCACGTGTCGTCCCCTCCAACCCAGCTGTGGACGTGACTCAGGGCCTCGATCTGCGTTTCAACTCCGCCCGCCCTGAAGGCCCTCAATCCGTATTCATTCGAAACCCTTCATGTCCTCTCCCCTTCGCACACAGGTCATCCCCTCCAACCCAGCAGTGGACGTGACTCAGGACCTCTATCTGCGTTTCAACTCCGCGCCAACCCCTGTTAACCCCTAACCCCTCACCTGCTCTATCTCCCCCCCCACACAGGTCGTCCCATCCAACCCAGCTGTCGACGTGACTGAAGGTCTCTATCTGCGCTTCAACTCCGCCCTGAAAGATACCAACCCCGCCATCAAGACCCTCCTCTCCATCGGGGGCTATTCCGCAGGCACAACCGCTTTCGTCAACGCCGCCTCCTCCCCCTCCTCTCGTTCCGCCTTCATCCAATCCGCGATCACCCTCGCCCGATCGTACAATTTTGACGGTCTGGATATCGACTGGGAGTTCCCAACGGGCAACGCCGCCCTCTTCTCCGCCCTGCTAACGGATTTCCGGGCGGCGATCGAATCCGAAGCCGCTTCGTCTGGGAAGCCCCAGCTCCTGCTCTCTGCAGCAGTTTCTGCCTACGAGCCGACAATTGCTGAATCCTACGACGTCCCGACACTCAACAGTGCGCTGGACTTTGTAAATGTTATGACGTACGATCTGCATGGTTCATGGGAGTTAATCACCGGCATGCACACGGCTCTGGAGGATCTGAGCAACCCCCAGCTGAGCCTCAAGGGTGCCATGGCTGCCTGGGTGTCCCGAGGCTTGGCCCCGAGCAAGGCCATGCTAGGCTTGGCGATGTACGGCCGAACCTGGACTCTAGCCTCGGCAAGCAGTACTGGGGTTGGAGCTGCGGCCACTGGGCCTGGTCAGCCTGGGTCTATCAGTCAGGTGAGCTCTTCCCTTTCCTGTTTCTTCTCCGCAGCCTGCTTCTCTCCCTCTCTCGCATGATCACAGCCTTTTGCGTCTTTTTTTTTTTTCACTTTCACTTTTTCCTTCGTCTTGCACTTCCAGAATGCAACTTATTCCCTTTTTCCTGAGTCTAAGCAATCAGCTTTAAGCAGGCTCTCATCACCCTCTTCCTTGGCCTGCATTTTCCCTCTCTATCCCACCAACAGGAAGCTGGTGTTCTCTTTTACAGGGAAATCGATGAGCTGGTAACAACTGGAGGTTACACAGCTACACTCGACGCCCCAACATCCTCTATGTATGCGGTAAATGGTGACCAGTGGGTTGGTTACGACGACCCTTCCACCATCACCACCAAGGTTCAATCTGCCAAGGCGCAAGGCTATGGAGGGTGGTTCTTCTGGGCACTGAGCCAGGATGCGAACGATGCTCTGCTCAATGCTGCAGCCGCAGCGTGAGATGAAGAACAAAAGGAGTATCTTACTGGGGATTTCGCTTGATGTCTTGTGTAGACAAGTTGATTGAGAGTTTTAGGTGGATGTGTGAATGGTTTTATCGAGTTGTGTGCTTGAATAGATGCAGTTGCAATGGTTGATGTTTATATAAACCAGGCTAGGCTACAAGCTAGTTATTTATTCGCAATGTATCCAATAAGAAAAATTGCAATACGATTGCTCCACGTATAATCAACCATTCTGTTTCCTACAGAATCGCTCTCAACCTCCATCACTGAGGAGAAATGCGTCTGTACATCATTTCGGCATTCCCTCGATATTCCCTTGGCTTCCTTCCTCGTCTTTCCCAAAGCACAACGGACTGAGGCACTTGCGCTGTGCGTAGCTTCATGAACCTCGACATGGATGAAGTCGGACCCACATGGCAAGCAGATGTAGCCGACTCTCTAGACTCCAGTCCGAGTAATAACCGTGCAGATGTCTGCTGAAGGAATACCAGTCCGAGTAGTAGCAGTGTAGACATCTGCTCGAGAAACACCAGTCCCGAGTAGTAGCTGTGTAGACGTCTCCTTGAGGAAGAGCGACGCACGAGGGGAAGCGCGTTGCCAGCCTTCCGCGCAACAATAATCGTTCGTTATGTAGCCGCCGCCTTCCCCGCGACGTCATCACCCCTCCCACATGCGCTACGGGCAGGTTTCGTCGTACCCGCAGCAGCTGAGCGTTTTCAGCCTTCCCCGCTTGCAATTATTGTTTGCTATGCAGCTGAGCTGAGCTGCGTCAGGCGCGCAGGTGCCCCAGGTGTAGAGAGGGTAATTTTGAGACGTCTCAAAAATACCCTCTCTACACGCAATTATTGTTTGCTAAGCAGCTGAGCTGCGTCAGGCGCGCAGGTGCCCCAGCTACTAGTAGAAGCTGCGGCGTCCCGCGCGCGCAGATGCCGTTGCTACTAGCTGCGTAGGTCGCGCAGGTGCCTGGTAACCGCGTTCAATATGAAGGCGCTTCTGAGACGTCGCAACACCCGCAGCAAGTAGTAGCGCCTGCGCGTCTGTCGCGCAGGTGCCGTAGTAGCAGCTGCCCTCGTGCATTTCTTTTTCACGCAGCGAGGTTCGGACCATGGCGAAGCTCCTTCCCCATGCTTACTACTCCCCGCGCGGGCCATCCCCCGCGGCGCGTTCCCAGGTCTCCCGTCGACCCCGCCAGTCCCCCGCCCCGTGGCAGTCCTGCGCATCGCTCTTCAGACCTATATATCGCAGCGGCCTCTCCATTCCAACTCATCCTCTCCTTTCGCTCCGTATCCGCTAGTAACTTCCCCATTACTCACCTCAGCGCGAATACTCACCTCAGCTTCAGCCGTGGGAGTCTTTTCCATTCCACACACGCAGCCTGAGTCGAACCCGCTCACTCTCTGGCAGCCATGGCGATCACACTACCCCTGCCGGCGTCGTCGCGTCCCCGGCTCTTCCTCCTCCGCGGAGGATTCGGAATCCTCCTGCTCGCGGCGCTGCTGCTGCTGCTCTCGTTCGCGCACCTTCCCCTGCGCGCGCGCGCGCAGAAGGCGTGCTCCGCCACGGTGCTTTGCGCCAACAAGCTCTGCTGCAGCGAGTGGGGCTATTGCGGCTCTACCCCCGATTACTGCAACGCTAAATGCCTCTCCCAGTGCTCCCCGCCGCCCTCAACCGGTCCCCCTCCGCCCACAAGCGGCTCCCCGACCCCCTCTACTGGGCTGAAGCGCATGGCGTATTTCGGCAGCTGGGGGAACAGGGCCGCCATCCCCGCTGCCAAGCTCACCCATGTCTTCTACGCCTTTGCTTCCATCAACCCCACCACTTACAAGGTAGGTAACGCACTGCGCCGCACTATCTTGCCATGCACACGTCTCCGCGCCATCAGCTGCAAGTGCTCTGACCTTCCTCTTCCATTCCCCCTGCCATCCCAGATTCATGCCGTATTTCTCGCCCTCCATCCATCCCGCGTTTCATTTCGCCCATTCCCTTCCCCGTGCAGCCTCAGCCCTTTCCCTACCCAACATTCCGTCCCTCCTCTCAAGCGGTCCGTGTATTAGATCCAAGCAAATACAGACATGCAAAGGATAGAGATGCTACTCATACAAATCATCTTCTAACCCACACATCCCACTCACCCCCCTCCCCCTCTGCTCCGTCTAAGGGAGCTCCAGCACCGGCTCTAAGATGGCCAGGCAGTCCCCAAGGGACATGCCCTCGCCTGGCATCTCCGCAGGTGGGTTCTCCACCTGTGCCGCGTAGTTGCATTTCTCCATAAAGCTCACCGACTGAGCACGCTGCAGCGCCACGGACCACCTCTGGCGGAACTGGTGCAGCAGCTTCGTAGCCTGGTAGGATGAGGGGGCCGCGTTGAAGAGCCTGCGGGCGGCGGTCTCGGCTAACAGCTTGAAGAATTGGGGCACTTCCTCGCAAGGGCAGCCGTAGGTGTCAACGGCGAGTGGGAAGAATCCGACCCACGAAGCCGTTGAGCCTTCGTAGACGGAGATCTTCTTCTCCGCCGCTTCACGGGCTGCCCACCCCCTGCCCTTGACTGCGTTGGGGTCACGGGTGCTGATGGGGTCCGTGATTGTCACGTCCCCAATCCAAACCGCCCCCGAGGACTTGTCCCTGATTGCTATGTCCGCCTTCTTCCTAGTGACGGGGCAGAATGCGGTTGTCTCTCCATGAGTCATGAAGTCCGCGTCGTTGGCCATCCGGAGGCACTCATCCCGCAGCTCATTATGGGTGTTGGTCCTCCCCTTCCCTGTGTCACAGCGCAGAAGGTGGTTGGGCAGCCGTCGGTCTGTGATTGCCGTGTTGTTGCGGCAGTCACAAGCCCCAGGTGCAGAGGAGGGAAGCCCCATTCGGAACTGTAGTGCGTGGGCGAAGTGATCTGGAGCCAGGCGCAGCGACTTGTTAAAGGGGACCGCGTTGAGCCAGTCCCCTGCCCCATACCCCGAGAGGGAGAGCATACGTTGCGTGTGCCCGCTAAGGGGGTTGAGCGGCATGTCGCGCGTGGTTTGGACCTGCTCGGCGTAGCGGCGTCCGTGGACCGCGATTGCCAGCCCGTGCTGCAGCTTGATGCCTTTGGGTTCGGCGCGGTCGCTCTGCAGCAGCTCCTTCTTGTCCTCCGGCAACATCTCCTCGCACCTCTCCAACCAGTCAAACAGCGGGGACGTGTTGAGGTAGGGTCCCGCCATCTGGATCCGTGTTTCTGCCAAGGCGCCGACCGCCGCCTCGTCAATGGAGGTGAGCAAATGCTGCGCCTGCGTGTAGCTCGCCAAGAACCCTACGCGACCCTCCTCCGACGGGTCCGTCAGACCCAAGCCTCCAAGTGAGATCGGGAGTGAGGCTTGGGCCCAGGTCCGTGCTATCTCAGCCTCCCCCCGTGGGTGTCGAATGCCGCAAGCCGTCAACAGTGTGTCAAACAATCCCTTGCCCCAGTCCGACCATTCCTCCACTGGCAAGGGAGAGAGCGGAGTGGTGCGCGCGACATAGGAGACTCGTTGCGAGATGCATCTGGTAAGCAGGAGAGACGCCAGCTGTGGCTCCATTCTCGCAATTAGGCGAAGTGGGGCTCCCATTGTGTTAAGGCTGTCGCGTAGGAACGCTGCAGTTGCGTCGTTTCCGCCGACGAAGCTGCCCAGCACCTTCACGCCGTCATCAATGAAAGGTACGCCCTGCGGCAGGGGTGTTGACTGACGGCCTGCCTGTGACCATGCCGCACACTTAGCGGGGTTGTGTTGTAGCCCAATCTCCCCAAGGCTTCCTGTGAAGTGCCCAAACGCCGCCGCACAAGCCGCTGCTTCTCCAAGAAAAGTGACGTCGTCCGCGTATGCCAGGCATACCACGGACGGGAAGGTAAGTGCCGTGCTTGTCAACGCGGGGTGAATGGCGGCAGCAAACAGCAAGGGGCCGAGGGGATCTCCCTGCCTCACCCCGGTTTCGCTCAAGAGTGGTGGGTGCGAGAATCCGGCATCCAGGCATAGGGAAGAGGGGTGGCCATATGACAGTTTCACGAGTGGCAGTAGCGGAGCTAGCGTCGAACCTCGAAGCGACTCCGCGATGGCCCCTCGGTTAACACTATTGAAAGCGTTCGCCAGGTCGGCCTGCAGAACGAGCGCTCCAGGGTTGACGGTAAGAAAGGTTCGCGTGATGTGGATGATCGCCTCTGCTCCCCCTGGAACCGCTACACCGAATTGATGAGGTAAGAAGAAATCTCGAGCGGCGCCCGCCGTCAAGGTAAGAGCTGTTTTGGCAGCGAGGCGAGTGATGCTTTCGCCGATGGCTATCGGCCTCGTCCCCCCTCCTGGTTTGGTAAGGGCAATCAGGCGAGAGGCGGTGAGGAGTTCGGCTATTGCGAGAGGTAATTTTCCAGTGAGTATGGTGTTGACTAGCGCATGCAGGTGCTTCCCCACTGAAGCGTTGATCAGAGATGCGTCCCGCAGGTGTTCGAATGTTGTTCCTGATGGCCCAGCTCCTACTCCCATCTCACACCGACCCAAAACCTTGGAGAAGACCTCGTAAGGCGCCGAGAGGTGAGGGTCTGGTGTGGGAAATATCCAGTCAGGTGGGGAGGCGGGCGCAGGTGGGTGCTTGGCGCGTAGTGCCTCCAGCACAGCCGGCGATGGCGTGCAAACTGGCGTGGCCTCTAAGGCCATGACGGCCCGTCGCAGGCTGCCACGTCGAGCTAGCCCCTCAGCTCTCGCGATGACCCCAATGTCATCCGGCTGGTGTCTGGGTGGCTGGGGACGGGTCAGTGAGTCCACGGTGTCCTTGTACAGCTCATCCCAGTCCCCACCCATGAATTTGCTAAGTCGTGCGCTGACTGCCTTCCAATCTGGACGCCTGGGTGACAGCTGGCGAAGTGTGAGTCGTGCGAGGAACAAGAGGACGACCCAAGCAGAGTGTGAGTCTGGATCGTTCGCCAACCGCAGCAGAGGTACCAGCAGGGCGGTGGCGAAAAGTTTGCGAGGGTCGGGTGGGAGGTGGCGGGAGAGTGGTGCGTGGCGACTGTCGCGCAATTTCGTCAGGTCCCATCTTCCAACCCCAGCGAATAGCACGTCGTCCTTGGCGAGTGTTTCTGGGGATTTTTCCTCTCGCGCGTGGGTTGGGATGGGGTTACCGCCAGGTGCAGATTGTGGGGCGGCTCGGGAATGGGTTGGAGTGTGGGAAATTGGTGGTGGGGGTGGGGGGTTTGCAATGTTGCCCGATGCGGCTCGGGTTGGTGTTGGGGGTCCCCTCCGTGTGGATCTCGCAACTGAGGATCCTCCCGCCCTGTGAGTTGGGGCTGCTCTGGTTGCTCTAGCAGGAGTCTGGGTTTGGGGTTCATCCACAGACTCAGAGCTAGAAGTCGAGTCTGTGGATTCCGCAGGTACAAAGCTGCTGCCTGATGATGTCTCCTCATTATCATCTTCCAGCTCGTTTAAAGCCCTCCGTCCCGATTGTTGATACACATTCTCAGGCCCTCCTCTCTCTCTCTCTCTCTCTCTCTCTCTCTCTCTCTCTCTCTCTCTCTCTCTCTCTCTCTCTCTCTCTCTCTCTCTCTCTCTCTCTCTCTCTCTCCCATCGCAGGTCGTCTCGTCCAACGCAGCAGTGGAAGTCGACGGGGGTTTGTATAAGCTCTTCAACGCGGACCTAAAGAGAGCCAACCCCGCCATCAAGACGCTGCTCTCCATCGGCGGCGCCGCTGCCGGCACCACCGTTTTCGGCAACGCCGCCTCCTCCACCGCCACCCGCTCTGCCTTCATCCAATCCGCGATCGTCCTCGCCCGCGCGCACAATTTCGACGGTCTGGATCTCGACTGGGAGTACCCGAGTGGCAAGGCCGCCTCGTTCTCCGCGCTGCTCACGGAATTCCGGGCGGCGATCGAATCCGAAGCCGCTTCCTTTAAAAAACCCAAGCTGCTGCTCACGGCGGCGGTCGCTCCCGACGAGAAGAGAATCGCTGAATCCTACAACGTCCCGACGCTTAACAAAACGCTGGACTTTGTCAATATCATGACGTACGATTTCCACGGGCCTTCGTGGGAGAAAACGACCGGCATGCACACTGCGCTGGAGGATAGCAGCTCGAAGCTGAGCGTCAGGGGCTCCATGGACGCCTGGGTGACTCGAGGCTTGGCCCGAAGCAAGGCCATGGTAGGCTTGGCGGGTTACGGCAAAACCTGGACCTTAACCTCGACAAGCAGCACTGGGGTTGGAGCCGCGGCCTTTGGTGCTGGTCAGAAAGGGTCTATCAGTCAGGTTGGCCCTCCCCTCCCTGTTTCTACTCTGCATCGTGCTTCTCTCCCATTCTCTCTCACATGTTTGCCATCCTTTTGCGTTTGTTCTGTTCTTCTCTTTGCCTTCCTTCCTCATGCACTTTCAGATTGTAACTTATTCCTCTTTTTATTTTTCGAACAAGTAAGCAGCTTCCAGCAAGCTCTCTTATCATCCTTTGTCTTGGCCTGCATTTTCCCTCTCCACCCCACCAACAGGAAGCCGGTACTCTCTTTTACAAGGAAATCAATCAGCTGGTAACCACTGGAGGTTACAAAGCTTATTACCACACCCCATCCTCATGCATGTATGCGGTGAAGGGTGACCAGTGGGTTGGTTACGATGACCCTTCCACCATCACCAAGAAGGTCCAGTTCGCCAAGACGCAAGGCTATGGAGGGTGGTTCCTGTGGGAAGCGAGCCAGGATGCCAACAATGCTCTGCTCAATGCCGCCGCAGCTGTTTGATTTGAACCCTACAGTCGTAGGACAGTATGAGAAGTTTTATGCTTGTTATTATCTTTGAAGTTTAGACGAGCTGTTTTGGTGTTGGAGGTGGAGTGTCAATGCTT